CCCCGCGTCTTCTCCGCCGCCGCCGTCATCCCTCCTTCGGCCTCTTCCTACTTCGCCGCCGAGTTCGGCGACACGAAGACGCTCTCCCGATGCTCTCTTACAATCGCCTCCAGATCCTGCCTTGCCCGGGTAAAAAAATCTGTTTTGATGTTCTTTCCGACCGGTATTAACTGTGACCAAGTTGGGTTTCTGACTCTTTCTGTGGGAGATTCGGGTTTTCGAGTTATCGGTTCAGAAGAACGCGATGTTTTGGTTGCAAAGGAGCGAATACAGAGGATATTGGTGAAAACAGTTGATGAATCGGGTGATTCTTTTGGTAATATAGGGTATGTAATGGTTTACACGATGTATTCTGGGCATTGGTACTGTGTCAAGTATGGTACCGGTTTTGAGATATTTAGGATGTAAGAAGTTTTAAGAGTTGTTCTATAGCGAGCGCTTCTTGGAGCCAGCATTTGCACGGAGAATGTCTGGTTCGTTAGAAAACGGATCGATGTTCTTGTTTGATGTGAGCGAGGAATCAAACGGATATTTCCACGGCAATACCATCAAGGTTTTCTGGGGAGATCAAAGTAAATCCGAGAAGTGTTGCTGGTTGGGTTGTCAGTTCAGTTGGCATCCGAGGATATTTATCGCTGCACGAACAGATGCAGTGTTCCTAGTTGATACAAGGCCTGATAAATGCAGTTTGACATGTTTAATGATTGCTTCATGCCGAACAGAACGGTTTCTTGCATTTTCTAAGTAATACACTGAGGGATTCCAGTATATTTTGGCTTCTCGTAGCCTTCTATTTCTCTGTGACGTTCGGATATCGTTAACCCCTATATTGCAATGGTCTCATGATGTCACAAAACCATGTTTCATCGATGTTTGTAGCTTGTCTGAGCTTAAGTTAGGGACAGAATCGGATAAGCGGGCTGATGGATCCTGCATTATACTGGGATCATTATGGAATTCAGAGTTTAGTATGTTTTACTACTGTGGATCTCATCCTTCAGCTGTTGTTCCAAGAGTTGGCAATGACTCCAGCTCGTTGTATGTACAGGAGGAGCTTTCTTATGGCTCCTTTTCTGGCCAGTGATGTTGTGGGGATTGTATTTTGAGAGAAAAGATTATGAAGGATTCTTTTCCTGATTGGATCGATTGGCAAAAGAAGAAAAAGATCATTCTGGGGTTTGGCGTTTTAAATAAGTTTCTTCAGCTGAACTCGGATCAATTTTCTGGATTTTCGTTCATTAGAATGACATCCTTGGGAAAGCTCGAAGTAAAAACTTTCCGTCTCTCCTGGGATTCTTTAACATATATAAAAGGAGCTCACAGACACAGGCATATGCCTTGTGAATCTGATGAGGAAAGTGATAGATGTATGGGTTAGGTAGATTCATTGAATCTGGGCTATAGTTAGTATGGGTTGTTTGGGTTGTTACTATTAGTTAGTTAGTAGTTTTGGCTATGAGTAGTTATAAATACAGATTAGATTGGGGGAAAAGGATTTACGCAGAAATTGGAGAAAGGGTTAGGGTTTGTTTGGGGAATAAGAGTTGGGATCCTCTCATAAAATCAAGATCATCCAAAGTTGTATTCAGGTTTTCGGTGAGGAATAAAGGCTCGATTGGTGCTGGAAAGTTGAGTTTCATAGTCTGAACCTTAACAGAAAGATTACTCTACCTTGCGGATTATGGTGAACACAAGTTCGCAAAACGCTTCAAATACCTTGAACTCGATTATCTTTGCGCTTTCATGGACGGTAATCTTGTCGAGTTATTAGATTCAAGGATGAGAAAACCCTCCTCAGGTACTGAGGAAGGAGAAATCTTTTAACCTAGAATCTCACCAGGCTTTGTGTGAGAAATTGAAGATTTGTGGGTTTGGTAGAGACAGAATTTCTCCAGCCATTGTTGAAGTCTTTGATGACATCAGCCTACTGACGAGCATTTTTGAGATTGCTTTGAGGCAAACCTGGGCGTCCCTTCCTGCCGAGCTTTTGCTGTTGGCATATTCGAACTACTCTGAGTTCCAAGATGTATTGTTAAATTTGAAGAAGGTGTCACTTGAATTCCTAGTGGTCCCAGACCTCCCTCAGTTGCAGCCTTTCCTCTTAAGGAAGCCTTCTTGCTGGAGTAGCAAGTGGACGAGCAAAAACCTACCGACTGATGCTTTCGTTGGTCCTGTCCTACCACTTCCAGTTCTTCTTACATTTCATGAGTTCCTGAATTCACAGGAAGATCCATGTGGGTTTTCACCCAAGAGAGAGCTCTCTCATCAATGTGATCAGGTTTCTCAAGTTGCTAGGGACATGGCAAGGTCTGATTCAGATGCTGTTTCCCTTGGCTATGACCGTGATGACGATAATTCCCAGAAACAGAAACCCTTTATTGGATATCGTCCATTTACTTGTGCAAATGAGGATGGAAGACTTGAAATGTTCATTTCCAGAGTGCAGCAGGGTAAAGGGTGTGTTGTTGAAGATAAGATGGGGAGTGTAGGGCTTGAGATTTTTCATGATTTATCGCCCATCGTCTTGAAGTTTGAACACCGAGATGTGAATTTTGACCCGCAAGGACTTTGCAGATCTGATTTGCTTAGGTTTGAGGCGCAATTCTCTCTGTGGCAAAATCAGTTTACCCCGTTTCAAATCTCCAAACGTGAAATCCATGCATTTCGGCTTTGGCTAAGAAGTAAGATTCCGAGGGGAACTTGATTGTACGGTCACCGGCTAAGAAGAACAGAAACAAAGGTTTTGGCACTGGTAATTGCTTCATTAGTGAGTGTTCTTTACTAATTACATTACTTTCATTATTATTATTCTTATCATTGTCAATAATAACAGTACTAATAATAACAAGAATCATTATTTTTTTTATTGAACTTTAATTTGGGCTTTTCTTTTTTCGCGAATTCTAAAAAAAATGAGTCTTTTCTACACCAAATGAGAATATGATTATAATGAGACTTGAAAATGTTGATAAAAATGTACAAAATTATGATTTTATATGGTTAGGGGTGATGATGATCCATGAAGGTGAACTATTAGCAAGAACAGCCGGAGAAGACTTCACACCTCATATCATCACTGTCAGCACTGGAGAGGTATATTGTATATATGAGCAATATCTATACCTGTATCCGTGTATGATATATATACATGTAGTATGTATATTCACAGTGTGAGGTTTGGCGGGTAAAATTCTGTCATTTACGCAAAAGGGTCCTCGAGGAATCTGCATTTTATCAGCAATCGGAACTGTTGCTAACGTCAGAATTCGGCAGCCTGGATCCGCCGGAAGCATCCTCACCTATACAAGGTATGTTTCTCATGTTAATGTTTATTACATTTTCGATATTTATAACTCAGTGAAATCGAGCTATGTTTCGAGGATCTGCTTTGATAAAACTATGCATTTTCACCTTCTGAACCAAAATGGGTCTTGTGGATTCAGAAGGTTTCTTATGGTAAGAACCCGGGTTTAGATTCTCACAGGGTCGGTTCAAGGTATGTTTTACGGGTTATGTTTAGATTTGTGAAATCGAGTTATGTTTAGCGGGTTTTCTTATTGAGTTGACATTTTGATCCTGTGGAATCAGAAGTGGACACAAAACTTGTGTTATTGTTAAAATAAGAATGTTTTTTCGATTCTTTTAAGGGTCGGTTCGGGTTACTAACGTTAACTCTTAAACATTTTCGATGTTTCTTATTAGTGATCAAGCTACTTTTTTACGCATTTCGATCTTCTAAACCGAAATGCTAAGGATGGATTCTCATTCTCAAGCTTTTGTGTGAATCTTGCAGGGCTTGTTCAAGATATTAACTTTAACGGGTTCGTATGTGATAACTGAAATCGGGGGTGAGGAATAAAACCGTTTCGTTGGCCAGACTCGATGGCCGTGTCATTGGCGGAGCTGTTGATGGAGTTCTCACAGCTTCAAGCCCCATCCAAGTAAGCCCCTTTCGGATAGAAACCTTTTTTTCGGGTAGAACCCCTTATCATATCTTGAGAAATTTTTGGGTAAAAATTCGTTTTCGAGCAGAAACCCTTGTCATATTTTGATAGTTTTTATGGATAGAAACTTGTTTTCCGGGTAGAATCCCTTACCCGTATCATACCTGTTTTCGGGGTTTTCCGTCATGCCATGACCACAATTAACCGATCTTGGCATCGGAATCTCTGTTTGTTTGTTTGATTTCTCATCCACAGGTTGTGATCGGAAGTAGGAACCCATATACTCCGTGGTTTTACCGTTGGCCGATGCTGCATCCAATCACTCTGTTGGAAGTTGGAACAGCTTGGAATGGCTGTTGGAGTTTCTGAAGTTGTCTGCTGATAAGACCAAGTTCGGTTATTGATTGTTGGAGCAGCTTCCTTAATCACCGAATGTAACCACCTAATGTGATGCAATTTCCAAGTTGTTCCTTTTTTCCATCACAGATATTTCCACCAAGCATTTGACAGATTTTCAAGTAGATTGTTTTTTTTTTTCGGGGAAGCATTCAACGGGTGTCTGGATTGGCAAACGGATTGGCACAGTGTCGGCCCATCCTACGAAACGGCACCGTTTTAGTGCCCTGGCTGCCCCCATTTCCCCTTGTTGTTTTCTTCTTTGTCAACGTCGCAGCTGAATTCGCTTAAACCCTTTCGAATCCTTCATCTTCATCGCTCACCGTCCAAATCCCCCTGAATTATCGAATCTCTCTCTCCTCCCACCAAAAAAAAATAATCAGAGGTTTTTTTTCTGGATACGATCGAAATCGAAAAGCGAAACCGACCAGGGTTCTCTGATCAGGGAATCAAGGGGAAAAAATCTCTTTTTTTCTTCTTTTATGGGAAAATCTATTCCCACAAAAACAGGGTTGAGAGCGGCGGCGGATGCGTCTTTAAAACTCGTCAAATCTTTGAAATCGACCCGACCCGTCTCCGCAAATCTCCGTTCGGTTTCTGAAACGAAGTTAGGTTCGGAGAAGGTGATGGAGAGCGCCAGTGGTGAAGCCGCCGCCGCCGGCAGCATCCGCCGTGTTCCTCTGTCGGCGGGGGGCGCCGGTTGTGCGAAGCGGTGGTTCAAGGAGACGCTTCAGGAAGCGAAGGCTGGTGACACGGGCATGCAGGTCTTGGTGGGTCAGATGTATTACAGTGGCTATGGATGGTTCAAGGAGACGCTTCAGGAAGCGAAGGCTGGTGACACGGGCATGCAGGTCTTGGTGGGTCAGATGTATTACAGTGGCTATGGAGTTCCCAGGGACGACCGAAAGGTTCCATTTTTTTTTTGTTTTCTTCTCTAAATCTTCCATGTTTAATAGTTTTAGCCCGTTTCAGTTTGTCGATGTATGGTCAGTGTTTTAGGATTGGGTGTTGGTTATGAAGGTCTCTTGACAAGATTTTCCGTGGTTGATTACTCGAAATTCTGTCGGTTTTGCTTTGGTATAACATTGATTTCAGCGAGAACTCGATTCTCGCAGATGAAAAATTTGCAATGCTCAACTAAGTAGGTCTAGGATCAAGTTCTGCAAAAGGGTTTTTTGTATGCTTGTTGACGGATGAAAGGGAATTTCCAGTGGATTGGGTTTAGCAGATTGCGTGTTACATGGTAGTTTTGTTGAAGAAAATGGCTGGTGCTCTCGGTTTTAGCATCTTAGTTTTGGTCATTGATTGTTGTTATTACCACAGGGGAGACTCTGGATTTCCAAAGCATCGAAAATTCGTTCTTCAGTTTGGAGCGTGAGGGATAAGCATCCAGGTTCTGATCATTCACTATGCCCGTTTGTTGCTTTGCTTAATATACTGAGTCACTGACTGGTCTGTCTCAAATTCTCAGGTTACAATGCCAGCGATTCTGATTCCGAATAATATGGGCAATTTTCCTATGTTCTTCTGATGGCAGTAGTTTTGATTTGATCATTGGTGATGCTGGAAAGATGAACAATTTCGTTTTGCAGTTGTTGTGTGTTGCCTTTTTGTCATGTTTCTGGGTGATTGTGCAATGATTAGGGGAAACTAATGATACTTGGAGAAAGCTTGTTTAGCTGTTGCCCCCCCCCCCATAGATGAAAACTTTATAAAGGGTGATGATATACATTTGAATTGTGATTTGATGTAAAGCTTGATGCTTTGTTATATGAACAGAGTCAAGAGTGAATGCTCTGTTTCATAGGATCTGAAAGATTCTTCCTCCTTTTTGAGACACTCTGTTCCCATCGGCAACTCACGCTACCGAGGCTTCGTATAAGTGCGCCGTTAATGGTGATTGCAGAAACCCTAGAAGACGATGGACATCAATTTTTTTTTTTTAATATTAACGGCGAGGCATTGTGAGAATCGTCAGACAGAACCGTTGGATGATTGAGATAGAAGTTGGTATCTATATAGAATATATAAAGTCGGTGACTTTTTTTTTACTAGAGAAATTTCCCTGTTTTTGAAATGCCTTATTCGCTAATAAAGATTAGATTCCTCCATTGATGGACAATTTTTCTAAAATACATTACTTGGGTCGCGTCAATTACACAGGTACACCTGTAAAATATGGAGGAATTTTTTTAACAAATTGTACATCAATATTTTTGGTAAATTACTTAAATGTCCTTATTTTCAAAATGTCAAAAATACCCTTAATGTTAAATTAAAAAAATAGACCTTTTTTATTTGAAAGAATATTTTTTTTTATGGCAGGAGGCACCTACTTTTCGTAGATATTTTGTCCACGTGGCTTTCCATATTATTTTAGATTTTAACATTTTTATGCATGTTTGTTTCTCAAATAAATCCTGCGAATTAATTACGACTTAATTATGATTTATTTGCGACTTCATATATCTAACTAAAATTTCCTATTAAAATTTGTATTTTGTCGATAAGAAATCCACAGATAAAGAATATAAACAAATTATGTAAAAAGAATTAGTTTTAGGTCACAAATCACAAATTAATTAAAATTTTGTACATTTGTTGATATGCACCACTAAATGTATATTAACTAACTACTCACACATTCAACTAAATTATATGAAATGAATCAAAATTTCAAATTTGTTGAAATTTATTAAAAATATTAATTCAAATCGATTAATATCACTTTATTGGATGAATTTCATCATCATTAGACAAAACCAAATCGAAATTCACGATTTTTTTTAACAAATTTACAAAAATTCTATGGTGGCAAATAAGTCGTAATCCAGTCATAAAAAAGTGGTTGTGGCCGATTCCCAAGACAAAATTAAAGAATCCTTATGGTTGGACCCACTTTTCGTATGTATTTTATCCACGTGGCTTTTCATATTATTTTAGATTTTGACTTTTTTTTATACACCTTTGCTTCTCGAATAAATCCTGTGTATTTATTACGACTTAACTACGACTTATTTGCGACTTCGTATATGAACTAAAATTTTCGATTAAAATTTGTATTTTGTCGATAAAGAATCTACAGATGAAGAATATAAATAAATTTTACGAAGAGAATTAGTTTTAAATCACAAATCACAAATTAATTAAAATTTTGTATATTTTTTAATATGTAACACTAAATGTATATTAACCAACTACTCACATATTCAACTAAATTACATAAAATGAATCAAAATTTCAAATTTGTTGAAATTTATTAAAAATATTAATTCAAATCGATTAATATCATTTTATTGGATGAATTTTATAATCATTAGACAACACCAAATCGAAATTCGCGATTTTTTAAACAAATTTACAAAAATTCTATGGTGGCAAATAAGTCGTATTTCAGTCGTAAAAAAGTGGTTGTGGCCGATTTCCAAGATAAAATTAAAGAATCTTTATTGTTGGACCCACTTTTCGTAGATATTTTGTCCACGCGGTTTTTTATATTATTTTAGATTTTAACTTTTTTTATGGACGTTTGCTTCTCGAATAAATTATGCGAATTAATTACGACTTATTTGCGACTTCGTATATCAACTAAAATTTTTCGATTAAAATTTGTATTTTGTCGATAAAGAATCTACATATAAAGAATATAAACAAATTATACGAAAAGAATTAGTTTTAGGTCACAAAACCACACATCAATTAAAATTTTGTACATTTGTTGATATGTAACACTAAACCAAATCGAAATTCGCGATTTTTTTTACAAATTTACTAAAATTCTATAGTGGCAAATAAATCGTAATCCACTCGTAAAAATATGGTTGTAGTCGATTTCCAAAACAAAATTAAAAAATATTCATGATTAGACCCACCTGTCACATGATTACTCTTTTTTTTTAAACAGCGTGTAAACATTTGTTACACGCCCGTTTTATTAAGGGTTATATAGTCTTTTCCAACCTTTTTAAGGGCAAAAATATAATTCCTACTATTTTTACGGTGTACCGTTAAAATGGATGCGACACCGGTAGCGTACTTCAGAAAAAAAGCCCCATTGATGCCGTTGTACATATCCACACATTAATAATTATATATAAACGGCCCCAAATAATTATTATGAGAGCAAGTGTGCCCTCTTTTTGCAGTGTTTCCTGGTTCCTGACGTCTCTGTTCATCGCCGTCCATCTGAAGAGCTCTCGAGTCGAAATTCGTTGCCAAATTCTGGGTTCTGAGTCGAAGGTAGGGTTTTCATACCTTTTTCTTTTTGGTGTCTCCTCGCTCCTGCTGACTTCTCCGATTAATTTAATCCTAAAGACAGCAGAGTTCGCTTTTGGATTGTCTGTCGCTTGGATGTTTCTTGGGACAATCGATGGTGTATCGTGCATGTAGTGTTTCAATTGGCACCAAGTGGGGAGAGAGAACTTCAATGGCGATTTCGAATTTGAAATTTGAGGGGATGGCTTCTTACTTGTATATACTCTCATGCATATGAACAATGAATCCCTTGATGATGATGATGATGATGATGATGATGATGATAGGTTTCGGGTTTAAATCGGAAATTCTGGAGAAGCCGTTCCAGTTTCTTAACACTGAAAATCACTTTGATGGTCATGGATTCCAGATTTAGTTGAAATTGTGGGGAAAGCAATGGAGACTGAAACAGAGGCTAGGGTGATTCCACAACCGGAGGAACATGAACAAGAGCTGCCCCAAAATCCACCATTATTACCACCTCGTCTGGTGATGTATCTCTATGTGGGCTATTTTCTTGCAAGATGGGGTGCCAGGTCTCTAATCTCTTACACTTATCATATATATATATATATATATATATATATATATTATATATATACGCACACACTTCATGTTTAAGCAGCGTTATGTGAATTCTGTGTAGTCAAATATTTTGAATGATTTGTGGCTCTTCTGAGTACATAATGGCATGTGTTTCTATCTGTATGTTGGGCATACTGCTGCAAAGTAATGTTGCCACATGCACATGCACATGCAAAAGTGTTTGGATGATTGATAGATTCATAAAATTACAAAGTGGCTGGTGTATACGTCTGCTGTAGAATTTTGAATGTGATTAGACAACATAAGTTCCTGAATGTGTTTGCATCTACATGTCCCGAAGCTTCAACTTGATTTCTTTCGAGTGTGTGTTACATAAACGTATGTATACTGGCTTAGGAAGATCTGCATCAATACACGCACACACACACTTATCTGCATAAACATATATACTTGTTGTCTGTACTATGATTTTGCAATGCAGAATGTGGGAATTCTCAGTTGCTCTGTACATGATCCACCTCTGGCCAAACTCTCTGCTTCTCGCGGCAATCTACGGCGCCGTAGAATCTGGGTCCACAGCCCTTTTTGGCCCCATTGTAGGCCAACGTATCGAGGGAATGGACTACATTAAGGTTCTTCGACTCTGGCTCGTGTCTCAGAATCTTTCCTTCCTCTTGATGGGTGGTTCAGTCATCGCATTGTTGGGAGTATCAGATCTCAAATCCCACAATATCGCTGTTTTCATCACCTTGGTGGTCTCGACAAACGTTGCAGGAGCCATAGGTGTACTATCCACTCTTTCTGGTACCATTCTGATCGAACGAGACTGGTAAGTTTAGATTTTACGGTGTCAATAATCGTTGTTGTACCCAAAAGTGTTGGAAAGGAAAGGAAAAAAAACATGGGGGGAATTTCTATTTAACAGGGCGGTGGTGATGTCGGAAGGGCATCCACCAGAGGTACTGACGAAAATGAATTCGGTGATTAGAGGAATAGATTTGAGCTCGAAGCTACTAGCTCCTGTCTTAACTGGTTTGATCATCAGTTTTGTCTCTCTGATGGCATCTGCAATTACGTTTGCGGCATGGGCCATCATCACAGTCTGGATTGAGTATTGGCTCTTCATCTCTGTGTACAGAGGCGTTCCAGCTATTGTCCAAAGCAATGAGAGACGTTGCTCAAGGTCTCACACTGAAGAGACAGAAGGTGTTTCTGTCTCGGTTTCTGTAGTTCCAGGGAGTGAGGAACTCACAGCTTCAAGAAACAGATCCAGGAAGGTTGTAGAAAGAATCTCCGAGTCCTCTTTCGTCACTGCATGGAAAGTTTATCTGAAACAGCAAGTTGTACTTCCCGGAGTCGCTCTGGCTCTCTTGTTCTTCACCGTCCTCAGGTTCTTTCTCTAACAAATAGAGAGAAAAGGGTGTGCTTTGTTTGTGTTCTGACCCGACTTTCTCTTTTTTTCTTCTGGTGAAGCTTCGGGACGTTGATGACGGCTACGTTACAGTGGGAAGGAATACCGGCATATATAATCGGAATAGGGAGAGGTGTAAGCGCCACCGTAGGACTGGCAGCCACAGTTGTGTACCCTATTATGCAATCACGTCTCTCAACTCTTCGAACCGGCCTTTGGTCCATCTGGTCTCAGGTACTTGACCTCTCACGTTTACACGATACATACATACATATCATCATAACAAAGATGATCACTTTAAAAGATGATAATTCGTGTGTTTAATGTTGGGTGAAGTGGAGTTGCCTGTTGGTGTGTGTGGGATCTATATGGGTGGGAAAGAGAATGATAGGGGCATACATGCTGATGGGTGGAGTTGCTGCTTCTCGGCTCGGCCTTTGGATGTTCGATTTAGCCGTCATCCAACAGATGCAGGTACTAACATCGATTGATCATATGGACCGGGGTTTCAGTTGTGAGAGAGGAAGGGATGAAATGGGTTTGTTGGTGTTAGGATATGGTGCCAGAATCGGACCGTTGCGTGGTGGGGGGAGTGCAGAACTCCTTGCAATCAGCACTCGACTTGATGGGTTACCTCTTGGGTATCATCGTCTCTGATCCCCAGGTATTACTGCTACTCTTATTATTGTTATAGAGATGATATATTATATTAAATAAAAATTGGCAGGAGTTTTGGATACTGACGATGATATCGGTGTCGGCGGTGACGGCGGCGGGGATGATCTACACGGTCCATCTCTACCGTATCCGGAAACATATCTTTCACTTTGACAAGATCTTGGGACCCAACAAATGTCTGGATTAGAGTTTATAGGATCGCGAGGATATGATTCTATGGGCATTGGCCTTTTCATTATCAAAGTTCAATTCTGTTTCACTACTGTCGTTAAACAAAATATTGAAAAGACATTGCAGAAAGCAAAAATGAAAACATTGAAGTGCCATACATGACATCCATAACTGCATGATTAGCCAATCGTAACGACAACATCACACACACGAACAGGGTTCTTCTCCTCCTCCTATTACCTTAAAAAAAACTGTTCTTGTGTCCAAACCACATTCCAATCAACCATAATCGTTGACCAAAAACACTCCTCTACTCCAAAAAAAAAAGAAAAAAGAAAAACTAGTGCCGGAGAGTTAGCCGGAGGTAGCGGATTTCCGGACGGAGTAACGATAAGCGGCGACTTTCTTCTTGCGGGACAGAGTGTTGTCGATGGAGAGAATGAGTTTTCCGGCTTCTCGGGTGGTGAAAGAGTTCCGAACCGCTTCTTCTGAATGGATCATCTTCCTCTGCTTCTCCACGACTAAGCCGTAGCTTTCTTGAGCGTTCGGTACGAACTCTGCGCTGTAATCCAACTCCCATCCTCCCACCACTATCTCCCACGTTATGGTCGCACCTCCCTTGCGTTATTATTGTTCAAACACCATCAGTCCATATAATATAATGCATAACATTTTCTGGTTTGGAATGGAGGAGAGGATCATCCATTCATCTTTACCTCGATGCCCTCTATCTGGATGTTGACTTTCTCGCCGCCCTTGATCGAGAATTCTGAGGCGGGTTTGGGGGGTCCGTCCTGCAGGTCACTGGGTCGGCTCAGGCCGCCGTATTGCATTGGGATATCCTCTGGCCGGATGAACCTAAAACACCAAGCACACGTGTGTATTGGTCAATAAAAATCATACATGTAACATGTATATCGTATTACAGAGTGCGTAGGGTTTTACTTGTAGAGTGTTTCGGGGGCGCTTCCTTCTTTGGAGATGACGAACTTGCTCTTGGTTCTCTGAGTGAGGAACGGGCTGAACATGGAGTACAGTACGCTGAAATACCACGGCACGTTGATGAATATCTACACCCCACGCGTTCAGACAAAACCCATCATTATCTCAGTAACATTAACCCGAAATTACTAGCAACGAATTGCAAAAACAGGCACAGCCGCAGGTTCTAAACCCCATAAGTGTGAACACCACCAAAACATTTTCCAAATTTTGCAAATTTTTTTTTTTATAAAACAAAAACCAACAGCTGGAGATCACTAAATTAATCTGCAGAAACAGCAAAAACACAAATGAAATTCCTAAAACACTAAAGCTTCAGGACAGAACACGACCCAGAAAGACCGGACAATCAACAAGCTTGTTCAAAAGATTCAAAGACCCCACCTCCACAATTAACAGAATCACTCAGATTCATCAACTCACTTGTAACATTTCTTTGTCCGCCAGAGATTTCAAATCACACTCCAAATCAAGATCCTACAGAGACAACAAGAACACGACGGGAGATGGAAACAGACAGAGTGGACACACCTTTCTTGCAACCATCTCAGGGTAATTGTCCTGAAAGAGAGACATAATCTGATTGGAAGCGACTCTGAGCTCGCGTTTGGGCATATCCTTCAGATCCGTCACCTGGATGATGGAATTGACTCCGCCCGGCTTGAAATGCAGCATCTTCACTCCTCTCTCCAGCACCTGGACCCTCCATCTCAGGAACTTCTTCAGCTTCTCCTCATCGCCGAACACCTTCTCGTACATCTCCCTGTCTTTGAACACTCCGTACGCGTTGTAGCACACAGGGTGCCCTTCCTTGTCGTAACCATGCATGTAAGCCACCGTGTCTTCCAATTCCTTGAAACCCAGTTCCTCTTCTGTCATGTCGTCGGCTTTGAACTCCTCCCTCCACTCCAGGCACTTCCCCAGCATCCCCAGGGCTTCCCCGACTTTGAAATCCCTTGCCCTGAGGAACTTGAGCAGGATGACGTCAGCCCTGTCGTCGCCTCCGAGGAGTGGAACCCCCCACATCGAGCATCTGGTCCGGTCTTCCTCGGATCCGTACGAGGCCGTGAGCTTGTCCTTGATATCTTGAAGGGCTTTTTGTTCCGAGGGTTTGAGGTCGGAGACGAAGTAAGCGTCTTCCTTGTATGAATGGGAGCGGAGAGCGGCCGCTGCCATTAGAGAGGTGATGAAGCTTTTCTTGTAGGGTTGGGTCGGCTCTGTAATCGGCGTTTTCAGCTGATCAAACGACATCGGCGACGATGAACTCATTACTCGACCAAAGCCCAGGTAAAGAATCGATCTTCTGCCCGGATTCCTGCCGGAAACCTAGGTTTTGAGCCGAGTGATACAGATGAAACAGAGAAACACAGAGACAGACAAAGACAGAAGGTTGTACTAATAAGGAAGCCTGAAGAGAAACAGTGAGTGTGAAGCGAAAGGAAGAAAGGAGCCGTGGTTTCAATTTGAACACCAAACGCGGCTTTTTAAAAAAGTGAACTTGAAATCCTAGTTTCATGTTTGTTTTCAAAGTCTATAATATATTTTCTTCGGATGCATTTATTATTTTCTTTTTTGCATTGCCTCTAATATAATTATGTATTTATCTACCTATCTCCATTTGTTTTTGTACCTAAAAGAAGTTTGTGGTTTATTTTTTTAAAAAAAAATAGTAGCTGTGTTTAAATTCTTTTTTATTGCTTCAGACAGCAAAATGATAATTTCAGTATAAGAATAAATAGTATAAAGCAAAAACATGTATATATATATATATAGCAATTTTTCAAATCAACATCAAAACTATAATTTCTAAATCTTGGAAAGAAGAAAAATAGGCATTCTGAATTTCTGAATGTGGATTAGTTTAAATTAGTAAAAAAATACCATACGAAACAAAAGTTTTGACGAATAATGACACATTTAATAGAGTAAATGAAGTGACATACGAAGATAATTATTACAATTGAACTTGGCCCGAGTGAAAGTGGAGCGTGAGCGTCACGTGCACGGTGCAGGGCGCGTGGGGTGACGTGTGGGAGAGCCTTGTTTGGTTGGGTATAAAGCTCTACCCCTGTATGGGATCCACTCGTTCCCTCTTCCAAACACGCCTTCATTGCTCGATTTTCGGACACCATTTTCTCTGAAACCTCACATCTACCCTCCACATTTCCACGCTCGTATATTATTATTATTATCGGTAAAACATTATTGTTATTGTTATCGTACAATTGGCAGAATCACTAAAACAGAAACAGATGCGTTGCAAAAGTTGTATTTCTTTGATCCAAGTCATAAGTGCATGTTTGAATATTTACATGTTTATGCAGGAATATTAAATATTAAATATTATTACGCCGGTGCTTGCGAGTGGTGTGACAAGAAGGAAGAGTAAATTCTACGCAAACCCATATTTAATATAATATAATATATTTCCTTTTGGCCTCCAGATTCTACAAAGTCTACCTTGCATTTCACGGGGATATTTGGGGATTTGATTTAATTAATCAAATAAATAAACACTTTAATTAGGGGCATCAATCATGTTGACATTCAACTTTACACTTTCCAGTTCATTCCCATAAGCTGCAAATTAAACAATTAATCAACTAAAATTATTGTTACCCTCTACTAAACTATATACATTTATTAATCACCGAGAAATGAACATGATATGATTAGAGATTTGTTAAACCATTGGTATTAAAAGCATAATATATAAATTAATGATATGATTAGAAAGCTTTTACAAGGTTTGAAACTTTTGACTTGAGAGTGCAAAACGCTTTGATCATACATACCCATCTATTCTTTTGGGTGTTGTAGATTTGATGTCTCCCAAGAATGATAAACTTTATCGGAAAACCAGAGAAAACGAAAGTGGGGCAGACTTTGTTCACGCTCTGCTCCCAAAGAAAAGCAGCAGCGTGATTTTTGGTCCATACTATGCGTTTGCCTAACGTATACAAATATATGCATAATTTCTTCTTCACGTATTAATTACACAACATCAATATATATATATATATATGTAAAGAAAAAGAGAGAAACAGGGAATGGTGGTAGGTGATGATGGGAGTTGGTGGGTTCTGCAAGGTAAGAAGGGCGATGGGGCCATGGCGTGTTTGATCCATTTTCCTTCTTCCGAGAACTCTCTTCTCTTTTGTTTCGGTCTGATTCTGTGTACTGTCAACCTCACACCGAAGCGACAAAAAACAAATGTAAAAACTCGGGTTTTATTAGGGTTTCAAAAATATAAAAATAGCGGGTACAATGAAAAGTGATGACCTTAACATTTATAATTTTTTTTTATTAAAAAAAAAAAAAACAGGGTTGGACTGAGTTTACAGTTTATGCCTCCAAAATTCCAACAAAATATTATAAATACACGAAATAATATAGTTCCTCTTCAATGACATATTTTGTTTACTCATCAATTCTCCAGAAGAAACCATGATCCTTTTTTTTTGGGTTGTCCCATTTTAATAAATATTTTAGCCGTGTTTAATTCCATTTGCAGCTATCACCTTTTCATTTCGGTTTTTTAATATGTAAATAAATGTATTAAAAAAATGAAGAATCAACATATTACAATATCTATAATATTTGAGTTTATTTAGCACATTCATGAAATATAACTTTTTTGTCATACTGTTTATCATGACAAAAACACATAATTTGTTAAAAATTATCACATTTTTTACATATACAATATCGTATTCATAAATATATATTTTTGCTCATAATTACTAATAATAATAATATGACATATATTGTAGATATGAGGAACTCCAATTTATTGTAGGCCCATTACAAAAAATGGCCCAATAATAATGAGCTAGCCTGGCCTCATCAACTTCAGAGATGTACAAGATATGTTTTAAAAAATATATATCCACCCGCATATATATTTTGAAAATTTGTTCTTCTTATATGAATAAGGAAATGCAATTGCATGGTTGACGAATTCATCTTTTTCACGTTTGGTGTAAGCATTATCAGATCATACGTATACGTATGACAGTCATATGCAATATTTACTTATTAAAATACAACACATGTATATAAAGTTTAAAGGCCCATTTAGAGTCATTTGTCATTTGGAAAATGGGAAATGTGGTTCCTCATAAAAGCCCAATAATTTTGGTGGAGATAAGGTTCTCGGCTGCCTTCGGGGGAGATGGTTTCCATCGGCGGAACCACCAAGCAGATCAAGAGACGACTCATCTCAGCCGTTGGATCCATCCTTCACTCGCATCTGGCCGTTCATCCTCAAAGTCATCCATCTCTCTTTGATTTTTTTGGAAAAAGAAGAAGAAGAGGATAAAAGTAAACAAGAGCAGCCTGATAATTAATTACGTGGTAAGTGCGAGTCTATCGGAGCTAAATCTTTTGTCTTTTCAGTACCCCACATTCCACAATTCAAAAAGGAAAAGACGAAATCCTCCTTGAAGACAAGAGGATGTATATCTGCTTCAATGAATAAAAACACCAAATGTCTCTGATTCCTTCTTTCAACTACGAAAACGACGGCTGTACATGTTCCCCCTCCTCCTCCTCCACAAACTGCTTCCCACCATTCTCAGAATGCTTCGCCACCACCACGAGATTTTCTCACTCAGACATGCCGTGCATCCTCTGGGCAACAGCTGCCCTTTCATACCATAATAACTATATTAGATATTTATTACACCCCTTTCTGGCTATCAACATTTGTCAGGCATGACGACATCTACCACCAGCGAACTACATATGCAGAGGATCAAAACAACACTTACTTGAGCCAGTGATTCGCAGAAGGATGCTCCAACGGGTGATCAGGCATTGACCCCGTCGGACTTCCATATGCCGTCCCATCTTTATGGACGCCTTCTTGCGGACTAACAGTCCCAGACAATGCTGGAAAAAACGCTTTCTGTGACCAGGGATCATGTTTGCTCAGACCAGCAACAGGGCTGAAAGCCCCACTTCTCTGATCATTTCCCAGACGGTCCATGTGTGGATAAGCACTGGGATCCTCTTTCGCAAACAACGATGTTGTCCTACTCTGAGGTACACAATGCATGATGTCTTCCTTGTTAGATCTACTACTACTCTCTGGAGTTATAAGCCAGCCCGCTGGTCCACCAACAAAACCAAGGCTGTCTTGGCCAAGGGAACTCTTCCACATTTGCCATATCCCATCATCAGATTGCTTTTCATCAGCAATTCGTGATCTTGACAGGGGTGACTCAATGGGAGATGGCTTGTTGACTTCAGAACATGTTGTTTTCTTCAATGCATGCTGCTTTTCCAGTCCTACGCCTGTTTCAAACTCAGATGTTAAATCAAGTGATTCTGAAACAGGCCCCAGCAGAGATATTGGATCGGGAACATAACATGGATCTTCAAAAAGCTCTGGCTCTTCACGAGTCTCTTCCCCGGATTGAGGAAGACCAATCTCTGTTGCTGGTGGGAAACCTAAACTACTGGTAGTAGATCCACTAGAATACGTTGGCATGGTAAAAGGTGATGGCAGCCCAAAACTGATCGGATTGTCAAAGGTTCGTATTGGAGAAACTTGACCAGGAACGTGCGAGCTTTGAACAGCTGCCTGAGGCTTCGTACTAGGTCTACTGATAACACTCACATTGGAGGAAACAGGAACAGAGGATGAACGAGAAAATAACTGGTGCCATGATTTTCTGGGCCCTCCACTTGCTTGAGGTTCAGAAACAACCTGAAGAGAAAAGGAAAACATTTTAAAATTCTAGTCACTGGCTTTGTTTAAACTGGAGAAAAATAGAGCTCGACACTCAACCTGAATATTCGGCAAAATGATATTCTAATATCACTAAAGAAAAAAGAAGAAACTTATAAACCTTTCAGCAAACAGCGTCAATGAAATTGATAGCTGAGTCAAGTATAGAGAAGGAGATATATTATGTCTTTGAACATGCTCAAGTACACAATAATAGCTCCAGAAAACGTAAAAATTTGATGAGAGAACTTACAGGATGGCTCGCATTTCTTTCTACCCCATTTGTGACAGATTTCACACCCACCAAGTGAGATGGATTAATATCCCTTGTATGGATAGAGGTATGAGAATGATCTGCAGAACTGATGACCTTGTTCTCTTTTGCAATTGTAGAAGTATTCACACCTTTCCCAAAAAACCGGCTATCAGTAAAGGCCCTAGAGGAAGACAAGATTGTACCCTTCATCCGATCAAAGTACCTACCGCCAGTACTTGTCCTGCTATGGTTGCTTGTGGTGTTACTCTCTATTCCATGCCCATGTCTCTTTTCCAAGTGGTGGCCCCGGAAATTCTCAGACACATGCCTCTGATGTTCCAGACGATCGTTCTTATCAAGCTCCCGCTTCCATTCAGTTTCCTTTCCTGTTCTCTTGTCCAGCTCTTCAGCATCGGAATTGCTCTTACTAGAGGCCTTATCTTTCTCTCTCCTTCTCTCCTGCCGTTTTTTATCTGCTTCCTTCTTGCTCTCTTTGTCTTTGGCAGTCAGTGATGATTTGCTGCATCTCTCAGCCACAATTTTCTCATCTCTTAGTTTTCTGCGTTCTTCGACAAGCCTAGCAACCTCCTCTCTCTGCTTCCTCTCTTCTTCCTCCAAAAGCTCCTTCTCCAACCTAGCTTGTCTCTTCTCCTCAGCTTTTCTACGAGCTTTCTCTCCCCTACTCTCATTATAGTTGGTCCCATGCTCACCCCGCTTAGCCAACAACCGTCTCTGGTCTGCATCAGATGATGATTCATCACCCGAAGAACTAAACCTAAAAACCTTTCTCCATAGCCATCTAATGCTCAAGAAAAAGGAAGTTAGCAACCGGCAAGCAAAAAGGACGCCACCAGAATAAGATTTCTCCACCAAACAATTTTCATCATCTCCAAATGCACCGCCCCTGTTGTCCTGCCAATAGCTGGACCGTGCTGAGTTTGCCCCGCTAGCCCAAGTCCCGATTTCTGGCCATTCTTGTCCATGTGTCCACACATTCTCAGTCCATCCCTTTCCATTCAACATCTTGCCACCTCTCCCAACAAGATCCTTCAAGATCCCAGAACCAGAAAGGCCTAATCCAGGAGGCAAAGGCATGTCTAAGACAGGTCTCTTGGAAATATGCCCACAATACGAGCACATAAACCGGCCACCTCCTGGATTTTGGTCCCGGTAAGGCGTTGAGCAATTACGACAACGCCTGGTAGCAGTTTTCTTTAGCTTCTCCAGCTCAATAGCTTCCAACCTCCTCCTCTCTCTAAGACGGGCATTTCGCCTCTCCCGCCAAGCAGACAACTGAGGCATCAAAACCTCGTACCAGAACAAAGTAACTAAAAGCACAAAAACACAAGCTAGCCTCGGTGAAGTAATTTCGAAACGGAAAGCCGGTGGAAGAAGCTGAGACAGAGCCCAAAGTCCAATCAGCGGAATGACCAACCAAGGCAGCATCGTCGCGACACGGCGAGACCACTTCTGAATAACACACAATATACACATTATCCTCTCAAGCCAACCCCTAGTCTTCTCCTTATCAAACCAAATCAAGACGAAAAAGAAACCCTACTCAGAAAAAATTAGCACCCAAGGAACACGCTCGCAACGGAAAACCCTATCCCTAATCCTCCGTCCAGATTGCACACCATGGAAGTAAGAAGTCCCAGGTCCAGACAACTTTAGCTAAGATTACAATCGCGCACCCTCTGATAATCAAAGAAACACCTAGAGCACCAGCGACATGAAAATCAGACGGGAGAACACGGTGTAGGAAAAATGAAAATCGAAGCGAATGTAAATATAGGACGAAGTCGCGGGGGGATGCGAATCAAACGAGAGAGGGAAAATGGGGACTTACGGATAGAGCGGCCATTGAAGCAGAGAATCAACGAAGGGAGAGCCTCGAGATTGGGAACAAAAGGTTGATGGAATTCGAGGGGCTTCGGATTCGGAGTGCAATCGGGTTGAATCGGGGGACCCGATTTCTCTTTCCAGCGAAGAAACCGTAGACGAGAAGACGATTAGATTTTCGATTGAGAGAGAGAAGAGAGACGGAAGGAGAAATGAAGGAAAATGTCGGAAGCCAAAAGAGAGGAGAAGCCACGAACCGGGTGGGTATTCGGGTCGAACTAAGCCTGAACCGGGTCATATTGTGCAGTCGGTGAGTGCCCCACTCATCTTATGTTTTTTTTCCTTTTTTTTTCTAAAACGATTTAATTAAACTAAACTAATCTAAAATTCAATAAAATAAAACTCTCATAATTTTTACCATTTGTAGATGTTCATTAATTTTTTTTATGATGTCGGGTACACGCGTTTCTAGTTCTATGATCATATTTTTTTATTTATTTGAATAGATAAAAAAAATTAGGGTGTCGGTTTCAGATCCAAAATCCAATCCGATCCCATCCAAAAATTTAATAGATTCCGGTTTATGTTTTTTTATCCAAAAAAAATTGGACTTTCGGATCGGACTCGAATCGGGCTTCGGATTCGAGTCAGATCAATTTGAAAGCTCAATATATTTTTTAAAAAAAAAATAAGATTTACAAAGGAATTTATGTGGCCGGATTGGGTCGGGTCGGATCCGATATATAATGTCGGATTTCAAACTTAACTATATAGATCCGAAAAAATCGGTCCGAAGCGAGTCCGAACCCAAAATATTCAAACCAAATAAGTATTCGGATCGGGTTAGGCCAAACCGGGCCGATTGACACCTCTAACAAAAAAATATCACAAGTACATCCATGTAAGAAAAGAATATGACTTTCACGATCTAATAGACTGAACTAGGCTTTCCATACATAACATAACTACAACTCAAGGTGGTGATCTTTCTTTAATAAGAATTACATTTTCTGCACTTTAATTAATTGAGACAGACTATGCTATGACCTGCTGCCTACATACATATATATATAAGGATATACAATATAGTTATGATGAATCGACGATTGAAGCACAAGAACAAACAAACAAAAATACAATAATGATGATAATAATAAAAATGATTCTCATCGTACCCCAAATCCACCAAGCAACAGGCGGTACATAGCATTTTGTTGTTTGTCTTACCAAAAACACACGATATTTGTTAATGCACACTGTATACATATAAGATATCTAAGCTATATAGGTTATTACCATTTTTATTCGAATGCTATATATATATTGTTGGACATTTGGCATTTTTTTGGTCTTTGGGGCTCGCAAAAGGACTATTTACTAATAAGATGAAATGAATATCTTCCCCTCTCTCTCTCCATATCTCCAACGTGATCTTCCATTGCTTTAAACCGAACCGAGTTTAACCGGATCCGTACCAAAATGCTCTGCGAATCCTCGAGCGGACCACAAATAAACCGGTCCTCCCCCATTCAATTAGATCCGTAAACCGGGAAACAGGAGTCAGGGTTTAGCAGGAAGGCGATAGACCGGTTGGTTAACCAGACGGCGGAGCTTTTGCCTGAGGGCGTCGGCCCAAACGAGGCCTTCTCGCTGCTTGTTGTTGATCTCCACCATCACCAATTCCTCCGTCAGCCTCTGAAGTTTGACCACTACGTTGACCACTCCCATCGGACCCTCCAGCTTCATCCCCCTCTCCGTCTTCTTCACTATCCTCAGACTCATCTGCTTCGCCACCGACTCCACCTTCCCCATTATCTCACCCGGCGTCTCGTCCGACACGAACTGCTCCAAGTGGTCCGGCGTCACGAAATTCTTGAACAGACCCGAGAGATTCGCCGACGATGACGACGATATCAGATCGAACGCGTTGAGATTCTTCGCCTGCTCTTCCAGATCGTGGTCGTCCGTCAGGGTTCTGACGATTTCGCCCGGATCTATTCCTTTTTTGAACCACGGGTCCTTGAGAATCTCGTCGACGGTGATTCTCCGGTCGGGATCGGGCTCGAGGAGACGCCGGAGAAGACGGTGGAGATCGGAGGAGGTCCAGTCGGGGACTTTGTATCGAGCCTTCTGGATCTTACGGTAGAGACCCATGATGTTGGGGTCGGAGAAGGGCAAGTAACCGGCGTTGAGGAGGAACAGAACGACGCCGCAGGACCAGATGTCGGCCTTGGCTCCGTCGTAGCCCTTCTTGAGGAGGAGCTCCGGCGCCACGTAGGCCGGAGTGCCGCAGAGAGTGTGGAGCATCCCGTCGGACTGAATCTGCTCCCTCATGGCGCTCAATCCGAAATCCGACACCTTGAGGTCGCGATTCTCGTCGAGGAGAAGATTCTCCGGCTTGAGATCACGGTGGAAAACGCCTCTCGCGTGGCAGTACCTGACGGCGGAGACGAGCTGGAAGAAGTACTTGCGGCTGAGATTCTCGGTGAATCGGTTGGTGGAAACTCTGGAGAAGAGCTCGCCGCCCTTGGCCAGCTCCATGACGAAGTAGATCTTGGTCTTGGTGGCCAGCACCTCGAAGAGGCGCACGATGTGAGGGTGACGGAGGCGGCGCATGACAGAGATCTCACGCTTAACGTGAGCCGTCAACCCTTCTTTCAACCTCTTCTTGTTGACGACCTTGATGGCCACGCCCTCGCCTGTACGGACGTCCACCGCCTCGTACACCTTCGCGAAGGCTCCCATCCCCAGGAGCTTCCCGAGTTCGTATTTCCCGAACAGGGCAGACTTGTTGTCGTCTCCGGTGACGTTCACTATCACCGAGTCGGCATCCGAGTCATCCGCCATTGCTGAAACAACATATGATATGCTATCTCTCTCCTCTGTTCCTTTGCCTTTGTTTTTATAAATAAGTTGGCTTGTTTGCCACGTAACCACCACCCTTTCTGTAAAAATATATTTATATTAAAAAAAGAAACCATTATCACATCCGGACAGCTTCTATTTCAACTGGTTGTTTATTTCAATAGACGCAAACTGGTCGGATTTCTTTTTTTTTATAAAAAAATTATTGATTTATAATTCGACTTTTGGTTAAAAACTTAATAATATTATGTTTTCCAGCTTCATCGATAAAACGACGTGGAGAAACGTTGCAGTCTTACACGTATATACAGACCCGTCAACATGTTTTTTTTTTAATCTATTAATTAAAAGTCGTATTTAAAAAAACCAATCTAAAATCAGAATTGATTACACTAAAATAAATTGAATAAAAAGATAATCGACTTCTTCGTGATATAGATGATGAAAACCGACAATCGATCCCAAAACAACTCGATGTCTAATCTAAAATATAGTTGGTTTGCCGTTTGTTTCCGAACGTATAATTCGAGGCGTTCTAATATAGCAAACAATATAATTTATTCAGGAAAAAAATAGACAAGGAATTCCTTATTGCTAACCGAGACCCTTATATATTGATTAAAACCGTCATACAAAAACTTTGGCCAGAGTCATTATTCGAATAAAAAGTGTTTATATTCATATGCAAGCGTTGATATGGTTTGTAAAAAAAACAAATGGTAGGGAAATTCAGATAGATGGATGCGTGGATCCAAGTCGGTCTAAGAATTTAATATAAATAAATAATAATCCCCTCGGGTATTGAAAAGGTGAGGGAAATGAGATATGAATAATCAGATATCTAACTTAAAAAACTGCTACCAGTTCGTGATTTCCAATATTATAGAATACGATATGACACGTCAGGTTTCAGGTCGTTAAGGTTTTGGTACACCAAATGACATGTTTATTTACGCATTTCATTTGCAAATCAATAGTTTCGTTTGAAGAAACCAAACCCGAGTCTTGCCTTGTGTACAACCCACGCATATATATGTGTGTGTGTGTTCCCACGCGCACACAATCTGCCAAATAAGTAGGACAAGTTTACACATAAAAAGGACCCGAAGAAGCAAGCACCCCCCTCTCTAGGCTAAAAGAAGCAGAGTTCCAATCCCTTGTAAACCGCGACCCAGAGAATCTAAACGCTCATTGCATTGCGTTTTCCATCAAGATTTGGAAACCATAAAGGCCAAGAATTGGAGCAAGGAGAGAATGACGACGAAGGCAAGGAGCTGATCGGTCATGGAGAATGATGCTTTGGAGGGTGTTTTGGTGTAACCCATCGATAAGCTTAGAGACGTACACTTTAGCTCTATCGAGAAGGACGAGCGTGATCCGTACGCGTCTGGATGATATATGATCTCTCCTCTATGGCTTTTGAATTCTCCTACGCTCCATTCCTGTGTCCAAAACAGACGACTGAGAAACCCACGTACATACAACAGTATCAGACACATGGATGGGTTTATTGTACCTCAAGTTGGCGGCCGAAAGTGACAAGAATGGTGTCCGGATCTGCGTGGAAAGAGAGCGGACTCTTCCCTGACCGGACCCGGAACTCGCAGTTCTTGGCGGGAAGGTGAAGGCAGAGTGTGTAGTCGAGCGAATCCTCCTTCTTCTCCCGGGGCAATGGAGGGCTTTGCTCTGTGATGTTTTCGTGATTGTACCTGTACACACTTAGCACTGATTCTCCTCTCTTGATTCTCTTCTCGCTCTGTTTTGTCGCGTTCTCCACGATGATTTGCCCCAGCTTCTTCGCAATCGCTTCCAGTTTTTCCGCCACGTTCTCCATTTCTTGGCTGCAGGTTGGGAAAATCGATAAAAACATGCTGTTGATTTGGTTGAATCATGAATCGGTTTCCGTTACCTGAAGCAGCGGTAGCGCTCAGGGCCGATATACTCGCGAGCCCAGTCCATGCGGTCGGTCCAAGACCGTACCCAGATGATCTCGTCCCTGTTTCCGACGACACTCCGGCGAAATCCGGTGTCTCTCTCCTCCAAAACTCCGAAAACCCGACCCGATTCCCTCACCAGAGACCTCACCTCCTCGCTCGATATCCCGTGCCAGCTTATCCTGAACGCCCCGAACTCACGCGCCGATCGCATCAGCCGATCCACCGAGCTGGTCCTCCGAGACGCCAGAAGCCGGAAATCTATCTCCGCCGGGATGGGATGGTGGCGCGTGACGCAAGACGCGCCACCGTTGTAGGAATCGGGCAGGGTGAGCTCCGGGATTTGGACGGATCTCTCGATGATCTCGGTGAGGACCTCGCTGGCGGCGGTGCGAGATCCCTTGGCGGTGGGGATGGGAGACGGGGGAGGCGGAGGAGGCGCCAGGGACGACGCGTTCAATTGGCTCCTGGTGCGCATCATCGCCATGGGAGAGAGGGAGATCGGAGAATGGAGATGAACAATGCGAATCGTCGGAGGAAATGGAGAAGAACGGTTTACATTTAGTATTTGTATAATGGGATCGTGTCAGAGAATACGAGTTTGGAATTCTGATGATGCACCCTCACCCTCGATCGTCTTCGCTGTTGAAGGAGGGATGCCAGATGGACAAGCTCTGATATGTTGCCACGTCATAACGCTCCTCGTATAAAAAAGTACGACAATTTTTTAAAATGATATGCAAATACATACCCACGACCTGAAAAAACATGTATCGTATATGATCGAGTCATGGGGACAGGACATCTCACTCGCAACTGAAGATCTTTTGTAAGTTGATTGGAAATAAATAATTGCTAAAATATATGCATATATATATATATATATACACGTATATGGTTGACGTCTAAATTGTAAGATTATACAGGAAACAGAAAAAGCCAAAAACAACTTCCAAACTAAATCTTACAAACAAACAGAGCTTCTTCGCTCACAGACAGCTCACAGACAGTTATATAACTTCAAGACGATGAAGAACAGTAAAAAAACAGAGGCTTTATATAGGATATAGGACAAGATCTAAGGTGGGGACTTTGGTCGTAAGAAATTGGGGGGCGGGCGGTGGAGATCGTTGATGTTCTGGACAGTATTGAAGCCACGGCGTCTCTTGTTGATGAGATCCATTAGAGATCGATGCAGCACCTGCGTCCTCATGTCCACCAGTGACTTGATTTTCTGGAGCCTCGGCTTTCTCCGTCCGCTGTTCTCCGGACATACCCTGTTCGAGTTTCGGCTTTTGTCTCTGCTCTCTTTAACTCCTTCCCCAGTGTTGTCCCTTGACTCTTCTTCTTCCTCTCCGTTTTGTGGTGTCGAGGAATTGAACGAGCTGTTCGAGCTCGAACCATCACCGCTTCTTCTGACATGATGATCTGCATCGGGACAAAAAAAAAAAAGAAATCCATACTGGTAACGCCACACCCATTTCCACAAACTGTGCATCTCCGAAAGAGATGTAAGCCTTTACAGAGGTTACTAACCTCGGTGTTCATCATCGTCGTTGAAACCCATGTTTTTGTTGGGTTGTTTCCCCGATGCTACAGGAGAATCTAGAGAGGAAGAACACGATGATATTGCGCAGAAACGGTGCGTTTTTCCATTGTCGTCATCATCATCATCATTTTGGTAACTGTGGTGCGCAAGAGAAGGGCCATGGGCATGGCACTGGCGTCTCCAGTTGGGGACAAGAGAAGATATCTCCTCCTCTATCATCCCTGCGATTTCCAGAGGCTCCCAATCAGTGATCTCCAGCTCTTTCACCATCTCCAGAGCTACTTCTACCGATGTGTCGTTTACAATGTCAAACGGAAAGTGAATGTTCCTCATGTGACCTGCAGATTTTATTCATCAGACAAACCGAATGAAACCATGTTAGGTTTTCCGACATCTTTCATGTCCGAAATCTCGCCAAAAAAGGTTAAAACGTACCATCCTCATCTGAGATCTGTACTTGCAGAAAAATGGTGTTGTCATCCGAGTTCATCGTGCCCGTAATTGACATATCAGTTGTCCTCGTCGGATCAACTGCCGAACGAGGCAGCTGCTCCACCACCGTTCCGTTTGGAGCCAAATTTTGAACTAATGGCGGTGGCAGCACCCTATAGAGAGGCACCGAGTCGATATCTTCAGATACGGCGAGAAAAGGATCAAGCAAGAGCTGCTCTGCGGGCAACCTCATCGAAACCGTGTCCAGGCATTTACCAATGAAACGCTGTGCCTCGGCATTTTTTATTCCGTAGAATGCTTCCGGCAACTTTCCCTGAACCGCAACAAAGAAAACGCCAATCAAGCCTCACGATATTTTGTCTCGGAAAAGAAAATGATCAAAGATTTTTACTTACCGAAGTAACTTTCTTGTATATCTGTGCAGGGTTGGAGCATTCGCTGTAAGGGTACTCGCCAGTGAGCATCTCGAGCATGCACATTCCAAATGAGTAAATGTCCACAAGCTCGTTGTAAAATTCTTCATATAGCTCCGGAGCCATGAATTCGGGAGTACCTATATCATAATCCAATGTCAAAAGCAGTATTAAGGCAATCAGTCATTCTGGTATCAGGGTCCAGATCTTATGGATGAGAGAGAGCACCTATGACGCTATGAGCGTGTTGTGATTCACGGAGAATCGCAGCTAGACCAAGATCACCAATCTTGACTTGCCCAAGATGACCATTGACAAAAATATTATCACATTTCAAGTCTCTGTGAATGACAGGGGGATCATGGCCATGTAGGTAGGCAAGGCCATTCAAGATCTGCCGTGCCCATCTCTTGATTGCTCGGATATCTACCTTCTGGTACTTCCTACGATACCTGCAATGATACAACCAACACGGGGATCATATCACCATAACAAGGGTCTCTAGAAGTTTGCTAATCTCTTTGATATCGTTGTTGTGATCATTACTCTCTGAGGGTGCCGGAGGTGAACATTTCAGTGATGAAGTTGAAAGTTCTGCAGGTAACATCTATCCAGGAAGAGGAGTAACGGATGATGGATTCATGGTTGAGGTTCTTGAGGAGGTGAACCTCTGAGTAGAGCCGTTGCAATGCCTCTGGGGATCGGAATACCTCGTTGAGCTTCACTTGGTTCCACGCTACTTCCATTCCCAGGACCTCGTCAAATGCCCTGTACACTGTTTTCATTGCTCCCTTCCCGAGAACTTCCCTGAACTGTAAACTCATGTCGAAATTTTCAAGGGACAGTCGGGGCGAAATGACAAGCGAGCAACATAGAAACTACACAGGCAATCATCAATTCAGCAAATGAATGATACGAATAGAGGAATGAAGTCGTCAAGTGATTTCGTTAGATCACTTCAAGAGAAAATCACCCAAGAAACTAAAAGGACAAGTCTTTTCAAGACAGAAACCAGAAGGTGGCTGTTTCAGACAACTGGGTCTCTCAGTTTAACCATTATACTTTCCAACGCTCCAATCCAATCATTGGTCTCTACACTCAAATCCATAAATTTTGCTTTCGTGTGTATCTGAAACTGAATACCATACTAATTCCATTACAAGGTTGAGAATACCCAAAGAAAGGGATCGTCTTGTCGTAGAACCTGCACAATCCAAGGCTCTCAACCTTGATTTCGGGAGCGGGTATTTACAGAATTTATACAATATCAATCAACCGAGTCCCAACAGAGAAATCGTGATGACTGAAATATAGCACAGCAAAAAACAAGGCAGAACTTACACGTCCGTACCGACCGGAAGGATCAGTCTCGACGTAGGGTGAGGGTTCGTTGGTAACTCCGCCGTCGCGAGCTCCGGCGAGCCGAGCAGTAAAAGTCGTCTTATACATGGCTCCGGACCCGATCTATCAGGATTCGGAACCCCCAACTGGAAACGAATCCGTATGCTACACGTATATATGTGAGAGTACTGTATCGAAAATCACAACGATGAAAACCGAAAATTCAGAAAAACAAGGTGTGGATTCAAACAAAAAAGGAAAAAGGGTATCGGGGCAACGCTAGAAAATCCTGGGTTTTCCTTCGTGATTTTCGTAGGTGAAGAGGCCGAAGAGCAACCAAAAGAGTCTGGAATAATCTACGCAGAGCATAACCCAAGCCATTTCCACAACACCTTGTCGTATTTTGAATTCGTACTCTTTCGAAATCATCTGCCTTCCCTTCGGATCTTAGAGACAGGCCCAGGAAGTTTGGTGGGGAAGCAGAGGATATGTGGCGGTAGCCGATGAAATTGGGAAGGTGGGTGCGAAGAAAAACCGAAGATCGTCACTCCTTTTCCCGGAAAATCACACAAAAAGAAAAGCCCTTAGGGAATCGGTTTCGCGGGGGGGAAAAGGGGGATTCTGAATTTGAAAAACCTGTGGCCAGGCATCAGAAGCACCATCTGAGTCACGAGTTGGAAAACCCAGAAACCCGAGTTTTGCCCTCTTTTTATTCTCCAAAGGACAGCTTGTGGAAAGTTTTTGGAAACCGATGATTGCGTAATTTTTTTTCTCTTGACATAGTCCGATTTGTTACCAATATTTATCAATTATCGCGTAATAGAAAAATAATATAATCTAATTCACACCACAGTCCAGTTTTATATTTATGACGATAATTAAAAAAAAAAAAGTCCTAATTCTTGATATGTAGTAGAGACACTGGATTACACTATGATTACTATATTGTATACAATTTAAGAAATAATAAAAATAGATCTAAAAGGAAAAGAAATTGGGTCATATAGAAATCTATACAATTTAAATAATAATAAAATATAGAATCACAAACATGTATGTGTGTGATGCATGGGGTAGGATGATGACAGACGGAAAAAGAGGTGGCATCATCTTCACACGTGTATTATTTCGAATAGCAGATACAAGTAAAACAACAGGGTTGACTTCCTCGTCAATTATTGCCACATACATAAAACAATCTTTTCCTGCAACCTTTAGTGAAGACAAAAACTATGCTTCCCTCCCACTGTTACAAAGGCAGCAAGGCAACACGAGAGATTGGGCTGATGAATAAGCAATCCAAGTGCCAGTAACATCCTAAAAACAAATTCCTACAGAGCAAAGACCAAACCTTGTTCCCGTCTTTGTAATTACAAACATACAAAAGCCCTCTCTCTCTCTCTCGAGTGTTTTGAGACACAGAGGTGGCTTTTATGCAGAGCACTGAATGTACACAAAAACATAAATCACCTCTCCACGCTGTTCTGCTCCCTTCCCCCTTTTTTTTTTTGTTTTGCCCATTTTATAAAAAAAACAAGTAACTCCGGGGACAAACCAGAAGAAGAACAGAGCATGAACACGCCGTGAACGTTAGACTAACTGCAAGTGTGAGGGATTTGGGGCCAATATATAAGGAGGGGTCAAACCTCCACTCTTAAACTAGCCTTTGTGGGGGCGTTAGAGCTCAAACTATATCACTAACCTCTTGTGATCAGACTTCACAAGGGCGGGAAATCGTCTTCGTCAGTCAAATGGTAAGACTCGGTAGCCTTGGCCCTGACAATGTCAGTAAACGACATAGAATCACAGATCATGATTTTGCTTACTTTAAAAGGGAATTTATCAAGCAGGAGACCTCTTTTTCCTACCTATCTTGACGCATCGTGGGTATAGGTTTAGGGCGGTTTATTAACCCAAGCGCCTGATCACGACCATCGAGACTTTGCTTGCTGCTGTCAGGGGAGGAGAGTCCGGCTTGTAAATGCCCGGTTGACCCGAAATCTGGAACCTTCTCGTGTGGATGATATGTAGAGCCGTTGGCCATTGCATCAGGGAAACTCGAATTTTCAGGGTAATCTGTGTGGTTCACACCATAAGAACCGTTCTTGGGACCGCCTTGATGGGCATAAAACTGAGGCTTGTGGCTGCCTCTCTCTGGGAAATTCATTTCTGACTGCATCATGCTTCGGCCATTGTTACGTGGAGACCTAGTTGCATGTTGCATCCTTCCTCTGGGAGAGAATGGTCTATCCCTGTAATGGTTCTGTGTAAAAGACCATGAAAGTAAAAGATCTGGAAAGTTAGAAACCTCGCCATTCTGACGAAATCACAAATGAATACAAATGCCGACGAAAACGGGAAACAAGTGAATCAGAGTAATAAATACCATATTGGGAAAGTATGTTCCAGTTCCCCGCGACTTAGGCAATTCCTCATTACCAAAACCTGTCCCTGGAATCGACTGAGGGTTCACAGGATAGAAAACCTGTCTTGGAACAACTCTGTTAGAATTTATTGGTACAGCAACATCCTGCCTGAAGGGCATTGCCCGTCGGATCACTTCCCATGAATTGTTGCTGCGAAACTGTGACATCATAGGAGGAGATTGTGGGGATAGAGGGCAATTTTGTAAGTGATCAAGCCACCAGTATCCAAACCGCAGACTGTTAAGCTGATTGTCATAATCCCCTGCCAGGTCTGACAGCAAGTTTGGAGAACCAGAAACATTGTGACCTGATTGATATAGATAAATATCCTCCTCCGGCCAAGACACAATATTCATGACTGACGTCTGGTGTATCGATCCAGCAGAGGGAAAATCTTCATGACAAACAGGCATGTCCTCGTCCTCATTAATATGTATATCTGAAAATCCTCTAGAATCAGCAAGCCAGGGATTTTCTCGCTGTTTCAGCTCAGCCTTTCCATTTCCTATTTCTCCAGTTCTCGTGTGATGAAGGGGATGATGTTTTCCACTCAAAGGAGAGATAGTACCCTTACACCTCACATGAAGAGATTTCAATGTACCTTCTGAAATATCAAGGCTTTGGATTCTCACGGTAGCCAAGTCTTTAGCATCCCCTACAAAGCGCCTCTCTGAAACACATGGGGCTGTAGGACCCCGTGACCCGCTTGAACTGGGGCTAGCTGTCCTTGATGCATTGGTTCCAACATATGATGAGTCTTCATGATCGTTTTTCCGGTTGCTGGTGGAACCAGGAAAACTGGAGGGTTCTGCCTCATCAACTGGTTGGCCTACTTGGCATATGTCTGTAATAGCAGTTGGCAATACTGCAGCATACTCATTGCACCTTACAAATGGAACAGAGTCAAGGACATCAGGCCTCTCGCCACTCCCATGCCGGTCTATTGTATTTGAGAAGAACTTACGGAGTTCCACAGATATGTCCTCTTTTGACTGCGAAATGATCCGCCCAAGTTTCCGAGCTCCATATGTGAAAGCACTCCTTATGCGATAGAAGTTACCTGAATAAGGAATTTTTAAAAACGATACAGATTTGACTATTCACAAAACTTATGAGTAACACGTGGAGTTATAAAAGACGCATAACATAGTAATTTGAAGATTTGTGTAATGTTTATACACATTCCTTTTCTACGGAGTACAAGACACGAGGGAATGTTTGGAATATCAATCTTTAACTCCTGGCTGCAAAATATCAACTGCCTGATGCAATACCAATTTAGGATGCAAGAACTCGGCACAATTTAAAGTTATTGTCCTAGCCCGCTCAAACGACTAAATCTAACAGCAAGACCAAACCCCCCCATGGATGGAGAAGAGGAAAAGCCTCAACCTTTGCTTACGCTGCGTCCGAGATTGTTATTTTCTCTTAGTGGATCGACTATATTGAGATGCTTTGACGGGAATGCACGCGAGTTTGTCTCAAATCCCCGTGAAGAAACAGAGTACATATCCAGACACTCCTTGAGGAACTCACTGGTCAACAGCAGGTCTTGCCCGCTGTTGTCTGGGGTCTCAACTACAGTAATTGAAGAAGAAAGAATCGTAAACACTAAATTTATAGAAAGAGCTTACAGTTCATATAAAACTGGATAAGTACTTACCGATAACTTCTGGTAGAGAAGATAAACGGAGTGGACCATTCAAGCTGATGCAGTAGTTATCCCAGTCAAACTTGCTGAAGTAGTCCAAGAATTTGTACAGAACCTACGAAAAAAAAAGGCAGATCTAAACAATGAGTAAATCTGAAACTAAAAAGAGACATACTCTTCGAAATTGCTGAAAGCTCTTACTGCAAGAGGACCATTCAATGATGAGTGGAAGAGATGGAAGATATATAGGACTAAAGTCTCTAAAGCATATGTCGAGATCAAGCCATGGTGAGCCCCGAGAATACGACTTTCGTAGTAGCACCAGGTTTTAATGAGTATAATACTCCGCTTGAAGAGATGATCCTTCCCGATAAGATGATCAATCTGCATGATTAAACCACCGATGTCAATTTCCAGAAGCAAAATCTACGTCTGCAACCTTTACATCCTTAAAAAATTGCGAAGTATTGACATGGAATTTTTGTTATGGCTAAAGCCACTAACACGTGCTGTATAAAAGATCTATCGAAACTGATTTTCCAAACACTAGTACTACTCAGAGAAGACCGAGTGATTTAAAGGGAAACCTGTAAGGCAGTGAAGCCCAAAACTATCTCACAAAGATAAATGTGCGAAAGACACATTTAACTTGTGACATTAACCTAACAAACAAAAGCTATCTATTAAATCTATACGACGCATGCCAAGTCGATACTCTGTAGGCTTTAGTACCTTCTCGAGAAAACACAGAGTACAAAGCCCTCCAAGTTGATTGAAGGATATATCAACCACGATGTTCTGCACCAGACATTTCACGAGCTTAACCTGCCACAGCAGGGAAGTTTCAGCTAATTCACACGACAAGATAGGTATGAACCGAGCTATCATATAGGTACTGAGGATACTCACTGCAGAATCATGATTTCGGGGGTTAAAGGGTAAACACAGAATAACATACGGATGGGTAAACAAACCTCGGCCCGTATTAACTGGACATCCTTAACCACAAACTGTGCAGTTCCGTTGTGCTCTTCCCTTTCGAGTACAGAACAAACTTCGCTTGCAAGTGCTTCTTCAAGGTTCAATCCACCAAAAGCTGTGAGATCTATGTCTCCGTCAGGAAGATAAGTTTTCAATGGGACTGATCCAAAAGGATATACCTGAGACACAGACACTTAGTCAGTGACAACACCATTATCCGGGAACTAAGTGAAGTGACCACTTTGGCATCCAAAACTATGGGTGAACGTGTAATGACACCCAAAACAAGAACATTATCGAATACTACTCAAAACATATACACGTTCCGAAGACAAGCTTTGATGGGATTCAAGCAACAAAGGTTAGCCCAAAATCAAAATCTATGGAACTCTCGGAAATGCGGACAAAAAAACCCAGAATACTTGAAGAAGGACCTCGCATCCAAGAGTTGTCTTGACGAGTATCTGCACGTAATCAATCACAGCTCTTCGTCGCTCCTCGGACACCAGTGTGGGATGCACCTGCGCTATAATCCCCCGGGTGGCTTCCTCCGCTCTCTGCCAGAACTCTAACTGATCCGACGGCGCTCGAAGCGGCGGCGGAGACAATGGAGAAGATGATCTCTCTTCCAGTACGGACCAATCATCTAGATCGCCCATGAAATGAGGAAAAAACCCTAAAACTAGGAGAATTCGAATTGGTTACTGCCGCGCAAAGGGAAACCTTCGCCGGCAAGCACCAGATTGATCAACGGCGGATTCAGAACGTCGTTTGCCCCGCCGAAATTGAGTCCGAACCCGAAGCAATCGGATCCCGGCGACGACGACGACACTAACACAAGGAAGTAGAAAGAAACGGAGAGAATCGCGAGCAGGGAGGATGATTTCGGGTGCTTTTCTGGGTTTGGAGGATTCGAAGTGATGATTAGTCTTCAGAACCCGTTTTGTCGATTGATGTTTTTTTTCCTTTCCCCTTTTTCAAACTTCAAAAAAAAAACACAGGAATTTGTCTACTTCTGTCCCTGTCTCCTAGTCGTTCCCGTCTCTTTTCCTTTTTTTTTTTTTTTTTTTTTTTTTTTTATTAGCAAAATATAATAAATATGCCAAAATAATAGTGGGTAAATTTTGGATTTTTTTCAATAATATCCACATTAGTTACAAACATTCATTTTTTATTTCAAAACTTTCTTATCAATTAATCCATAACAATTTTCGCATTGAATCTACAACTGATTGTAGTTAAAATATTAATTTGTGAATTATACTTGAAAAACAAAAACCAGATTTTCCGATTTGTTTTGTCATTATCACCACATAGATGATGTATCATATATATATATGTTGTAGCGAATGATTTGCATTAGAATAAAGATATAGATATTAAAATGGGCCGGAAAAAATCTGCTCCAAGGTTTAAAGCCCCCAATGACGACGTGAAGGCTAAAGCGCGATCTGCGACGTACCTCGCCGGAGAAAAATCTGGCCGGAGAATCTCAAGAAGCAGCGATGATCGTCGAGGGACGGAGAAGGCGTTTTCTTCGCATACTGATGGCAATTTCTCTGACGTTTCCTGCTCTCTCCAACGCTTACCGGCCTGGAGATACCGTCCCGACAATTAGCAAAATATAATAAAGATGCCAAAATAATAGTGGGTAAATTTTGGATTTTTTTCAATAATATCCACATTAGTTACAAACATTCATTTTTTATTTCAAAACTTTCTTATCAATTAATCCATAACAATTTTCGCATTGAATCTACAACTGATTGTAGTTAAAATATTAATTTGTGAATTATACTTGAAAAACAAAAACCAGATTTTCCGATTTGTTTTGTCATTATCACCACATAGATGATGTATCATATATATATATGTTGTAGCGAATGATTTGCATTAGAATAAAGATATAGATATTAAAATGGGCCGGAAAAAATCTGCTCCAAGGTTTAAAGCCCCCAATGACGACGTGAAGGCTAAAGCGCGATCTGCGACGTACCTCGCCGGAGAAAAATCTGGCCGGAGAATCTCAAGAAGCAGCGATGATCGTCGAGGGACGGAGAAGGCGTTTTCTTCGCATACTGATGGCAATTTCTCTGACGTTTCCTGCTCTCTCCAACGCTTACCGGCCTGGAGATACCGTCCCGATGAGCAAGAAGGGCCAGTAGCATGAATCTTCAGACTGCTGATCTGATGGTGATTTTTGTTCCTTTGCAGTCGAGGACGACATGGCATGATGTGATTGGGGATGAATCGCGAGGTAGGTTGTGTCATAGATTGAGGATGTTTTTGGTTCGAAACTTGTTTATACATCAGTTTGAATTTGGTGTTTTATTTCTATTGATTTTTATTGCGAAACCTGTTGGCTACACGGGAGCCGATGCTTACAAGATGTGAGCGACTTTTGAGTCTATATGTACATGGTTACGTATCTATTTTTGCTTCTCGCGTCGGCTATCCGATTGAAATGGCAGTTTGTCGTTTGCATCACCATCTACTTCGAATTCTGGCTATGACATTTACATGATGATAAACGTTTATGTCAATTTTATTATTTGTGAGGACAGAATAAAGTGAAACCTCAACGACCAACTAACCCACTAAAGTGTAATAGTTCCAAGAGTCATTGCATCTTCTCCATAACATTTTTGGAACAGATCATAATATATACCACCGGTTTACTTATTCCACATTTATAACTGACACGAAAACCAATTAGTATCAAATTGAAAATGTTGGTATGAAATGTGAAACTGATGATTCAATCCACGCTTGTGTGTAATAAATGGACCGCCGAACTCATATTAATTAGGGTAAACACGCGTCGGAATCAGATGCAGCAGTTTGTCGTAGTAACACGTGTCCGTCATTTACAACTACCACCACCCTCCTCCTCAAATAAATGCATCTCCATTCCGTCAAATTATATATTCAATGAACACGTCTTCGTATACAAATATTACATTAATTTTGTCGGGTTCGGTCATAACAAAATAATATTACATTAAGCAAGCAAAAGAAACAACCTCATTTACAAAGCATATACCAAGAAACTTTTCGTCTTCCAACTATTAATTTCTCATGTTTTTCATTTTCACCAAGGAAAATATTTATATGATAGTAAAAGGAACACTAGAAGAAACGAGGATATAATTATTTTGAATAAGAAGAGGATGTTATAAAATTAATTAAATGAAACCCCAACCACCAACCAACACTGATCACCACTCCCTACAAATTCCCATCTATATATAAACCCCATCACCACGACAACAACAACAACCGTACAAACCCTAATTAAACCCTAACTAAAAGAGAGAAAAATGGCATTCGCAGTAAGATTCATGGCATGCATGGTGTTGGCAGTTTGCATGGCGGCAGCGACCGCAAACGCAGCGATCAGCTGTGGAACGGTGACGAGCACACTGTCACCGTGCGTCAGCTACCTCACCAATGGTGGTTCGGTCACGTCCCAGTGCTGCGCTGGTGTTAAGGCTTTGAACAGCGCGGCTCAGACCACACCTGACCGCCAGCAAGCCTGCCAGTGCCTCAAGTCCGCCGCTCAAGGCATCAGCGGTCTCAAGCCCGACTTAGCCCAAGGCCTCCCTGGCGCTTGCGGCGTCAGCCTTCCCTACCCCATCAGCTACAGCACCAACTGCAACAAGTACGTACATACACATATATATACTTTTGTTATCTTTTTTGTATACACAGTATCTTGACTTATTGTTTTCTTCTTCTTCTTCTACCGTTGCAGCGTCCAGTGAAGTGGCGACTGTATCAGGTGTGAAGAGCCTGTGGAGAAGCACGAGGAATAAAGAAGGCTATTCAGTAGTTATATATATATATGTATGGTCTGCTCTTGAGTTGATGGCATGGTGCTGTGGTATTTATTATCTTCTATCCCCATGTATCCCTTCGACCGCTTTATAATCGGCATGGATATCTATCTATCTATACATATATGCTTTGTTTTCTCGTTTCTTCACAGTTATTTCAAGATGATGATTTCTCTATCCTAAAACATCCTTATCAAGACCAGAGTCTGAATTAGTAAAAAAGATAATGCGGCGTCAAATTCATGTACGGCGCGGAAACACGCGGCGCTTCAGAGCTGCACCATACAAGGCTGAAGCCACGGCCCACATTCCCCGTCGGTTCAGTTCCTTGATCAATGTATCGTACGACGTTGTACTTGGAATCTTGCCTTGTCCGTACATCACAAGTAGGATGTTTATGGCCTCTTCAATCCTACCTTCTCCACTAAGCCCCTGTACCAAATTGTTAAACGCGATCGTCCTCGGAACAATCCCCAACTCTATCGCTCGTTCTAGACACTCGACAGCTTCGTCGAATCGCCTTCCCACGCAGAACGCCCGTATCATTAGGCTGTGCATGCCCAGAACATCCACATCTATCGCCATGAGCTTTCTCTTTGCCGTGAGTGCTCTCTTGGTCGTTTTGTCGAACAACTGGTGGGCGTCTTCGACGAGGTCTGGTTCCTCAAGTGACTTCCCGCATAGGCATCTGAATAAGCGTTTCAAGATCCTGTCTTCTGGTTCAAGACCCGTCCTTTCCATCTCCTTGTACACGCTTAACGCAGCCCGAAACTTTCCCCACTTGAGGAATCCGTTCATGAGAGTGCTGTAAGTGATGGAATCCGGAGAGCATTTCCTCTGTTTCATGAGCTTCAATAGATTAAACCCTTTCATCGGTCGTCCCTCTCGGCAGTACCCATCGAACAGAGTGTTGTACGTGATGGGCCCTGGTTCTAATCCCGCCTCCATCGCTTCATGGAGCAGTTCCTTGGCGTCGTCTGATCTCCCGACTTTGCAGAATCCATCCATGACAGTTGTGAATGTGTACATATCAGGCGTTACTGATTTGTTGTTCTTGATGGCGATTATCATCTCATAGGCTTCCTCAACCCGTCCAACGTAACACAAACCCTTTAGCAAGCAATTGTATACGCGAATCGTGGGTTCGCATTGGATTTTCCTCATGGAGTCGAAGATCTCAAACGCCTTCTGAAGTTTTCCGTCTTTGCAGAAGCAGTCTATGAGAACAGTGAAAGTGGCGATGTCTGGGCGATACCCCATTTCCAACATGTCGTCCATGGTCTGCTTAGCCTTGTCAAATTTGTTTCTTCTGCAATGGCATCTGACCATCAATGAAAATGTACGGAGATCTGGGACGAGCTCGTAACTTGGAAGGTAAGAGCAAAGCTCGGATGCAAGGTCGTTCTCGTCCCGTCTGATTAACGTTGACAGGATCTCGTTGAAAACGGATAAACTCCGAATTCTTCCATTGCTTCCGAAGAACCCCAGAATTTCTCTCACACTCGAGAAGTGAAATTTCCCGATTTCATCAGCCGAATCCTGTAACTCGCTCGGGCGAGCTGTTTTTCCCGAAAGATGGAGGCTTCCTTCGGGTAGGTACTCTGTCTTCCTGAAGGCTCTGCTGTCTCTGCCGGAGAGTGACAAGGTCACCGGGACAACAATCTTGGACCTGCCGGAGATTTTGAAGCTGGAACGTGCATGATTTTCCGGGAAGGGGATGAAGCTACCGAGAAAAGCGGGTCGAAACTTGGATGCTGATGAACTTGGAGACGCCATGCCCGAGAGAGGAACACAGATTCGCCGCTTAAAATCACTATTCGTTGCGAATCCACTGATGCCCGCTAAAGCCCAAATGAACTCAGGCCCATGCCCGACAGTAAGAATAGATTATGAACAAGGGTGGTCAATCCAAGGTGGAGGAGAGAGATTTCACAAGGCACACTGAAATTATTTCCATTCCGAGTGTAATCCATGTTCAGTACAGACAGGACAGAAAGAAAAACGATCAAAAGAAGCGGAGAGATCTGCTGAAGGCCTTCCAGTTGATGGGATTAAAACTGGGTGCCTCTGGGTTTCGTCCTCCCCTGCCTTTTCTTCTGCAGAGCTGAGTGGGTTTCAACAGTTTCTTCAGCACCTTACTCAGACGGGAACCTCGTCCGCCACCGCACTCCTCAGCCTCCGCCGCCGCCGTGGATCGGCTGCGGGCGAGCATTGCCATGTTGAGGTGGGCCTCGAAGGACAGCCTCTCGAATCGATCCAACAACGTGCTCTGCTCGTCGCCGAACCTCCGCAGAACCCGTGACTCCGAACGCCGCCGTGGCTCGCCGTCTGGTGGGGCCACCTCCATGGCTTCTGGCTTCGGACAGAGAAGCGAGAAACGTGGTCGGAGCAAGCAAAGGATCTTTCAGATTGTGTCTGGCAGAAGGAAAGCCCAAGAGACTCCCCTTTTGCAGCGAACTCAACTCCGCCTTTATTATCTGTCGAACATTCACTCACATAAACCGTTTATTTCCCTTGGGGCACCTATTTAATTTATACTTTATAAAATGGTCGGGTTTTTGTTTTGATGGCATGGCACGAAAGAAACTGAATTAAACATACGACGTATCCACAAAACATATATGTGTGTTTGTTTTTATTCTGTTAAAAAGTTGTATAAAATCATATGGGCTTTTTTAATACGTGAAGGAATAATGGGCTTTTCCTAACGGCCCAACAAAACGCCGCGAGGCTCTCCAGCCTCCAGGAGCTATCGCCAAGGCTCCATCTCTTCCCCACGATCGATCACCAGTGCTCACACTCGCACGTGTGTTTAGGGGTGGGCACGGATCGGATATCCGGAGTTTTTCAGGTATTTGTATCCGTATCCGATCCATACAAATATCAAAATTTGTTATCTGTATCCGATCCGTAGTTTTCGGATATCCGTAAAAACTACGGATATTTACAAATATCCGTATCCGATATAAAAATAACAAAAATGAGAAATAAAATAAAATAAAAAATTCAAACACAGATAAAATATATAATCCATCGAATAAAAAACTAAATTCAAACTCAAAATACATAACATAAATATAAATCGATTATAAGTCTCACACACATATACATCAGAAAAAATAAAAAATTCTCAAATCCGATTCTGAGTTAAGAGAAAAATATAATAAAGCAAATGAACTACAAATATCGATCATAATCAATGAAATCTTTCTATGAAAAACACATATAACCAACGAAATCTCCAAACCCGATTCAGACTGTTCAAAAATGGGAAAATGCCAGAGAAAATGGATTGAGAAAGTAGTTGATTAGAGATCAATAAGGTTGATCGATAGAGGTTCAAAGGATCATAAAAAATGCGGATTATCAAAGAAAGAAAAAGAGAGAGCAAAAATGACAGATTAACTAGGAAAGAGAATACGAAAGAGAGAGAGAAAGAGATAGAGGAAGGCGGAGAACGCTCAACGGAGGAAAAGAAAAGGAGTAACAAAAACCCAAACATATTTTTTATTTTTACAAAGAGACCCTTATAAATAAACTAATTACCAAATTAACCATATATTATTAATATTATTAAAAAGTATGGATCAGATCGGATATATCGGATAATTCTATTTTGATATCCGTATCCGATCCGTATCCGACAAATATTTTGAAACTAATATCCGTATCCGATCCTCCGGATATCCGAATTTTCGGTTCGGATACGAATCGAATAACGGATCAGATCGGTTTTTTCGGATATTATGTCCACCCCTACGTGTGTTACATTACATACATACCATTTTAAGATTTGAATTTATACTTTGGGTATTACAGTACACAGAATGTTCGTTTACGACGATCATTTCTTATGGACGTTGACGTCACTTAAAATGACCGTGATTATATAGTATATATTATTTTTATACCTGTGGGCCCCCCAATTGAGAAATGTTTGATGCTTCTTGGGGCTTCTTTGGCGACCGTTCGGTTACTTCCGACTCTCCGACATCGTTCGAACCATTTCTTTCTCCCACCCCACGTAGTAGGGGTAACGGGTCGGATATTCGAGAAAATTGAGCTATTTGGATTTAAATCCGAAAGATTCGAGTATTTAGCTATAAGATTTGTATCCGAAATTTGGTATTTACGAATATCCAAGATATGAGTATCTAAAATAATAGTCGGATATATGGATCCGAATTTATTTAAGAAAAACAACAATATTTATATATAAAATTTTAAAAAAATGAAGATATATTTATAAAAATTGATGAATTATGATAAAATATAAGAGACAAAAGAGAGATAAATAATAATAAATTTAATTTATTTGAATTAATATTAAAACATATAAAATTATTTAATCTAAACTAATTATATTTTTATAAAAATATTATATAAATATAATAATTATTTGTAATTATAATTGTCGGAACCAGTGAATGCTGGCACGCGCTACTTCCCGAACCTCCGTGTGCGCAACCCCTTCTTCTTCCATTGCGCAAACTCTTACGATATTTCTTGATTCGCATGAGCTCAGGTGATATTCGCGGATATCCGATTTTAAAAATTTTATTAAGATTCGAATTACGAATATTGAAAATCGAGATTTGAATTCGAATTTGAAAATTATGAATTGTATACGTGAGACAAGTATCCCACAAGTACCCGATTTTCGGTTATTTTTGCCCAGCCCTACGAGTGCACGCAGTCCGCAAATTCCTTCCTTCACAAACTTTGCTTTCCTCCTCGAATTCGATCTCTAGATCTCTTTTCATTCTCAGGTGACGAGCGTTTCGGTGGAGGTGATGTCCGTCAGAAACCCTAACCCTAGCTCTCTTCACACAGCTCGTCCAACCCCGCCGGTCACTCTCTCTGCTTCCCCGTCTATGCGCCTTCAACTTCCTATCAATCGACGCCGTTTCAGAGTCCCTAAATCGGCTCGATCCCTCTCTTCGATAGGAACGAGCTCCGACGTTTGCTATCTATGTTCTCATGATGCCTCACTTAATCGATCCTTCGTTACTTTCGCTGCCTCTGACGAAGAGTCGGTGAGTCTTGGTTTGCCTCCGAAACTTTCAATCTCTGATTTTTTTTCCATGTTGCTTTGTAGCTTTCGGATATTCCATCCGCCTGATCTTGTAAATTCTCTGTAGCACGAACTTTTGTACTGTTAATATGATCAACATTTGCATTTAAAAGTTCTGATGAAATTCGGACTTCCTGGATTTGATCTGTGAAGAGCGAGTTCCGATATTTTTCATTATCTCTTGTTTTGGTGAAATTGGCGATAGTTTCTCATGATTTACCATTAGTATTTTTCAGCCAGCCAAAAGATGCATTTTTGGATTCAAGTCGTCAATTTGTAATGCCGGGATAGCAGGTAGGTTTTGACTGGCATTGGTTGTGGATTTATCAATGTGAGCGAACACGATGCTGCCCACGAAGAAAAAGCTAGATCTCTGACAATTTGTACTCTTGAACGCCGTTGAACTAGCAGAAGAAGCACTCGGAGGTTGAAGTGGAGAAGCAGAGGAGTGAGATAGATGCAGAAAATGAGGTATTCCATGAAGCGTGGAAACAAGCTCTTGCTTCTTTCAAAGAGTAGGTATTGAAAATGCAAAGCCCATCGCTGGAAGCATACAAGGTTAACTCTCAGAAAGCGGTAGTTGTCTTGAAGGAAACCTCCGAGCAGCTTAGAATTCAAGCAGAAAAGGCGAAAGAAGATTTGGGTGCAATAGCAAAAGAGATTAGCGAAGATGGAATAGAATACATTTTAAAAGTGACAGACGATTCACCTGCAGATGTGAGAGAGATCATTGAAGCATTTGCCTCTGTTGATGATCTCAAAGATGTTTCTCGAGTAGATGACTTTCACATTGGAGTACCCTATGGTAAGCATGTGATATATGTCATTCACATTTTTGTTATTATAGTTGCATGTGTAATCTAGGAAGGGTTGATAAGTTCTTGTACTTTTCAGGTCTACTTCTGTTTGTGGGAGGGTTTCTTTCCTTTATGGTAACTGGAAGCATTGCTGCCATTAGGTTTGGGGTCATTCTCGGTGGGGCTCTTTTTGCATTAAGTGTAGCAAGTCTAAAGGCTCAGAAGAAAGGAGAATCATCTACGAAGTTCTTAAAAGGACAGGCGGGTAAGTCATACATTTACAGTAGTTTGACTCTTCGTAATTCGAATGGCCAGAAAATCCAAAAGGGTAAAGAGCTCATGTCTTACTACAATTAATCAAATTTGCGTTAAGATAACATCACTTTCCAAGTGGCCAAGGGCTCTGACTGTTCCTTAAACCACAGACATATCTTAGGTGATAGCAGTATAGTTGGTTTGTGTATCCATTCTTGTTAGTAGTGGTGATTACATTTAAGAGATAAATCTTTGTTGCCTTTCCATTTAAACAGACAAGAATCGTCTATTAAATTATTAAAAGCTTAAAAGGGCAGGTAGGTACTTCAATTGTTGATCTTGCGAGTTGGTGTTGCCAAAGAGTCAACAGGTCAAAATTTTAAACTACCTGAAATTGCATTTAATTGGGTATATTCCTCAGATGTGCGGATAAGTAGACTTGGGGATATATTTGTTAATGACTATATGAATGATCAGTATAACCATTATCCTAGGAAATAAGGCCTATTTCAAGAGATAAGTCTTTCAGTATATTGGTAGCTTTAAGAGTTTAAGGTACATGACAAATCTGAATCGGATTTGGCTTACTTATGTTGGTTTTGGTTGGCTAAGCTTTCTCCCGCCTCACACTAGTTATCCTGCCCTGTGTGATCAACAGCTATAACGGCAATCATATTTTTGAGAGAGTTGCGGTTGATGTTATCTCAGGTAGTGTATGAGACGACATTCTGTTTCCAACTGTGCATTTTCATGATTCAAACATTTACGAGGTTCTGTTGTTTTCTCACATTTTGCAGAGATCTGTTTTCCTGGGCCTTGTGACTACTCTTATTAGGTAATATACGCACTTATCGTTACAACGTTGGGATTTCATTTGGAGGGAGAAAAATGGAGGCTGACAGTTCAGTACTATAATAATAATATATGGAAAGGGCATGCTGCATGTATCTCGTGGATTAGTAATGTCTAAACGTTGGATTTGTTGTGATGAGAGAAGGGAGGCTTTAAATTTCTAAGATAGGTTTATGTTATTTAGACAGACACTGAATCCAGCTGATGCGTGTGTGCAGCGGTGGTGTCTTAGCGTTTCTCGTCTACAAGATTGCAAGAATTAAGAAATAAGGAAAAAGGACCGAGCATAGAAGGAATAGCAGAAAACTGATTACCCTTTGGACGTGGGTAATGGCAAAAGCCACCACATTATAGTCGTTGAGGAAGAAGGTTATCAGTGAGGGACAATTACCAAAAAGGGAAAAGAATAATGTGAGGAAGCGTGTGTGTCTAGTGACAGGTACGATGGTATATGTTTGTTCCCTCAAGATGGTCTTTTTTTTTTATAATCCGAAAGTTCGTCGGCCTTTTTGGCCCAAATATATCTCCCAAAGAATTGGGGAAGTTTTAGTGAATACTCCTTCCCAAGTGAGACTAGAACCTAGTTGGGAAAGAACTTTGGTCTTTTTCTTACCAGTTAAGCCACCTATTCGGTCTCAAGATGGTGTCTTGGTGTGCTTCTTCTGGGCATTACATACATGAGTGTATTTGATCATATTCTAGGGCTTGGATAAATTGACCTGATATGTATGCGTGCGGGGTATGGCTGAGTTATGCTTTTGGGATTTGGGTGTTAATTTTCTGATGGGGTGTTTTTGTAGGTTCTGGAGTTTAGGAATAAGTGGAGATAGGGTCTCTGATAGGGTTTAGAGGAGTGGGTCATTGACTCATTGGGGCTTGGTGGCCGATAAAAGCCTCTTTAATAAAAACTGGCCGAGTTTCCATTGAATAAAGTATAATTGTCAATTGGGTAGATCCACCCCATTTGGCATTTGAGCCCAATCCATTTGGGTCTAAAGAATACTTGGATTGGGTTGGTTCGATCCGTTAAACCGGTTTAATCCATTTACATATTTATATGTTGTATGTGTATAGTTATAAATATATATATGCATATAAACTAAGGATTGACATTTCGGTATTGAGTTCATATCATTAAGTTCTATAAAAATATATCCTAATAGGCTATTTTATTATATTTGGTTCGGTTTCGGTTTTTAATAAGAAAAATGTATATTTTCTTAAGACACAATCAATTTTTTTTTTTAATTCGATTCAATTCATTATCTTTTCAGGTTTTTGGAACGGTTTGATCCATAAACGCTATCAAATTTTTTGGTTTGGTAACAATATTGAGTTTTTTTGGTTCGGTTCAGATACGGTACCTTTTTCTATTCGGTTTGAAAAAGGTATCGAATTTTTCAGAACGATTTTATTAGAACATGGTACCTAGTTTTTCGGTTCGGTTCAAAAACCATATTGAATTTTTCGACTAGGTATCGGATTTTTCGGCTCGTTTATGTATATATAGACACATATATACATATGTGTACGTACATGTATATATACGTGTGAATATATATATATATACATATATATATATATATATATATATGTTCCTATGCATCTATATATAACAGATTTGATTAAATATGTAATGGGTTAAAGGGATCAAAACATCTTTAACCCATTTGATTTTATAATTGGGTCGACCATTTTGATTTTATAAGTGAGTTATGATGGTGATGATGATGGTGGAGCTTGACTTTGGAGACCCTCAAATCTGGAACTCGTATACTAAATCTTTCATTACGAAAGTTGGTCGTATATTTTTTTTTACGTAAATTATATTTATTTTTTTAGTAAAGTTTAATTATCTATATAATAATTTTAAATAAGTATATTATTTCAGTAAAATAATAGTTTTGTTTAAACGATAATACATGTATTTTCTCTCACAAACCCATTATTTCTTTATTTTGACAGTTACGAAATAATAGATTGCTATGACTTCGTCATCGTTACGAAAAAAAATACCTAGGTTTCTTATTTATATTAAACAGCCTGCCCAACCCAAGTCTTCTAACCATAACCTATATATACAATACATATGGATGTCTGAATAAAATACCTACGTTTGAAACCTATTTAGCTCTCAGTTGTGTACACTTTTAAGTTCAATAATGGATTATACAGTTTTATAAATATGTATATTAACTTACCTTCTTTCAAGAAATTTCTATTTGGCTCTGTAGTGACAACCGTCTTCATATGTGTATCCATTATCTTAATTTAAATATTTGAAACAAACATTGATAAATGCTTTAACAAAAAAAAAACAAAAAACAAACATTGACAAATGTAATTTATAGCAATAGAATAAAGAATACACGAAAAGTCGAAGACGATCTCCACGCGCCGATTTTTGGTACGGACGAAATCAGCCGAAAACTGTGGGTTGTAATCCACCCAAAATGGGCGCGTGATGTTAACGCGCGGGGTATGAGAGTGGGTTTCCTATCGCGCGTTTTTCATATTTTTAACCGTAGGCCTTGCAATCTGTTCTGGAGTTACTGGCCCAATAAATACAGTAGAATTATGGTCCTACAATCTGTGTTGAGTCAAATTGTTTTCGCCCCCATCATTTTTAATAATATAAAATAATACGGATCAGCAAGTTTATTTTACATTTTATTAATTGTAGTGTTTTTTTGTTATTTGGTAAGTCTATATCTTTAGGGCTAGTACGTCTTGTGCATGTATAATATTGCCAACTCTGGATACAAGTAGATAACCATCAATTTCAAATTGATATATATATATATATATATATATATATAACTTAAATTTGGTTAGTTCAACCGATAAAATGAGTACGCAAAACGTCTATTCATCTTACGTTTGAACCTAAATTTGGAAAGAAACATATAATCCAAATCATATAACTTACTTCTGATCCAATGATTACTTTACACATTGGTACAAGATACCCATTTTTACCCTATATATATATATATATATAATATAAACATAAGGTTTACATAAGGTTTGTGAATGAGCTCTGCACTATTTGGAGCAGGCAACACGAGCGGACGAGTACTTAGAAATTTTCGAGCCACCCGACTTTCACCACATCCCCTTAGATTTTATGGCTAAAAAACTTGCTTTTTGACCTCATGATAGTCCGACATTCGGACAGTAAGTGGTGAAATCGCGAAGGACAAGTAAGGGAGACAAGATTTCGAGAAAAGGACAAGACAAGAGATGCGATATTTCAAAATGTAATCCAATCCGAGCTTCTTTTTTTTTTTAAAAATGAAAAAATCTTTTGTGAGTCTTGCCCATCAACTGTTCGACGAGGCTCGAGCTCGCAGGTAGTTGTCACCTTTCTCACGAACCTTGCCCAATTCTCCTCAACCTCAACTCTCGCTCCCACACGCAGAGGCAGACCGATCTTTCAAAATGTAACTCAATCCGAGCTTCTTTTTTTTTAACGAAACCCTATGACCTTTTGCAAGTCTCGCCCATCAGCCGTTCGACGAGGCTCGAACTTGCAGATAGTTGCCACCTTTCTCACGAGCCTTGCCCATTGACCTCATGATAGTCCGACATTCGGACAGTAAGTGGTGAAATCGCGAAGGACAAGTAAGGGAGACAAGATTTCGAGAAAAGGACAAGACAAGAGATGCGATATTTCAAAATGTAATCCAATCCGAGCTTCTTTTTTTTTTTAAAAATGAAAAAATCTTTTGTGAGTCTTGCCCATCAACTGTTCGACGAGGCTCGAGCTCGCAGGTAGTTGTCACCTTTCTCACGAACCTTGCCCAATTCTCCTCAACCTCAACTCTCGCTCCCACACGCAGAGGCAGACCGATCTTTCAAAATGTAACTCAATCCGAGCTTCTTTTTTTTTAACGAAACCCTATGACCTTTTGCAAGTCTCGCCCATCAGCCGTTCGACGAGGCTCGAACTTGCAGATAGTTGCCACCTTTCTCACGAGCCTTGCCCAATTCCCTTCAATGGCAGACCGATGTTGTAGGGAGTGGGGACCAATGTCCCACACTAAAAATTAAAAAAAACAATATTACTTTATAAATTTTATTAAAATTTTAAGAACATCCAATTATAATTTAGATGTAACCCACACCATTTTTACCCTATCAAAACAATCTCTTTTCTCCTTTGATTTTTAAGGCCGATTATGTTTTGTAAATCTCTCCCCACATCTTCGACGTCTTTTCCAAAAATAAAGTTATCAACACATTACCCCAAACCAAAAAAAATCCGACACTGCCCACGCACATGACCTCTTTCAGCCTTGGCTTCTCCCCTGTTACCGACAGGCTCAGATTACTAACCGACAAATCCCAAATTCGAACCCACGGTAGAAGGAAACCGATGTGCACATGTACTCAGCTTGGATTCACGGATAACCGTGGAAGTGGGATCAGGCACCCACTCCCAACCGCAAGGCACTTCCCACTCTGCCAGTAAGCGGAAACGTTTCCCTGAATATAACATAAAAGAGGGATAGATAGGACAGAAATATAAACACATCTATTTTAATCTGCGTCCAGTACAACAAACAACTAGACACGCTTAGACTCTTATTAGTGGCTTTGTAGTATCCTAATAAAATTTACATTAAAGGCGAAAAGTATCAAAAGCCTCGGGGGGTGGATTTATGATAATACATAAAGGAAGGGAGATGGTCATATGTCCATATGGGGACCAGTAGAAGCCGTGTTGGGTTGGCTGTCCAAAGGCATGTACTGCGCCATGATTGCCCTAATCTCCGAATCCATGTAACTCTGCACGTCCCAACACATTAACATTCCAAATGTGGAAAAAACACCACTCAAAGATGGGCAAGTACATGATGAAAAAAAGATGGGATTTTTCAAAATATACCCGGATCCTGTACTTGTAAAGGGCATATCCAGAGAGACTGGCAGCAGCTAACGCAAATATGAGAATCCAAAGCATGCTCCAGCTGAGCTTCGTAGCTCCAACTTTGCCTGAACCTACATCATGTAAAATCCTTAAAGTTGCAACGTCAACCCAAAATATGAAAGAAAATGTTGATTTTTCTGTACCAATGCAAGTGTCGTGTTCACGCATGTAAAGCAATCCGCTGCTGCAGCTGCATTCATAGCTTCCCCATGTGTTTTTGCATTTGCACTCTGGGCACTGGCACGCCACCTTCTCTTTGCACTCATCCACATCTATTCATACACATTACATACATCAACGGAACAAATTATACCCTGGGAAAGCTTCAATATTTATTTATGCAAAGTTCCAATATTGTTATACGCTCACAAGGAATAATACTATATACCTATGGATACTGGTCATACGTACAGCATTTAGATGATTTTCGTCATTCTTTGTAAACGCAGTCCTGAGTAGTAATATAGACTGCAACTAGTATTCCCATATTACCAATAAGAGGCCCACAGATAACTGCAGTATAGTTACCGCTAATATGTAAATGATTTATTGCATTTGATGCATACGACTAGCAATATGCCTTGTAAAATACCTTCATGGTTCTGTAACGTATACAATCAATAGCTACAAAAGTCATCTAAATAACTAGACTGCATCTACATTATACGAATAAACTATCCAAATAAAGTATAAACCATCACTAGCAGTCATAAATGACCAAGTAACACGTGCATATAGATAACTAACAATATTGCCTCACAAGTACCTTCACATTTCTTCACTCCGTCACCCTTGAACCCAGGTGGGCATTTGCAATCTTTAGAATGATCATCCTAAAGCCCGGTTTCGATAACCAAATGAGTTTAACTTCAGTGGTCATGAGGATTATTATTCATAAATAGCACCTTACGAAGAAGTCAGAATACTCACGATGCAAGCAGAGTAAGTGTGGCCATTCCTGGTTTCTCTCCAACATCCCCCATTGTTGATTCCACAATGCAAAGCTCCAGAGGCTGTCAAGACAAACAATATTGAATGCAGTTCATGCACAGAATTCAAAAAATTGCATCTTAAAAGAACAGTAATAGGACAATCTATGTTGTACAACATGGAGACAACCTCTGAAATTGCCTTGCTTTTCATAGCGTATAAGGAAATCTGTACTTTTTCACAATGTCGTAAGATTGAATTCTTTCTATTTCTAAAATGGATCAATAATTCATTCCTCTTTTCGTATTTCAATTTTTTCTACCACAGTTCCATACTGTCAAGTTCCAAATATGAAGAAATAGAACTACTGATTTGATTTGTTCTCGTTAACGATCAAAATTCGAGCGGTTATGGTATTAATCATTCGTCCAATTCTTGATAAGAACCACCTGTAGCAACAGACTCACTAAATAGACTAATGATATCCCATGGCATTTTCCCGTGTCTCATAGCCCGCACAAAGATGATCAATCTAAAATTACAAGATAGAAATGCTAAGTCCATGCAGTCTGAATGTCAACCTAAAGGAGAAGAAATGGATTACCTTTGCAGTGTGTGTAACCGTCGCCTACAAATTTCACACCCTGAACAGTAGGGCACTCACAGACTCTTCCTCGAAAAGTATCCTAAAGCATGGGTTCAGATCAAAACAAGATAAGATTCTCTGGCAAAAACGAAAAAGAAGAAAAAAGAGTTTAGCTCACAACGATACCCGGCATGCTGTAATGTTGGCAGCTCCGTCTCGCCAGCACCCACCATTGTTTATTAAACATTCATTGGTTTCTAAATCTGCCAAAATAAAGAAAGAACTTCACAATATTGCTCAGCTCAGAGGTCTTTCGTGATACATGTTTCACCATTTTAAGTAAATAAAAACTTAACTTCATCGGTGTTTCCGGATCTATTTCACATACTTGAAAGTAAGGGGTAAAAAGCGTTATCTCTGATAAAGTTTCAAGACAAAACCACAAATAGCATGAACCACAGACCTTCAGTTAGACATATTGCTGGTTCCGTTGTCTCTTGAAAACCCGCACATATAGCTTTGAGCACTGCGCCCTTTTCCAATTTACCTAAGACCAGGTAGAATATTCAAATTTTAGGAAGCTGAGATGCTCTAGAAGGATAGAAGACAATGACGAGTCAGAATTCCTAGTAACCTCTGTACTGTCTGTTGTTCACCACAAGTGTCGGAAGTATAGTCACATCTCCACGAGAACCTTTGCCTATCTGGAAAGGCTCATTCAAGAACAGAGAATTAAGGGGAAAAAACATGTTAGAAATCCACGATTATGAGAGCTCTGCAAGAGTAGGAGCCAACTGGTTAAAGGGTGAAACCTGTGACTCCTGTTCTGCTTTAAGAATTGGGTTCTCCACATCTGCTTCAGTGTCTCCGATGCATTTGTCGACCTTCTTGAGATCAATACCTGAGTACACATGGCACCAAGCAAAAATAAAACAGAATTAGCCGCTTTGGATTGACACTGAAGGAAAATCAGACTATAAGCACAAACTTGGAAAATACTTTTCACTTCCTACAAAAGGCTAGGAAGGGGCAAGCTCGTAACTTAATTTAACGCTACTAATTGGTTGGTTCTTCTCACCAAATTCCAAAGCACGTGAAATAAAATTTTCAGCTGTACCATGCAAAGATGAATATTTTGCAAGCCAAAATACAAAACAATATGTATATATATTTGTGTGGGAATGTATAAAAACAAGAAGCCCTTTCCAATAAAAAAAGGGTCAGTCCATCTAATAAACCATTAGGCAAGAGCCTAGATAGTCAGGCTGTTTTTCCCGTAAGGCTTCACAGAAGCAAAGCTTATAAGCTAATGAGGCATTACACTTACCCAGGGACTTGATCACATCATCTGCGCATTCCTTAGTGTACTTCTTCTCTTTCATAGGACACCGGATGGCAAAGTCGGTCACGTAATCCCACCAAATCCAGGGCTTACCAGTGTCATTCACCACTTTAAAGATGCAAACCTGGCGTAGATTCTGTACAACAACATCCTTCCCATCATACCCTTTCGTAAAATCCTGCTCTGGATCTGGTGCACAGTACCTTCCATGATTGATGCACTGAGACTTGCACTGCTTACTCAGAAGGAAAGATTCAGGGCAGTACCAGGTGATATAGTGTGGTGTGAATTGGGTGTACCCTCCCTTCTCGAGAATCTGAGCTGCTCCTTTGAAATTCTTGAGAAATTCAATCTGGGTATCACATTTCTTTCCGCACTCGTCATTGCTGTTGGTCCATAGTTCATATTCAACACGTTCATCGGGATGTGGAACAGACTCAGTCCAGTCTAGATTCATGTTAACCATATTCCCACTGGATAAAGCAGACTTTATGCTGTCTCCCAAAGATTTGCTGATGAGAGCAGAGGGAATGGTGATCTTATCAAGATACTCAGCATCAGCATTATCCTCTTCAGGTGTATCCATTGTGATCAATGGTTCAACTTTGTTATCAGCAACAAGAATAGCAGCTGCCCCAGCTCGTTGTGCATTCCATGCCTTCAAGGTGAAATAACAGTCTGTTGACAGATAACGAATTCAGTTCCAGACAATGTAACTGACTATACGAGACCCACATCTGACTTGTAATTATTAGCACTTTGTAAGAGACATACTAGACTATCACAATACTAACGTAAAAGAGATTAAAAAAAAAACTGAAAACAATACAAGTGAAGTTTCTGCAAAAACCTATGGATTGCAACATGAAAAGCAACCAAAATTGCTCATAATCAAGAATGCTAACTCATATGCCACCATATTCGTCTCCTTTCCAATACAAGACATCTTGAAACAACATGATAAAGAACAAAGCTTTAACAACAGCTCATTACTGATAAAACATTAATATCAGTGCAGAAACTAACTACCATCCAGACAAGAAACAGCACAAACACCGCCTAGCACTCAACCCGAACCCAATTGATTCTAGAATAAAAGAATAACAACTAATGAGTCGGGAGCTGTTAAGATGATATATTGCCAGGCATCTAAAATTCAAACTACGAGAACTTATTATTTCACTGAACTTGCTCAGTGAACCAATTATGGGCATCATATTTCTAGGATAATCTCAGTACACGAGACCAATTAACCCAACTCATCCACGAATCATGCAAGACAATATAAGACATGGATCAATAAACATCAGATTTCCAATACATAGTAGCCATAGCATAGAAATCTGTTTAGCACTGTTGGATAATCGACCTAAACCGTTTTTTTCCCTGTGATTTGCCACTAAATTAACTGGCCGATAAGCATTAATGCCATCAGACAAAATTGCAACAAGAAAGAATTGTGAACAGCAGACACTACAAATTAGAACAGCGAACTGATTTATACGCAGGCAAGGAAGCAATTAAAACAGTAAAGTAATCAGAGTACAAGGCAGGAAATGCGAGAAAAGAAGTTCAACCTCCTCGGTCGATAAGGACAAAGGTGGGAAGGTGGCCAGGCTTGGATTTGAAGGAGACGTCGAAATCTTCGAAGTTCTTACAAGCCTTCTGGTTCGAACTGGGATACACGACGGTTCCGACCAGAGTTCCTCCGTACTGCGGAACTCCGAAATTTCCAATGGCACACTCGTAAATACCTCTGATCGAGTCGGGTGATGTCACTTTCAGGTTGTTCTTCTCCACTACAAATCTACCCAGTGCCGTTCCCAGTATCAGAACAAAGGACAGGGCGAAAAACCCTAGATTTGCCCTCATGATTTTGGAGCCTCTCCTTGGGTTCAATCAAACCGATCCACCAAAAGAGGCAAAAAGTATACCCCAGAGGAGCAATTACGATCGGAAATGGTGAAAAGAGAGAAAATCAAAATGGCAGAGACGATGAAAAAGATATTCGAAAGAGCGATGGAAGCCCTCTCGAGGAGCAAAGCGGGATTCTATTTAGCCGTAAACGATAAGACAATCGAAGAAGAAAGGTTGAAATTAGAAATAGGAGGGATGGAACCGTCAGAGGCGGCGAAGAGACCGTTGACAGTGGGTAGGAATTTGGTCTGATCCACGAGAGGAGTGGGAAGAAGCAAGCAGCGAACCCTTAAGGAGCAAGCAAGGAACGGAGAGAGAGTGGGTTGATTAATTAATAAACCAAATCACGAGATTTAAGAAAGGGTTCGCTTGAACCAAGTAAATTGTCAGACGAAGAAATCTTTTTTTTTTTGTCGTTAATGTCAAAGTAAGGGGACCACATTTATGGCCGATAAAGATGCATGGGAAACACGTGGGTTAACCTCAGGACTTGAATGTGAGAAAGAGATTGGCTGATGCGTCACAAGTGAACGTGATCCATTCCCTTGTTAGAAATTACGACAAAAGAGAAGAATGGGATAGCAGTAAAGGAAAGGTGAAGACTTTTGGTTTCGGATTAAGCAAAGTGGTTAGATAACGTGGAACAATACAATAGAGACTAGAGAGGCTACTTGTATTTCTACAGGTACACCAAAATGGCTTTTTACAGAAACCGGGATGCCACAATTTACACCCATACTCCACGGCTGACGGGCTGAGTTTGTTCTTTTTCCTTTACTTTTACTCTCAACTTGGTATAGAGGAAGAAGCTCATCACCCGCCAATGAGATACCTTCCTCCTCCACCTCATCCGCCATGTATGCGTACCTTCATTGTTCGGTGTTGTTAACCATATCACCAATCCTCTTTCTTAGTTGAAAACTAAAATACTTGTGTATGTGGATCATCAGCCAGATGTATGCCAGACTCCACATTTTTTGGCAGCTAAAGGTTACATACAGTGGTATAAGTCCTCTGTCTATTAATTAGGCTGCTGCTATTGTCAAACATCTGACCCATATAACTTTTTTTTCCTTCTACATTCCTTGAGATTCCGGTTTAAGCTGGATGGGCATACATACAGCAACATCAGAACCTATGGCTTTAGCTTTACCAGCATTTTCGAAACCATTGTAACCAGCAAATTAACGAAATGCAATTGCACACTCACAACATCATTTGGGTTGGGCCTGTGGATAGCATTAGAGCTAAACACATGCGGATTGCCTGGTTAACTGGCAGTAGCTGGACCATCTCCTAGTCAAACCTAAATATTGTTCCAAGTTTCTTTCAAACCAAAACTACATGGGAAATATTTCCTCTTCAAATGCAATAACAGCAAGTTGTATTGCACAAACTCAACAAAGGGTCAGAGCAGAGAAAGAGATAATACCTGGTTGGGTTACTAGATGGAGCCCAGAGCACACATATGACTACCAGCAGAGCATAGGCAAGTAAATTCCAGAATGCCGGAATTATCCATGCCACTCAGAGAGTCAGTTGCATTGAAGTATAGCTAATTCGGAGAAAACAGGAAGAATAAGATTCAGCTACATGCCCTTTTTAATTCCCACAATCTCATTATACAAGCAAGTCGTTACCTCAAACCCGATCCAAGCAACGGAGAGCAACACTGAAGCAGCAAGCGCATTTGTGAAGTTCCTATACAACTCTAGCTTAGCCATGTTCCTCTTAATCTGCAATAAAAATTCGACGAGTGAGCAACCATGATAAAGTAAGAGCCAAAACTTCTCATGGATGGCTTGAAGTGCTACCAATCTAAATAGGCAAAAAAATGTCACTGTTAGGATCAACATATTTCATAGATTTTCGTCATCGGTAGATGCTTTTAGACCTGCCAGTTCCCCCTTCTTACACATTGGATTTTAGCGTTCAGTTCTACTTGTAGGTTGGCAATGGATGGATTTTCCGTAGTATGTATTAGGTTCTTATCTCTTGCAAAACGAAATCTAGACAGCATCGCATGGTTCTGATATGAAAAACCATGCAGTATCTAAACAGGGAGTTGTCAACATAAGTACAAGTGATGAGTAATGTACAACAGGTGGGAAGTCCGGCAAAATATATACATGATCTGTTATTAATGATTGATTAGTGAGGCCAAAAGCTAAAAAGGATTGCATAGAGTTCTCACCTGAAGTTTCTCAAGAGTTTTTGACAATGACGAGAAAATCCACAGAATAAAGCAAGCGTCCAGTAATGCCACAGGAAGTACCAAAAATATCACTGTTTTTCCAGAGAAGTCGTTAATGTTTCCCAGATGTTCAACCAGCTCCAGTGCCTTTGTTGCAATAAAATAAAATAAAAAAAAAACCAGAAGAAATACCCTCGAAGTTATGCCACCAAGGGTAGGCTTCACTACCCCATAACCCATTGAGACTACCAAAAGAAGAAGCCGAGACAGTGTCTTCTTCACAGAGGAAAAGGTCACTGCCCACATAGTAACATCCATCCGCCTCGTCCCAGTGGAGTTGAAATTAGCATATTCAAAGTACCGGATTGCCATCTCGCACATGCCAAGAGCAATTACAAGGGTGATATGGTAGTGCAACTGAATTATATCCTTCCACAATTGAACAAACCGTAAAAACCATACCAGGCCGAGCAAAAGGTAAGCTAAAGATATGAAGCCGAAAAATTCCATCAAAGGAGCCATCTTTCCAGGTAAATACCCATCTGGGTTCTTCCAAATTGTTCTCCCTCTGATTATAGTGCCTTCCAGTTCTGGGTCACAGATAACGAAGTAGAGGTAGTACATCCCAGTCTTATTTATAACTATGGCCTCCGGTGACATTTTAACATCCTCCTTATCTCCTTGAAAGAAGGTCTTGATCCGTTTTGGCCACTCAGGGTCATTGGGATCTCTCTTGATAATAACCTCACCCAAGGTGCAGGATCTAGCATCAGCAAGTTCGGGCGTGCAACATACTGCATCAGTTTTGAGAAAGGAGCCCCCGATTGTAACTCGGTCCTTCACCTCAAGTACAATCGCTTCTACCAAACCAGCAGTAGCCTGCATCGCGTTATGCTTGCTAGCAGATTCCTTGGTCCTCACAAAGGTGACATCGTCAAACCTAAAAAGAAAGAACGGCTAGAACAACATCAAACCATTCTTCTCCAAGTGGATAACTCCTCTTAGATGAAATATAGGCGGACAAAACATTTCATGACTCGATAAGCACTTCTGACCATGTTTGTTCTTGATTCCTTAGAAAAGGATGCTAGAAAGAGTTATGAAAGCTCCAAATCATACGAGAGCAAGGGTGAAGCAGCATCACAGGAAAGGATATGAAGCCAACGTCTCTGCGCTATCTAGCATTCTAACTCTCAACTTAGAGATATAGAAAATACTACAGATTCAGCCAAGCCAACGACTACTTGGAAAGAAGCTACCAGATAGAATCCATTGTAATGCTACTCCAAATTCACCAAACCAGATTCAAAGATCGGATCAGCTTCAACACTGTACGTTCTACGATCGAACCATACAACCAAAAAATGTCACCCGCGTGTCCAAATTTACCCAATCACAGAGAATATTAGCGAAAGAAGTACGGCGAGTAAGCTTGGACTCACTGAAATCGCATACGGTACATCTCTTGAAGTTCCCCCCTAGGGAAAGCCGATTGATCAGCGATTCGACAATCGATCGCACGTACATAACTATAGAATCGAATAGGAAAAATAGCATCAGAAGGAGAGAAAGTACCTGATGAAGGACTAGCCCTTGAGAGGTTTATCAGAAGAAGCATTGAAAAGGAGAAACTTAGAAGCGAAGAGACCTTCGCTACCGCCATGGAAGAAGCGAGCGTTGGAGCATTTGGTAAAGCTTTCGTCCTTGTATTCGTGAATCGAACCATCTGCTACGGCGATCAGGCTTCCGATTAAAAACAAGGAGATCGCCCAAAACCCTAATAACCGATCATCTTCCATGTCTGTTAACGCTCGTTACTCTCTGCAAGAGAGAGAGAGAGACCAAACAGAAACACGACCGCGTCGCCAGAACGGTAAGTGCGACTCGTGTACGGTTAGACCCCATGTATTGTTGGAGCCAATTGTTTCGGTACCTACCATACGCGTCGTCTCGACTTATTAAGCAGCAACTACCTGTAGTTTTTTTTTCCTTACCTACTCTACTACACTACACATCTCTCGAGTTTATGTGGTGATAGATTACTATACTAATTATGCCATTGCTTACAAGAATCTCTTGATGGCTCTCACGTGTTGTTTTAGTTTTTACTTGAAAATACGGACCAACGTTTCCCATGCATGTTCTTTTTTTTTTTCTTTCTCACCATATTCATTCCACCGATATACGCATATCCAAAATTTCCAATTAGTAAATTCCCTACTCAGTCTTTGCTATAACCCCAACGAATCCAATAAACTTTCTCGAGTTACTCAGTTTGGACGATTACCACTCAAGAAATGAGTTACATGCAACTCTATTAACTGGACATTTTAAGTCACTCGACTCATCAACGGCACTCGATAAACTCAAACCCTCTAAATTACTTCATTTTTACAAACCCCGATGAATTTAAGTAGAGTATGACGAATTACATACAAACTCAATCCTATACAAATCGCATACATGTAAAAAAAGAGGCAAGAAAAGACCTGGTCAAGTCATACGAGGGTTCTCAGTGTATCAGGAGAAATCAAAGCAGAAGTGCATGTACTCAAAGCCAAAGGAAACGACCATGTCCAACGTGGAGGCCGCACATGAATCATCGAGCGGCGGCGGAGGAAGCTCCTGTTTCACGGGGAGGGTCCCGTCGAACCTTAGGAAGAGGGAGGAGGCGCCGGCCTCCTCGGGAGAGTGGAGGATCCCGACACGTGTGCTGTCCGTGGTACGTCGTACGGAAAACCGGAGGGTCATCTCGTATCTTCTGCACTTGCTTCGTCGCTTTGCATTTCTGGTCGTACTTGTGTGTGCACCTGAAGTAGTTCCTGTATGCCACCAGATTGGTTTCGTAATCATATTTAACAAAATTAAAATTAATTTAATTATATTATTTTACTAATAAAGAGCGTGATAATAGAAAACAAGAGGGCGGGCTACATACCTAGGGTGCTTGGAGCGGAGGATATATTTCTGCCCATATTTTCTCCATGAATGGGCGTCATCAAAAGGTGATGGTGAGTCTTCCCTCGACCACGGATTCCCATGTTTTCTGTAATCATTTGAGATGACATAATCATTAATCTATATATATATCATGCATTAATATCCGGCCCGCTGCATGGGTTTGCTAATTATTGTGATGGACCCTTTTTCTTTTTAGAAACTCAATGCATTTCATTGTCTTTATACTAAGATCTTTTACAGCTTGAATGTCTAATATCTACAATCCAATTTAACACTAATTGATACTAAAAGATAAAATATAAGGACATGTTATAGACTATAATTATATTCATAGACTACACTGTTTGCCAAGGGATTGATAGATCTTATTGTTTTTAATTTAATATTTTCAGTTTTTTAAATAATATCAATCATATACAGTAATATACGTGACGTGCAAGTTGTAAAGTCAATAGATAATACCATATATATGATGTATACAAGATGAATAGTCGAAAAATAAATATAACTGAGCGACAAATTCATACAGCTGTATTGAGTTGTATCGATAGTTTTATCTTATTATCGATATTCTTTTTATTGAACGGTATCATAAATATAATTTCAAGACCATTATAGTTTTTGAATATCGACATTGATAATTTTACAAGTAGCAATAGTTATACATATGATTGTGAAATGCACGCAATTTGTTGTTTGATGTCTCAAGTCAATGCAAAAAAGTGAGTAAAATCTAACAAAGAAACGAAAAGAGGAGACGAATAGATCCAAATGTTGTTTGATCTCTAACCCTAGCACAGAAAGTAGACGACGTACAAATCAATCAGGCAGTCAGTATCCATCTCCATTGGAGATAGGAATGAGCTAATTGAGATGAGACCAAGGACTAGCATATTGACCACGTCAATACCTCAAAGCCCCGCAATAAATTCCGACTATATATATATATATATATATATAAACATAGTACAATAACCAACCAATGAGAATAATCTAAATTGTACCAATTCATATGGCCTCTATAAATAATTTCAATCTCAGCCTATGTATGATGCAATCATGGCACATAATGCATATGGTTTGCGGATGACTGGATTTATGAGACTGAAAACTGATCATTCAAACAGATAGTCAACTTATATAGATCGATTATGTATGAATGATTAACGAATAGACTTCCATTTTAATGGAGGAAAACTAAACATATATAGAGATTTTGAAATATCAGAGAAAATCGTCATATAACACAAGGGAGTAGATATATACATGCGTTTGTAACATCCTCTGCGGTTCCTGGGGAGGGAGGAACTGTGGATGCTCTCGCCGGAATCATCGGATCTCCGGCTATCGGGCACCGGAAACTGGGATACATCTTCGAAGTGATCGAATCCGCGAAGGATGCAGAGACTATTGGTGAAAGAGGAGACAATCTTCTTCAGAAGAGCCTCCTTCTCTGCCTTCGAAGGATTCTCCATAGCCACCCTCAGCCGATCCGCGCAATCACGGCCCCGGATCAGCTCCATCGTCAACCCTAGATTCTCCTCCGGCGAACTCATCTCTTTATTTTTAATTTTTTTTTAATTATTTATCGTGTAAGTGTGGAGGATTGAAAAACGGGAGTGAAGGGGAACGGGAAATATAAATCCCAGAAGGGGAAATGTCGGGGAATGTTCCGTTACGATGCGCCGTTAAGTTTAACGACGTGTGTCCTGGGAGGTGGTAATAACATCTAAGGAACGTAACGGGGCCGTTAGCGTCGAGGGGGTGATATCACGGTGTATACGTCACCAGCCGGACGTCTGCTTACACCATCCCGCCTTGCACGCCGGGCATTAAAAATATACACTCATTTTATATAGATTTATTGTGGAGAAAGACCGTTATAGCCTTCGGATTAGTACAGGAATGAGACCAAGGTGTCATGGCGGCTCTCTCTCTCTTTAGATAAAATCGATGGTAATACGGGAGAATTTTGAAGCGAAAAATAAAACACACTCACAGAGAGAATTCCGAAATCGCAAAAAAAAATTGGGTGACATTTAAATAACTATTATTCATTTGAAATTCACCATTTTTTTTGGAGATGTAGTGAATCTACATGTTCGTATACGCAACAATCTCTTGGTACTATATTAATTTCGTCCGTTACCAGATGTAATTATTTTATATTTACCAGACTCCACGTGTCATAGATCCACGAATTCCTGGAGTAAATGAGAGCCGTTGGATGCATACACGTCAAGCATTCTGCCCAATTCTTTTTCGTTTTTTTCTCTTTCATCCATTTTTTTTTATCATCAACCACACACACACACACAAACAAACTCCACTTCGTTCGTTTATTGGCTTTGAGTTTGTGATTCAACATTGTTTCAACTCTCATCTCTCGTTACTGCTTACACAAAAGAACCTTAACCCTTCTTTTTTTACGTTCCAACGGTCATGACATTGAAATCCTAGTCTTTACAAAAACCTACTCTATATATACTATATACCACCGCCCTAAATGTTGTGTATATATATATATATATATGATCTTGGCCCTGCGTTCTTTAAACCAAATCCTCGAGTGTGTATATATATAATATAATATAATATAATCAAAACAATATACTGCACAACATTTCCTTCCTATAACAGTGAAGTTAATCGTTATTCAGATCCACTTCGATCCCATTTTCCTATCAACCACATCATCATCATCACATCTCCTCAGAGTCCTTGCTGTCGGGGATCACCTGAGTGATGAGAAGACAGACAGTTATGTACGAGAACATGGAAGGACTTAAAGTTTGACTCCTTTTAACCGCTCCTACTGCTGGCATTATCACCTAGCTAAGTGGACTAGTGATCCAATTTTATTTTTCCACCGATTGCTTTTTACTACAATTATGAACCTTTCTAAGTCCCTTACAAGACCAAACATCGAAAAACCCGAGTCATGTCAAGTCAGAGGCTTAACATGATACCGGGTATTGATTTATTAGAGTTATAGCCATGGATCGGTACCCTATAAGAGTGAGCATACGCGAAATCTGAATTATGTATGTACCTGACTTAATGGCTCCTGCCAAGGAGACAGATGAGAGCAAAATATGAAAAAGACCATCTCCATGTGTCTTTCTTGACCTTTCTTCACGTTAAAGGGCATCATGATCTGGTTTCGGTCGTAAATAAGCACGGCGCTTCTTATCTAGCTTCTCGACTTCTCTTGCTATCTGGATATCCGAGGGCCAGAACACTTGGCTCATGACCTTTACGAGAAAACGGGGCAATAATCCCACCACTGTTATGAGTAGAATTGTGAGCCAATATCTGGCTGTCGTTACCAGATGGTATATTGTCCTGTCAAAGGTGTGAAAGACAAAGTAGATTAGCTCCGCGTTCAAAAGGCATTAAAAAGAAAACCTTTTTTTTTTCCTTCTCATTTTAAAAGAGTCCTGGAGCTAACCCGTAATTGGGGAAGACAGGTATAGAGTCGAGTACCACCATGCATGCATATGTTATCACAATTGACCCCCAAACAGCCAAATGAGTGACGAAGACCCAGCGTTGAATGTCCATAGCAAGGTGTATATTAACTATGATAACAACGGCTATAGTCCACAAGCTCCCGATACTCCAAATATCAATTGCGCCTTCCTTATAGGTGAGCAGGGGTACGTAGAAAAGAGCAAGACTCTGCCATAGTGTGTCTATCATTGAGAACCAGAAGAGGCGCATATTATAAGCCTCGTGTCTGTGCCCCGAACCATAAAGTTTTGGGTGCTTCAGTAGTGTCCTATGGCTTAAATCCTTGTCTAAGATACCAACAACGATGGTGGGGATCGAAGTGTATATAACAGAATAAAATACGCTGCTCCAGTCTGTTAATGCTGAAGTTGTAGAGAAAGCTGTGCAGAGTATGTACCTGCCGGAAGTTGTTAAGAGCGCGTCAATGAAAACCACATAAATAAATTATTGAGAATATAGCTGCAATGACTCTCAAATTGAGGCTCCAATTAGCAATTAAGAATAGCGGTAGGGAATGAAGATGGTAGAAACAGTTGATGGCCAGCAATTGCAATTGGGAAATGGAAATGGTGTCATTTTGGTAATCAGCAATGTGGTTACACAATAATAGTTAAACGAATCATATTTGCAGTTCCTTGTCCATCATCTGTTTCTATGGATTTTAAAATGATCTAAACCATATCAAAACAATTTTAAAAAAAAAGTATAACCACACCCATTTGTTAGTTTGAAAACCTTTTCCCTCTTTCCTACCCATGAATCCATGTTTCAGAAATTTTTTCAATATTCTTCTTCATTTTCTTAAATTTTTTTTTTCTTTTGGATACTTTCTTAATTTTTGTTTTTGTAAATATGTGGAGAAAAACTGAAAACATGGTTGAAAACGTACTCCTCAACATCTGCATGCCCAGATGCAGATGCAAGCACATCTACAAGCTTTGGCACCAGCCGGGAGGCTTAGAATCAAGGCATGCAAATGGATGGTGCAGTATTAATACTGACAAACTGGTATGGGTGAAAGAAAGGCTTACCAGAAGAGCATCAACACAAATACAGCGTTGCGGTAGAAGTTGTAAAGAACTAAATATGCGACGCGTTGATAATTCCAGTGTCCATGAACTAACAGCAGTCTCTTCAAAAACTGAAACTGCCCCATAGCAAAATCTGATGCCATTACTGCCTGACGGCCTTCTTGTCCACTGATTCCAACCCCAACGTCAGCCATTTGAATCATTGAAACATCATTGGCCCCTGATAGATTTGTTGGCCAGAAGATGATTTGGCGAAATCTTGCTAAAATGTGCAAAAGTAGAAGTAAATATCATAAACACCACTCACCATCACCAATCGCCAGTGTCATGTCATCAGTACGACTCTTGATTAGATCAACTATTCCAGCTTTTTGTAGTGGCGCAACACGGCAACACAAGACAACTCTACAAGCAATTGCCAGGTCAAAAAGCTGTAAAAACATCGATGGAAAAGAAGGTCAACCAACAGAACTATGTGAAAACAAAAATAAACCAATCAACTCTATTAACACAACAAACAGAGCTAGAGAGAATAAATAATAGATCCTCACATCTGCCTCCAAGTCTTTCTCCAAAATGTACACAAGACTGTTCCCATCTATGATGAGTGCAAGCGGAGCACATGAAATCATCACATCCTCCTGATAGGGCAATTTTTGTATAGCTGAAGACTTAGGGCCATATACCATCGCAAGATAAGGATTCACAATTTCGTTTTCACTCTTAACACTCTCATCTGCCTCAGACATGGATCTCGTGACATATTTTGCCTTTGCATCAGTCAAGAGGGTTCTGCAATCATCCTCAGAATGGCCATTTATAATTATCTGTCGCATGTCAGTAGTTAGAAGCCTGCAAGAGAGACCAATTGAAATTGCTGTCTCTTGTTTATCCCCTGTCAGTACCCAAACCTTGATTCCAGCTTCTCGCAGGGCCTCAATGGCTTCAGGAACTCCATCTTGAAGCTTGTCCTCAATTCCCGTAGCCCCAAGTAAATTCAGGTTGCATTCTACGAGAGATGCTGTTTGCCGTAGTTTTGCAGCTCTGTCAATCAGAGAAGTGCTAGCTTCTTCATACCTCTCCTGCCATTGGTCAAGCTCTGCAACTGTAAGATCCTTGGCAGCAATTACAAGTGTGCGTAAACCTTGTTGAGAATATTCGATCAAATGGTTTTGAGTTTCTCGTCTTAATTGATCACCCCTCTCATGGTCTTTTGCCAGTATACTGAACATAGAAGTATCGGCACCTTTGACCAAAACCTTAACGACATTGTTCGGAAGTCTAATGACAACTGACATCCTTTTCCGCACACTGTCAAACTCATGCAAACCTATAACATCCAATCTGCATTGACAACATAACGCATAGAGCCAAGTTAGATGGTATCATGGTAGAAGATATAATTTGGCTATAACAATGTTTCACGGGTATAGCAAGAAATAGTAGGCAACTTCCTTCTCGAGGAACTTCTTCTTGTTTTTTTTTTAATTCCAGATTTCGTACCTTAGCTTCTCACCCTTGACATCAATCACCACATGCCCTGATGTGCGCTCGAAGAGAGTATATCCATACGCTCTGGCTGCACAAACCAGTGCTTGCTCATCAGGGGATTCACCTTGATACTCAATAGCTCCAATATCTTCTTCTGCTCCATGAATTGGGATCACAGTGTTACAAGCTGCTAGTGCAAGGAAAAACTCATGTGCTGCGATCCTGTCATCCCCTGTTACTTTTTTGTGCAGCAGTTCCATCAATTCAAGATCGATAGGAACTTGAGACTTGCGTTTGCATCCTCTATCTGTAAGCGAAGAAGAACAACATTAAGAGACCCACTTAATGTGAGAGCAAAACTGAATTGGCTGAAACAAACTCTACAGTGACTAGTTTAAAATATAGCTAACGAGAAAGAAACCATCAACACAGCAATTCATTCCCCGGTGAACCTCGAATCATATGCAGGATTCTGAAAACGTATAACAAAGACATGCACAAGACCTAAATTCCCTAGAATATGCTTGCTTTACCATGATTTTATTATAACAAATCACGAAAACAGCCAAAGCAAATGACCTGGAATACCTTGGACACTGTGATCCTTTATTAAATCAACCATCGGCAAGGAGCTCCCATAATTCTTTGCATAGATGCTTGCCCTTCGAAATTCCATTTTATTTTCTGTCAGAGTTCCGGTCTTATCAGAAAATACATATCGCACTTGACCCAAATCTTCATTTATGTTCAGGGATCGGCACTGAAACCTTGACCCAGAGCTCTCGTCATACATGTGCCTGTCTTCAATCATAAAGTAGGACTGACCCAAACGGACCAGTTCCATTGTAATATAAAGAGAAATTGGAATCATGATCTGGAAGACGATTATAGAACTCAGAAAGGAAATCAAAGACTCCAAAGGGATCCCATAATATTTATAGTCCTTATGCGGTGCCTTGTTGAAGTCGTGTTTTCTGTAATAAGGCGCGGTATCTAGCTGGTTCTTGTGGCGTTTGAGCCATAAACCTGACCCCAATGCCACGACGAGGCACATGATGAAAAGGAAAATTGACAACCACATTGTTTCTCTGTTCATGTAGCTTTCCAGTTTGCTTCTCTTACAAGGAGATACTGCACTGTTTAGCATGGCTTTGGTTTCCTGTCCAGCATATACCACAACACCAATTATCCAATCCGTGTTCTTCAGCTGACAGCCACGCAAAACGATATTTGATTGGCTGAGAGGCAATTGTTGCCCATTGAATTCCATGGTGGCAGTGAACTCATAAATATTTCTGTTTGGCTGCTCACACTTTATCAGCCCAAATTCTGAACACCCTTCAAATGCTGAAGAAACTGTCTCCTGCCTTGCATATCGTGTCTTCAAGTTTGACTCACCATCCAAGTTCATTGTCTCAATATAAGCGAGTCCACTGGGATCACTCGTACATAACAACACAATGTCACATGGTATTGATTCGTCGGCATGAATCTTAACAACTTCACCAGCTTGTATTTTCTTCCACTTCTTCATTTGGAATTCTCCGTGCTGAAGCACAAGAGCCTCTCTGTTATTCTCGTTACGATCTGATCTGTGTCTTCTCCAATCTTCATAGCCATCTTTGATAGCTGTGACACACAATACAAATAGGAGCGGAAAGAGAGACACTGTTCTCCCAAAGACTGCGAGAGGCGGAAGCTGGTTGAGAGCAGCAATTGCGAGAAAATACAGGTAAGCAACCCTGTGGAACTGAATGAAAAGGTTCTTGGGCAAGAAGGTGATCAGCGTGTACTTGCTTGTCCGGATCTCATTCCCTGTGAACTCATACTTATCATTTGTTTTCCACGGATCATTGATGTATACAAACCTTGCGTTCTCTTCACAAAGTAGGTTATCTTCAAAGACAACACTTTTACTTCGTGCTCTGCCGGATTTGTGAAACTTTTCCCCTGAAACAGAAATCTCAAACGAGGAAGCACTGTGGATATTGTTGTGCAGCTCCATAGCACCCCACGATACCATGCGTCTCCTTTCCTTGGCAGGGTGTGCCAATGAGAACTGCTGAGGGATATGAAGCTCAGCAGAACAGAACTTTTTGTCAGTGGGGTGTGGATGACGTCTCACAAAGGGAGAAAAACCGAAGTCTGTTGCTACAACGGAAGCACCACTGGCCTCTTCCTCTTTATCTTCCTCGTGATCTAAGTAACCGCTCTGACCCTCTTCAGCATCAGAAGACGAGAAAGAAACATTCCGGCCCAGGAAACCGACCGAGCCTAAGCTGCGAGGTGACCGGCGACGATGCACCACAGGAGAAGGCCCAGGTGGTGACAGCAATGGATGCCCAGAGCTCATAAATTATTCTCCAATGGCCACATTGGAGTTGTATAGATGCGCCAATCAAATGATAGCTGCTTCACGTGAAGCAACAAGAGCCGATGAGATCTGAAGGCTCGTTTCGAGGGAATGCCCGAGCTTCGGCCGCAGATAACAGGCAACCCATAACCTAAACCAATCAATATTTTGCTCCTCTAATGAGCAAAAGCCACCCCAGTTTCAATTCCCCGCAGCAACGGAGGCACACGTCGGAACCACAAAAAAAGTTGCGAAAAGCGGGCCTGCGTAGGAACCCCTAGAGCCCGGAGTACGACCTCAAGAGGTTGAACCGCATTGATATCCACAAGACAACCAAATACGGAATGAAACCCTAACCGGGAGTGGTAAAGGAGAAATGTAAAGATAAAATTTGTAGACGAGCAAGGGGCAATGGAGAAGCCAAATCTGCAAGACACGGGATGAGAAAGAGAGACTGAGAAGCGGAGGAGTACCGATAATCGTCCGGGGAACCGGGAGACAGAGACGCAGAGAAACCGATATCACGGGAAGATTGTCGGGAGAAAATGGATCCCAGACGGACAGGAGAAGAAGAAGAAACAAGAGACGAGATCTGAGGGAGGAAACGGGGGGAAAAAAAGGCCGAGGAAATCGCAGACGCAGAGCTACGTGTGGCTCTCACCCTCTCTCTTTTTTTTTTTATAAATCAGTTGTTTCCCTTTTCTTTTAATTACATTACATTAGGTGACTTGATGATTTTAAGACAAGGTATGTTGTTATTATGATGTTCCTGTTTTCGTACGACGGAGCCACGTCTTTATACAATCCTGCTCCGGAGGTTTCTCGTTGGCTCGATGCCCTCAAACAGCTCAAGCGGGTGAAACTGATGAGGGCACGAGAGAACGAGGAACGGCATGCGGTCCAATAAGGGCAGCAGAAAGTGAAGTACAGGTGGATAATGTTCAACATGAGGGACGGTAACAACCCAGACATAAGGAGGTAGGCTCTAGTTGGTGAGGTAAATGGCGAGCGCCCAGAGGAAAGAAGAGATGAGCCAGATCAAAGAGAAAGCGCCCACTGTCAGATGCAGACGAGGAGTGCCCGCGACATGTGTTAACTGCAACAGCCACTGGCAATTAAGTAGCGGAGTTTGGATTGGAATGTCTTATTTGTCCTGCTCTCTCTTCTTCTTCTCTTCATGCCCCCGTGTGTTTTCAGAAAACCATATAATATAAAAAATAATTCTTCTTCAGATTTCGGTTTAGGGTTTCACGGCCCAGCATCAAATGGGCCCTACCATGATGTTGTTGCCAGCTCAGCCACGCGCTTACACCGTCTCTTTAAATCATCACATGAACTGTCATCCATTCACTGGCGTTATTGCCTCTAATCAGTGTTTTTTTTTAATTCATTATGTTAATACGTATTATTACCCTTATTAACATTAATAATAATATTATTAATCTTTAACATTTGCGCGTTTCAATGTCGTTTTGCCGTCTCAAAGTCAGTACTGTATGCCTAACCACCCCCCTCTGGCCTCTCTCTCTCTCCTTTTTTTTAAAAAAAAAAATATATAATGAATTCGTTGCTGTCCCTCATTTAAATATTTCTTAAAGCACTCCTCTCTCTCTCTCCCCTGCAAAAATCTCAATCATCGGCCTTCGTTCCATCTCTTCGTCCCTAGGGTTCTCCTTTGATCATCGAGGTACCACCTTCCTCTGCTTTACTCTTTCTACTGCAATTTCCATCGGTTCATCTGCTGTGTTCTTTCTCTCTTTTTGGCAAGCTTTTTCGGTTTTATGCGTTTTTCTTTGGTACTGTTGCTGTATATCTTTCTGCTCCGATGAACATCCAGCAAGGTGTTGATTAGCTCTTTCTATCTTAGATCTGTGAAGTTGATGGTCTTAATATAACCTTCTGTGGCTTGATTTTCTAATTTATTCTCTTCCCTTTTCCGAACGATAGTGTCCGGAGTCAACGATCTGGGTGTTGCAATACTCTTTGTGGGTTGATCAATGAGGATCGTGGAGGCCCGATATGTCTTCCTTCTTCTCCTAGCAGTATCCGCATTTCCTTTCATCTCAGCTGCTGATTTCTCTCCACCCGACAAGTTCCTCCTGAATTGCGGCGAGTCTTCTGAGGCCTTCGACACCGACAACAGAACTTGGATTCCCGATGTCAAATCCAAGTTTCTGTCTTCCTCTGGGGACTCTAAGGCGTCCCCCGCTTCCACTCAGGACCCATCTGTTCCTCAGGTCCCTTACATGACCGCTAGAGTCTTCCGCTCCTCCTTTACTTACAGTTTCCCTGTCGCCTCCGGTCGCAAGTTTGTCCGTCTCTATTTCTATCCCAACTCGTACGATGGTCTCAACGCAACCGATGCCCTCTTTTCTGTGTCATTTGGGCCTTACACTCTTCTCAAGAATTTCAGTGCTTCCCAGACGGCGCAAGCTCTCACCTATGCTTTCATCGTCAAGGAGTATGTGGTCAATGTGGACGGTGGAACATTGAACTTGACCTTCTCGCCGGCATCCACTCCTTCGAGTGCCTATGCCTTTGTCAATGGGATCGAGGTGACCTCCATGCCTGACATTTACAGCAGCACGGATGGAAGTTTAGTGATTGTGGGCTCAGCTACCTCCTTCTCTATCGACAACGGCACTTCCCTTGAGAACGTTTATAGGCTTAACGTGGGAGGGAATGATATCTCCCCTTCTGCTGATACGGGTCTGTATAGATCGTGGTATGATGATCAGCCCTATGTTTTTGCTGCGGGGCTTGGAATCACGGAGACTGCTGACCCTAACATGACCATTCGGTATCCTTCCGGCACCCCTACTTATATTGCCCCCGTCAATGTTTATGCAACCGCTAGGTCGATGGGTCCAACGGCTGCTATCAATGTCAACTACAACTTGACTTGGATTTTCAGCATAGACTCCGGTTTTAATTACCTTGTCAGGCTTCACTTCTGTGAGGTTTCTCCAAATATTACTAAAATCAACCAGCGGGTCTTCACGATCTTCCTCAATAATCAAACAGCTGACCCTGAGGCTGATGTGGCTGGCTGGACGAATGGGAATGGGATTGCGTATCACAGGGATTATGTGGTGACTCCTCCGTCTGGAAATGGACAGCAGGATCTCTGGCTTGCTCTGCATCCAAACACAATTAACAAGCCGGAATACTATGACGCTATTCTGAATGGAGTGGAGATATTCAAAATAAATGATACTAATGGCAATCTGGCCGGTCCTAATCCTATTCCTGGTCCACAGGTGACGGCAGATCCATCCAGAGTCTTAGACTCGCCTGCTTCTGGTCATTCAGCCAACCGTAAGGCTGTTATCGCAGGCGGAGTTAGTGGTGCGGTGGTTCTGGCCCTTGTCGCCGGTTTCTGTGTAATGGCTGCTTACCGTAAACGTAAGCTTGGTGAATACCAGCCTGCAAGCGATGGAACATCAGGGTGGCTTCCGCTATCTCTGTATGGAAACTCACACTCCTCTGGTTCAGCAAAGACTAACACAACAGGAAGTTACGCCTCCACCCTCCCATCAAACCTCTGCCGCCACTTTTCATTTGCTGAAATCAAAGCCGCCACTAACAACTTTGACGAATCCTTGGTCCTTGGGGTTGGAGGTTTTGGCAAAGTTTACAGAGGAGAAATTGACGGTGGAACGATGAAGGTTGCAATCAAGCGGGGCAACCCGATGTCTGAGCAAGGTGTACATGAGTTCCAGACTGAAATCGAAATGCTTTCAAAGCTCAGACACCGACACCTTGTCTCCCTGATTGGATACTGTGAAGAGAACTGCGAGATGATCCTTGTTTACGATTACATGGCTCATGGGACCTTGCGGGAACATCTCTACAAAACCCAGAAACCTCCTCTGTCATGGAAACAACGGCTTGAGATAGGCATCGGAGCAGCTCGTGGGTTACACTACCTCCACACGGGTGCCAAACACACCATCATCCACAGAGACGTCAAGACAACAAACATTCTCTTGGATGAGAAATGGGTCGCCAAGGTTTCCGATTTCGGGCTGTCAAAGACGGGTCCCACACTAGACCACACACATGTTAGTACCGTTGTAAAAGGCAGTTTCGGTTATCTTGACCCAGAGTACTTCAGGCGCCAGCAACTGACAGACAAATCAGACGTCTACTCGTTTGGTGTTGTCCTCTTTGAAATCCTATGCGCGCGACCTGCCTTGAATCCAACGCTGCCAAAGGAACAAGTGAGCTTAGCCGAGTGGGCCCCCCACTGCTACAAGAAAGGGATGCTTGATCAGATAGTGGACCCTTTCCTCAAGGGAAAGATCACGCCAGAATGCTTCAAAAAGTTTGCAGAAACCGCGATGAAGTGCGTTTCAGACCAGGGCATCGAGAGGCCATCAATGGGAGACGTACTCTGGAACCTGGAATTTGCAATGCAGTTGCAAGAGAGTGTGGAGGAGAGCGGGAAGGGCGGAATAGACATGGATGAGGTGAAGTACGACGATGCTGACTGTAAAGGGAAGAAAGGAGCGGAGAATGAGAACAATGCAAACGGGTTTGAAGGGAATGTGATGGACTCAAGGAGCAGTGGGATAGACATTAGCATCGGTGGTCGGAGCTTGGCCAGCGAAGATTCGGACGGTCTGACGCCGAGTGCTGTGTTCTCGCAGATCATGAACCCCAAGGGACGTTGAGACGACGGTTGCTTTTGTTTAATCTCAATTTCTTTTGACAATATTGTTATCGTTATTTATTTGTTTTTTGTTTACTGCGACCTGCTGCTGTGTCATAAGCCTTGGAATGTTGTGCTGTACTGAGTTAAGGTGTATGTATGTATACCACGAGGGAGAGTGTAAAAAACAATTGTATTCTGCAAACACTTTGATTGGGGATGGATGTACTATTTGGCTGATGGCATCGCCTGATTCAGGGTGCTTCTCATCTCTGGAAATACAGAAACTTGTTGAGAATACCGAAGCTCATTCCCTTGATCCTGAAAAGGGTTGTCAGCCGAACGACTTGAATCAACAAAGCCTGTTTTCACATTTTATTTCTTCTCCTTTTATCAGCAGAACGACTTGTGAATTTTGGATGGTAATACTACGCATTCATATCCCCCGTGTTAAGAGGGAAATCAATGCAGGCGTCATGATTACGTATGTGGGTTCTACGGAAAGGATCGTGAGAAACCACTGGTTTTTCTCCATCCCAGACAGAGTTCTTTTTTTTTTTATCAAGCTGTACATACGACGTAGACATGTAAACAAGAAAATACATCAAAGAGGAGGAAATGGCTCAGGAGGAGGTTCAAACCCGTTGTCGAAGAGGAGACTCTGGTCTGAATCTGATGAAGGTTCGTCGATGCTAAGAAGCCAGTTTGTGTCCTTCACGTCTTTACCAAACAAGAGTGTCTCGTAACGTGCACTGTCGTATCTGTCCCCCTTTCCCACTTTCGCTAATAAGCTTATCATCCCCTCGTCTCCTCCACAAGTACTACACTTGTCTCTGTTCTCTGCCCCACTCTGGCCTTTGGAAGCTGCTGCTGATGACTTGATGCTGTGAGGGTACAGCTTTGTGCTTGAAAATGGACGTCTCCCCACATTCCCATTTTGAATGTCCTATCACCACAATTTTGCATCAGTGGTCAAATCGATTACCAAAAAAGTGATTTAACTACAGCTTAAGGTGTAAAAAAACAGCATACCATATACTTTAGAGCCGTCTGAAGCGAAAATTTGGAAATTGTCCTCCCAGACCCGGAGGAGTCCGCAGCTGATGACTGTCCACTTGCTTTTCTAGAGACACTTGAAGAAACCTTCTGAAAATCCTTTCTATCAGAATCATGTCCATTACTCCTTCCTCTTGCAGCGTTTAAGGCGGGTCTAGTTTCCTTCGAGGTTAAGGAAGCACTGAGTTTTGGTGTGGAGGCTGTTGCTTTGAGCCGTGGCGGTGTCTGAGGAGGAGAATCATGGGATGAAAAACTCTGTCCTGCTGAGCTGGCCCTTGATCCTGAAACTGATCTCTGTCCACCAGATGATCGCGATGTTACACTCTCACCAGTTCGGGTCAACACATGAGAACTTGAAGTTGCAGCTAAATTGGCAGCGCGCTGAGGTCTTGAAATTGGAGTCGACGATCTTGAGTTTGGGGCTGATCTTGTTTTTGCAACGGAAGAAATGGCTGACCTGGAATGGGTTCTTGAAGAAGGAGTCGATGATCGTGATGGTGTTCTAACAGACAAGGGAGTTGAGGAACTTGATTGTGTTCTGACAGATGAGGGAGTTGAGGATCGCGATTGTGTTCTGACAGACGAGGGAGTTGAGGATCGCGTGACAGAAAGAACAGACTTAAGTGGGAGCGAAGGAGGAGATCTGTGAGATGAAGCTGAAGCTGAAGTTGAAGCAATGGTTGTCTTCTTAAGGGCTGAAGAGGACCTAGCGGTGGGGAAAGCAGTGGCTTGTCGAGTGGAGACAGCTGGAGAAGTTGCTGAATTGCTTCTGGTTGGTCTTGAAGACAGGCTGCTCTCCGTCTGCAAATAAAGAAACTAGATCATCAGTCAAAACTGCTGCAGTGATTATAAAAACACAAAATTAAGATGATATGATGCTGATGATTAAGGAGGAAAGATTGTCCTGACGTAAGATACAGAAAATGGAGGTGAAGAGGAAGACTGACAATACCTTCACAGCTGCCCTCCCATTGGAGACCGATCGGACCTTCAGGGCGGTTGTCTTTTGAGCTGCTAGAACTGATCTGAGTTGAGTTCTCGTAGGAGCTTCAGGAGGGCCAAGAAATCTGAACAACCCATAGAGCATGAACATCAAACATGAACAAGATCCAAGACTTCCAAACCAGAGAAAGATTGCCCTGCTCCACGTCAGTAACAAGGGAAGCAAAGAGAGGCAGGTTTCTGAAACTTACAGGTCATGAGCATGTTTCTCTCTGTCTGTCGCTGGCATCAGATCATCCCCTCCTGCTTTTGCCACTTTAGCCACTTCGAGCGAATCCCATCCTGCTTTAAGCGAAACTGCAAAACCACATCCGTAACAGGACACTAGTAAACATATGGTCAGCTATCAAACTATTCCAATTCATCAGATGAACACCACAAAAGAAAACTCATTTTATTATTTCTTTTTTGGTGCACCGCTTATGCAACTGACTGAGCCCTTGAGGCAGTTAAGGGCAAATGTCAGACAGACAGAACGGCAGTTAAAGAGGACTATCACCAACCATCACCAAATGTAACAGTCCCGAAATGAACTGCAATCACCCCCTGCTAAAAGGGCTTATACCCTTACACTGCAACTTGTGCAGAAAATCTAAAAAACCCATAGTTTCTCTTTCATCTCTGCTCCTTGGTGTTTGATTTGAGTTTACAATGGGACCGTTTTAAATGTATTTGACTGCTCCTATTTGCTTGTTGTAACCATTTCCACCGAAGTTCTTTTTGTAAAGAGGTAGCCCCAGAGATGAGTATGATTATGTAAAAGTTTCAAGAACACTCTAACCCCAAACTTCTACAGAATTAGATGAGAAAAAACAATAGAAGATTAGATGAAATAGAACTTTTGAAAAGTTTGATGATTACCAGATAACGTGGAAGCTATGGTGCCAAAAATGCTACAAGAAAATAAAAACAGAGCCACCAAAGTTGGCAACGGCTGAAATTATTGTGTGGAGGAAAAGGAAACCATACCATCGAAGGAGCTATCCGGTCGGCGGTTGGAGGAGAAGAGGTCTAAGTTCTCGTCGGAATCTCCGGCGACAGCAACACGATCCTTCACGATCCGATGGCTCATCGGCTGTTAACAACGCAAGCAAGAGAGGACCCAACAAAGAGAACAACACGGAGACAGATTTTACAACAATAAATAATTAATATATATATATATATATATATATATATATAAAGGGTGTGAAAAAGACAAGAAGCTTAGGTGGTTAAGATAGATAGTCAGCTTAAAGAGGCTTCTTCCTCTCCCTTGTTTCGTGCGGTTCTTGTTTTCTGTCCTTTTCTCGTCATTGAATATTTATTTCCCTAGAAAGATATGTTTCTATTTTCTTTAAGAGTTTACCCATTTTTTTCCTAAATAAATTAAAAAAAAAAACAGTTTACCAAGATTAGATGCGTATCTTCATTTCACGGACAAAAGCCACCTGATACACACAAAAAGAAAGAAATTAGAAACTGAATATTAGTCCTCCTGCTCAAAACATTTCATTATCAAATTACAGGACATGAGAACACGTGCCCTCAACTCCCGCATAAACCCCTTGAGAGCAACCCTTTTGTCTTTTCTTTTCCTGGAAGCAATATATTATATACATATCTTTTTTTTAAAAAAATCTGATATTAAGATAAGGCGGAAAGAGTCTGTTTGCATTTGACAACACTAGAAGTTACCTTAGGATTGAGCCCAAGGTCTCATTGGATGTAAAAATAGGCCTATCGTGTTTTGGGCTTCGACACAATGTTCTTCCAATTCCACAACAACTGGGTTGGCAATGACATTTGTGGCCTCTCCTTTACTGAATGTTCGTGTTCGTCCTAGAATACACTCGCATGATCCAGAGTAGAGAGACATTCTTTACTTAAAATATCCAATGAATTTGGCTTCTATGCTCAATCTTAAACTTCCAGAGCTCGTCCACTTCCTCTGTTCCACGCCGTTCATGCTAAGATTCGCCTAGAGCCTTCCCACCCTCTTTGCCCTTATTCTCTCAAAAGCTGATATGGTGGCGTCCATAAGCACCTCTAGATTTCAATGCAACTGCTACACATACATATTTAACATCCCCACTTAACGGATGCATTATAATTTATATCCATCTTACAGAGTAAACTAAAAGTATCAACACATATACCCTGACTATGCCTTCGCTGTAAAAAATATGAATTAGTTAAGTAAATATAGCATGACACTTTGAAATATATGGATAGACCTATACTCATTTGGAAACGAGTGATTAATAATGACTTGAAGTGTTTACAAATTTCAGAAGATTTAACCCAAATCTGAAATGAATGGGAGAAAGAGAATTTAAATATTCTTCAGCGAACACCTCGTAACCACACCCATTCCTCTACTCAGCTATATCTTCTAGTGACTCAAGTCTGCTTCTATCTTCTAACTCCGATGTTATCTTTCACTAGTAATACGATCTTTTTGTGATTTTTTTGGTCTAAGTTATTGTCTACCAGTGAGTTAGTTTTTCAATAGTGCTTACAATATGATAATATAATCAGAGAAATGAGCAAAAAAGCAACCTCCAATGAGAGAGGTGAGACGGGAAAAAAACAAATGTGGAGTTAGTGGCGTTCAAATCTATGAATTTGCACGAATGATGAAAGACGGAGAAATAAATAAGCGAGAAAAGGGTCTCCCCCCATTAAAAAGGAAATGGATTAGTGGAATGAATAGGAGGACACATCACAAAGGGTGAGTATAAAGAGCCAATTGGGTGACCTCGTGATGGGATGTTTAGTTAATTAGTGGGGGAATTAACATTTTGCTTACGATCAAAAGCAATTAAAAAGGGTTCTGCGGATGTGGTTTTTTTTTTGTGCATAGGGTTTTTATCCAGGTGGAGTTGACTTGTAACTCTAAAGCTTTATTGGTTGATGCCCATTACTTTTCCATAAGACTACGTGTGATCCACATTATACGCACATACAAAAAAATAAAGAGTCCAATCCTACTCAAACTTATCCAATAAGATTTCTTAATAAGGTCGGTCCTCAAGATTGATTGGTTCAACTTCTGCCGACTCCTGAATATTTTGAGAGCCCAAAATAAAAAGACCAAAGCGCCTCTTGAAAAAAACCCCAACAAATTAAGGATTAAACCTAACACATCTAAACCAAGCTTCATATGAAACCCAAAAAGTTGGGGATGATGGTGTTGAATAAGAGAAGCGGTGGTGGAGGGCAATGATGGAAAGTGTTAGTGGCCAAATCCTGGACGACCTCAGCATTCATGGCAATGCCCATTTTTCTCCCATTTTCATTTTCTCTCAAGTCTAAAGCACAATGAAATCATTATCTGCGTGAACCTATAAGATAAACTGCTAAGAAGGGTGGAACATGGGGAGTTTTATATGCAGGTGATGCATGGCAATGTCAGAAAAGGACAGCACAAGGGTTTATTGTAGACAAATGGAAGAGCACCACTAGTTTTATAGTAAGAAATATAATGTGCGTATTCGTGGGTGTGGGTGTATAGTCCAAGTCGACGTGGCATCCCATCGACTAACTAATGGGAATAATAATAATAATAGGGTGAGATGCATTTGGCATTTATAAACATGTAAATAACGACAAAAACATATGTTTGAAGAGCAGAGTAGAGTACATACCTTAATTGAAACTCGCCTGTGAGTATTAGAGTCCTTAAGGCTTGAAGATGCTGTTGGTTATCCTCTGATCCAAGAGCTGGGATTCTCAGAGAGCTCTGTAGAAAAAAAAATAATAATAATAAACAGGGGGAGGGGACAAAATGAGCAAAAGGACCAACTCGTCGTAAAGCAAAGGAAAATGGGGGACGAGAGGGTAGGTGTATTTCTGACAGATGTCTCTCCACTTTGGTTGAGGTTCATGGCCTCTGACTCCAACCCCATCTTTAGGACATCCTCTTCATACTAATGGGTCCTACGGTGCGGCCACGTTTTCAAACAGTCACACCTCCTAGTTTCTGTTTTAATTCCCAAGCATACGTCTCTACGCAAGCCTGATTAAGCCTTCAGCCAGTATCCAAACCAAATCTGTCTCGTATTCCAAATTTCCAAGCACAACCTAACCAAATCATTTCGTATTTGGCTAATCAAACCAAAGCATAAATAGTAGTTTCTCGCTGCTCCTATTTGCAGCATTATTATTTTGCTTTAATCAAAAGGATTTGAAATGGCCAAGTAGTGGGTCAGAATGCCACCCTTTCTGCTCTCTGATGAAACCACCATCCACTCAAATTCTGCCAACTTAATTAACAAGAGCTTCCCCATTCCAACAGCTTTTAAGGTTTCTCTTTATATACCAACTTGGTAGCAACTTATGAGTTGCGCTGCTTCTCTTCTGCTACTCCTAAGCTCCTCCACAATCGCTTATTGCCAAAGCTTTTCCCTTTCCATCGCCTTTTCAGCGAAGCATCTCATAGGTATGCATCTCTTCCTCATTTATGTCCAACTGGTGCTGTTACGATTCTGCTCTTTGCTGTACTCTGCATCTGCTCTCCTTTGTCTACTTTCTCCATGTAAGGTGATCATTCCCTAGTCACCTTCTTGTTGGCCCTGCATGTAATACACCAAATCCGTGATTTAGCCAGCAAAATAACAGCTGTAACTGTCACTCCTGTCCACCCATTCTAATATTGGACGTCAACCAACAAATATTTAATATTCAGGGAATGACAACCACCAAGTAAGATTGGCAACTCTTAACTATATATTAATTGCTTGCCTGAAGTCAATTAATAAACTATTTGACCGCTAAACTATGTCATAGTGTCAGTAATTCACATGATCACCCTCATAATTTCAAAAAGAGAGTATTTTGTTTTCCCTTTCCGCCATCACTGCATACCTTTTCCGTGGAAATTGTGTAGCCGTTATTGTCCACTGCTTTTCGATCTTCTCCTTTATTCTTCATCCATCAAATAAGATGCCCTCCATCCATGATACAGTTTCAAATTACTTTGGTATCTATTCGGCTTCTCATCTACTACAGCCATTGAACCTGGAACTAGTATTTTACTGATCAGAAATATTTTCTATAGTGGGAACTTTGGAAAAGAATCTAATTAAGAAACCGCCCCATGATGAATGATTAATAACTAGGCAATAGAAATTATCAGGCCATGGTGCAGATGGGAAGAAAAAGTGAAAGAATTCCTGAAATCCACGTGGGAAACACCTGCATGGCTATTTTTTCGTACAAATATCTTGATAGTCTTCCATAATCAACTTCACTTAATAACAATCCCTTTAGAAAAGAAAAGGTTACCTTTCATTCGCTTTCTGTCCTGCCTATTAGAGTTGACCATTTCGGTGGCCCTCGTAGATCTGTTGTCTCTCAACGTTCCGTGGATGGCTTCTCTCCGCAGTTTCTACCAAATGTCATGTGAATTTCAAATAATCCCGCCCAAGCTTTCCATGATTTGTAGGTCTAAATGCACCAAATGATGGAATTCCCAAAATTAAGCAGGCCAAAGACCAAAAACGACAAAAAAAGGACTTCTAAATGTCAGAAAAAACTTTTAGAGAAAAGAGAATATTTACCACTGGTGCAACTTCTCTATAAATATCACGTATCATTGCATACATCTTTCTAACTCCAAAACTTACAGTCCTCTTTGGATAAACCTTCAGGGTAAAACCATGGTGCAACATGTAAGTGAGATGCTGCTGATCATCTTCCTAACATTCTCCTACAAGGCAATCAGCACAAAGCCCTACTCCAAGACAGGGATGCTGATTGACTTCAATTCCAGCTATTGCTTAAGCTGGAGACTAGCAGTAGAAGCCAACAACGTGCGTCCATGGCGCACAGCACCTGCTCAGTGTCTGCGTTACACTGAGATATACATGCTTGGTGGACAGTATGACAGAGACGTCGAATTGATCGTAGAGCAGATTAAGAGTTACGTGGATGAGATTGTTCTTTCTGGTGATGGAATGGATGCATGGATCTTGGATGTTGATGACACATGCATCTCAAACATCTTTTACTACCGGGTGAAACGATATGGGTAGGCTCCATCTTCTTCCCTCTGCGCTCTCCTCTTTTGCTCATATAACTGTGATTGTTGTCATCAAACAAGTAAATGTCATTTCAGGTCATGCCTAGCAAGCACACACTGTTTCCATTTAACAAAGTTACCTGTTATTCGGTTAACTACACTATGTGACTTGAGAAAACAGAAGTGCAGGAAAAATACTTCCAATGCATTCATCTGGTAATATGATTTGCTACTTCACCTTGTAGGTGTGACCCTTATGATCCGATGGGTTTTAGGGCATGGGCGATGAAGGGAGGGTGTCCAGCAATCCAGCCTGTGCTTGAATTGTTCAATAAGCTGACAACGACAGGCTTCAAAGTTTTCCTCGTAACTGGCAGAGATGAAGAGAGCCTTGGCCAGGCAACACTAGAAAATTTGCAAAATCAGGGATTCATGGGTTATGAAAGGTTGATCATGAGGTAAGATTTAAGAATATCATGTAATCACGATTACAGTTTGAACGGCTAAACCAATAGATTACATAGGGAAAAGATAGGCTAAGGATATCAAAACTTTCCAGAAATGTAAAATTTAGTCTATCAAACTTGCAAGCATGGATACTAAAGGATGCTTACAGCTAGATAATCTTTCTTATATAAAAAGTAAGGACAGACAAAGATGATGTAACTTGGTCCTTGCAGGAATCAGGATCACAGAGGACAAAGCGCAATCACATACAAGACAGCAATCAGACAGAAACTGATGGAAGAAGGTTACAGGATATGGGGGAATGTAGGAGACCAGTGGAGTGACTTACAAGGACAATGTTCCGGGAACCGCACCTTTAAAATCCCTAATCCTATGTATTTCGTTCCTTAAGAAACCACCAACCAACTTATGTACAAGAGAGTACATACATTACAAAGCCTGTCTCTCAAGAAATTAAAATATCTCAAGACAACGGTTTCACATCTCCTTATCACAGGGGCATACTCCATGAAAAGGAATCAGAAGCCGACTCGTTCCATATAATGTCGAACGAGAACAAATAACAAGATTTCAATAGTCCATGATCCAGATAGAGAATACTCATCAGCATAGAATCATGTCAAAAGCCATTGGAATTGAAAATGTGAGATCGAACAAGAAGTTGGAAACAACAAAAACCTGGAATCCATTTCTCGTAGATGGTGTTGCAAACTGCAGAACGCTGTCCGAGAGGATTTTCAGAAGAAAGAGAAGAGCGCTCGGGGCCTTGATTTTACATGAGATGTGGGCTGAGGCCCATTCATCGTTACACCGTGGGCCTAAATTGTGAGATGAGGTTAAATTGGTAATTAACAGCAGTCGTTCGTTTTGTCAAAAACATGTGCCAGTGCCACCACCCACTTGGAAGTTAGAAGTGTATTTCTATACATGGATGCATCCAGATGTAGGTGCTCACATGTCACCAAGATGACAATTAAAAGAGCACACAGAAATCTGGCCCACCAAATTAGATTGTGAAGGAAACCCTTTTTTATCCCTCTAATTTCCCGATTAACGTAAACACACCAACACATTCTCCTCCAAATCTGCGATTTCCCTTCCGGATCTCTTGCAAGTCAAAATCTTTTTCATCTTCATCTTTGTGCTGTCTGATTCCGGTTTCCTTTTTTTTTTTCCTTCAAAAACTAAAGGGGCCTCTCTAACTTGTCCTATCTGATGCCCAGAATCTCAAAGCCCCTTCCTTTCGGCTTTTTCCTTCCCCTCCAGCCGCCCTTTTCACGCTTCGGTGATTTCATCCGTAACTCATCGATTTCCCGATCGGTTTTCTCGTCTCAATTACCAATTGTGACTGCTCATTTGTCTGTGGTGGAACGGAATTAGGGTTCGTATTGCTCTCTTTCACCCTTAACATCTTCTATTTCGAGCTCGATTCAAGTTATTCTTATCTACTTCTTGTGTGCATTTAGTTCTTTTGATGTGATCTCCCCTCCCAGAAACCTGTTGATGTGAATCCTTGTGTTTCGATTTGACAGCTTCCCCTGCATAGTCCATAATTCGCCGTGTACATTTGTTTGGGGCTCCTGTTGGTGGCGCTGACGTCAGCTTTGTATCCCCATTTGTGGATGTTCGATGACATTAGTTTACGTGTTTTGACATCTCTCTGGTGACCCAAATCTTCAATTGTCAAAAATGAATTTTGCTTCTAGGTGTATATTGCTTTGTCTTCTCTTCTCTGTGGCATTCTTGGGTCGAATAAAGGCAGACCCTGAAGGGGAAATCTCAACTAAGGTGAGAAGTGCTCCACATAAAGATGCAAGATTTAGTGTCATAGACGGTAGCGGTCTAGAGAATTCGGACAGTGACAATGGAGTGGGTGTGAGGAAGGGCAGTTACAACAGAATCTCGGTTTCTACGGTGGCTTTGTTCACCCTGGCTATGGCTTCTGCCACTGGGTTAGGAGCATTGCCATTCTTCTTTGTGGAGCTTGATCCTCAATGGGCTGGATTATGCAATGGGATGGCCGCCGGTGTCATGTTAGCTGCTAGCTTTGATCTAATCCAGGAAGGCCAGGAGCATGGTGCTGGCAATTGGGTTGTCATTGGAATATTGGCCGGTGGCATTTTCATTTTGCTGTGCAAGAAGGTAACTATCCCGTTATTTCGGCTCCTGGTGAAGTAAGGTGCAAATGTATGTTGATACCGACTCATTAACCTTTTGTCTTACTGCAGTATCTTGAAAGATATGGGGAGGTTAGTATGTTGGACATAAAAGGTGCAGATGCAACCAAAGTCGTCCTTGTAGTTGGGATTATGACCCTTCATTCTTTTGGAGAGGGATCTGGTGTTGGTGTGTCTTTTGCTGGTTCAAAAGGTTTCAGTCAAGGCCTTCTGGTCACCTTGGCTATAGCTGTGCACAACATACCAGAGGGTTTAGCTGTGAGTATGGTGCTTGCTTCGCGGGGTGTCTCTCCACAAAATGCAATGCTGTGGAGTATTATTACGTCCTTGCCTCAGGTAGTTTACTACATTTTTTATTTGTGAACCATCCCTTGCTTTTCTTGTCTTTTGAAGGATACAGATTTAGTGCTTCCTGTTCACTGATTCCATGTATGTTGTTTCTCTTTCATGGCATCTTTTACAGCCCATTGTCGCAGTTCCAGCATTTATGTGTGCTGATGCATTTAACAAGTTCCTGCCATTCTGCACTGGATTTGCTGCTGGATGTATGATCTGGATGGTTGTTGCTGAAGTTCTTCCTGATGCTTTCAAGGCATGTTGCCTATAACATACTGTTTGTTTCCAGAGTTTTTTCAATATAGCATGTCCATTCACCTTTCTTTCAGTATGTTGGTTGCATTCTAGAGATTTTTTTTTTTTTTTTTTTTTTTTGTTTTTGAAAGAGCCGTAGCATTGTTGGTAGAAATCTGATGGTCATTCTTAATCAGGATTCAGCAATTAATCTCAGTTTCTATTTCTTCTTTTGTTTTTGGTTGTAGGAAGCTTCTCCAACACAAGTGGCATCAGCAGCCACACTGTCGGTTGCATTTATGGAAGCTCTTGGGACCCTGTTCCAGAGCTTCACCCATGATTACAAGTGCGGCAGTTTGTAACCTCATGCAACATTGAGTAACTTCTTTCACTGATCAGTTGTGCTAATTGTTGGCGTTTGTCTAACTTTTTCCATATGCTTCATCATGCAGCTCAGAGGATGCGTCTGGCTTCTTTGTCTCACTGCTCTTTGGACTTGGGCCTCTGCTTGGAGGAGCAATTATTGTTCTGTTTGCATTTTCTTTCCGTCTTCAGCATGCCCAGCTCATAGGTGCAGCCTCGGGGATTGCATTTGTTCTTGCCATCTGGCGGCCGCTGCAACTACTCCTGTCTTCCAAAGTGGGGATTCTGCCACTGTCTGTTTTGCTTGCAGTAGGAGCTGGACTGACCCACTCTGCAACATCCAGCATTCTGAAACTGGCTAGCGGCAAAAGATCTTCCCTCAACAACTTACCATCTGTAAGTTGTTTCCCGGTAAGTGTTTTCACCCTTCAGTCCTTCTTGGCATGTGGAGCAGTTGCCTTTCACGCATTAGGGGAGGGTCTTGCATTAGGAGTGGCTGCGCCAAAGGCTTATGGGTTTGGCCGGCACATTGTGCTTCCTGTTTCATTGCACGGGCTCCCAAGGGGTGCTGCTGTGGCCAGTTGCATATATGGAGCTACCGACAGCTGGCAGGGGGCTCTTGCTGCAGCGGGTTTGATTGGATTCATGAGTCCAGTGTCAGCGATTGGAGCCATACTAGCAGGAATAGATTACAGTGGCTTGGACCATGTGACGGCATTGGCGTGTGGAGGGCTACTCCCATGCTTTGTGAGAATATTGAAGAGGGGAGTGAGATTGGACTCGAGGAAAAGCAGCATAGGGCTAGTGATGGGAGTTGGATTGGCTGCACTTTGTTTGACCTTCACAAGACTGGTTTGCTTGCATACACCATATTGCAATTCCGCTCCGGAGGCTGTGAAATGAGAGATTGGTTGGTTGCTAGTAGAAATGGCTTTTCTGGTCTTTTTATGTCGTCAAAGATGGTAGTAGTAACACAGGCTCTTGAGAGTAGAAGGACGTATTTGGAAGCTCACCGAAATGAACGATATGATACATTTATTAGAAGAATCTTTTCTCTTCTTAACTTGACCTTTGTCCTTTCGGAAAAAAAGAAAGAAAGAAGAAAATATCAAAACAAAACCATGTTAAAATGTTGGAAGAAGATTTAAAGACAGCATCCGACCTTAGCTCACCGTTTGCCAGACAATCCTTGCGTTTTTGGGCAGTATCTCTTGATCATGTTGTCTTTTTAAAACATTAGAGAAAGCTTCTTCCGTTTGTGGATTCATCGTCAGAGCGAGTTGTCCACAGTTGTTGGCCCATTAGATTATAAAAAGAGTCAGCCTCTGCATCCTCTCAACTCAAATTGCGGCGGTCTCCGTATCGAACTTCTTTCCTGCAGCTTTTTCCTTTGGATATATCATTATATGGTACGCCTTTTTTTCCTTTACATGCACGAAAGAAAGAGAGAATCCAGGCCCTGACATACGTCTGCCCTTTTGAATACAACATATATTATATAATATAACAACAACATTCAATACACCACAAGAATCAATCCAATCAACTCATATCTTTATATTTTACAATAAAAAATTTCAATCACCCACCACCATTCCTCTCTCTCTCTCTTCCACACTTCTTCTTGAACCTCTCCGGGTAATCTATGAGCATTTTTTTGTGTGTTGCTGTCTCATAAAGACAAAAGAATAAAAAATAATTATAACAAACAAGAAGGAATGAAATGAAGAAAGCCACTGGTTGGCTCACCGGCGTGCGCTGGTGGGAGGCTGGCTTACAAATGCAGCCATGAACGGTCAATGTGCACCCCATTGCATATGACTGACATGCACTGCCACTCTGCCTCTTGAGTGTTTACTGCTTGAGTTGAAAGGGGAAAGACTGCCCCACGCCACTTGGCCCTGGACTCTCTTCTCTGATATTTGAGTTCAGCATTGCCAGTTCCCTCAGCTGCTGCCTCTTTATGTAATCTTGAGACTCGTCCTTCATCCCAAACACACACATATATATCAAGAATCAATACCAACCAACACATAAAAGTGGACTAGAAAATGTATTCAGATGTACTACCACTGGCTTCAGCAACTCTTCAATGATTTCCTGAGCCTGCCGCAGCCTTATTTCCACTATATTTGCTGGGAGATCTGCCTCTATTAAGATGTGAAGCTGATCATTCAGGTGCTCGTATCCCGGTCTTCCCCGTAGCTTCTCTTCCTAAAGAATTATCATTATTATAACCAGCATGTAATATATGTGCAAGTCTCAATCCAAATGATGGGATGGTCTCACCTTCTCTGGATCCTTGATTGACCCTTTCCCTCTGATGTACACACGGCAGCCTGTGGTAGCTTCTACGCGTTTTAATGAGTTGCCTCTAGGGCCAAGAAGCCTTCCCACAAAATTGAACTGATAGACAAACAGCGAGTGTAAGGATATATGGGGTTATTGTCACTTCCTTTGGATGAGGAAACATTGTAAATAGATATAGCCATAAGCTCACATTTGGATAGGAATCTACTGGAATCTCCAGACGCACTATCCTTTTCACAGTGTACGAACTAGGGCTTGCCGGTGCACCTTGCCAGTCCATCGTCATGCCAGGAGTTCCGCTAAGTCTCTGTAACAAACCAGGTGCTTTAGCCAGTACGCAAAGTGGGATTGATCAGTAAAAATTTGAAAAGGTCACCAGAACCGAATGATCTCCATCAGAGAAGGGGAAATAGATTAACATTTACCAAAAATAAACCTACATAACCATAAAATTAAATACCTCCTGAGAAAGGCCGTTCCAGCCGCCTAATCCAGTACTAGGGGCGTTAGACATAAGAGTAGAAGAAGCCATGGGACTGGGACTTCTGTGTCGGAGTCTATCAAAATCACCAAATCCTTGGTTGGACATCATTCCAGAAACCCGAAATATCTCTGCATATATAAAAAAGGCTTAATATGAACAACAGCATCATATACAAATAGCTCTTGAATGGCTAAAGAACTGCAAACAATTGCACATGTACTGAAGTCTAGCACTGAATTCCTTGACCTGCAAAGACAAAACAACCTGATCTAGGAACCCGATATGGGCGACCGAAACAATGACCCAGAGACAAGCAAATGCCACTAAGACTTAGCACACAGGTTTTCCGCTGAAATCATTGACCTGCCAGCAAAGACTAAACCCAACTCGACCAAGGAAAGATCGTGCAACGGATGATCGACTGTTCTCGCACTCGGGCATACTAGATAAAGCCATGCGACCATTTTGCAGACAAACTCGCATAGAAAATCGAACATTAGAATAATCAGGAAGCGATCGAAAGAGTCAAATGATTCAATTTGGCGAAATATCACGAAGAGCCGAGGGCGTGAACGGGAGAGAAACCCGATGATGGAAACACAAGTAAGACAAAGGGAAGACGAGATCCAAAGCGTGAAAGATTGAAAGAATCAACCTTGATTCAACAGTCGACTGCATATCGGGAGAACCTGCGTAAAAGGAGTGAGCTTTTGATGCTCGGCGAGAAGCTCCGACAAGTACTGGGTACTGGGCAAGGCAACACGAGAAACAGATCAATGCCCAGAGAACGGCAGAGAGAGGAAATCTGAGGGAAGAAGAATTGAGAATACCTGTCGATATCCGGAGTGCCTCTAATCTGGGGAGAAGCAGCTCTTGCAGGAGAAAAGTTGGAGTTATTGTACAAACCAGACATGGGTCTCTCCTATTCAAAAAGAAGGAAGCTTTGCAGGAAAAGGGGTCGACGATGGAGTTGCAGGAGAAAAAGAAGAAGAGACAGAGGCAGAGCTGCATCGAGGGAGAACCAAACGAAAAAAGGGCAGACACCAAATGTGAATTCTGCAGCAAAGACGCCAGACTTTTTATTTCTTCTTTTGTTTTTTCCCCTTTTTTTTTTTTTTTCCTCTAGGGAATATACAGCAAGAACAAATCAGGAGTTAAATCTCAGTCCCCTGTTACGAAGTTTGAAAATTAATAACATCAACTGTCGTAGTTGCTGTCAAGAAAAAAATAAATAAATAAGGGTAGTGGAGCAATTTTAGGATGTGCAAGTGACTACGTAGACCATATTCGGGTGATGGAGATTCCAACACGTGTCAACCATGCACTCGCTCACCGGAGCTCCAATGCGCAGGAATTTCGGTTAAGATAATCGGGAGTTATATTATGTGAGTGAAAATTTACGCAGACAAGATTAATACTAATAATATTAGTATTCATAAAAATAGGAGTCCGTGGACATTGTAAAAAGAGAGCAGAACGGCTACTACAGTGCACTGCTATACAGTCTATATGATGATTAATAGTTAGGTTTACTAGATAATAGACGTAGATTATACTAAGACGACGGACTGTTTGACTAAAACAATAATTAACGGAAACAAAATTAGAGACGGTGATATTAGATTAGATAAACAAAGAACAAGCACCAACTCTAGTGGACGAAATTGTAACGGACAATAATAACTCGATACAACGAAATTAGAGAAAAAAATATACACTGATATCATAACTATAAGTATAGTGTGTGTGAACAAAATTATGCGATGAGAAATGCCAGCTCAGACATAGCTGTAGCTCAGATACGTCGTATGCTGGCCTCGTGTAAAAATTTTGATAACTAAATACGTAAACAAAGTAATACTAGTCCGGCTATCGGTATCAGGGTGAGGAAAAAGAAGCACTCAGGAAAATAAAATAAATAAATAATAATTCTATAGAGACAGCAAGCAACGGCTTGCTTCGAAAGCTGGCAAATCAATTTATTATTATGTAATAACGAAAATCAAATCAGATGCAATAACTATGATTTGATTACAGTTTATGGGTGCCATTAGCAGGCACAAGGACTCCGGTGAAATAGGCCCGTCAGAGTTGGGCTTTGAGGCTGGAAATTATGTTGCACAGCTTATGTGTGTGTCCGACAGGAACTTGGCAACCAAAAAGATTGGAAGAAAGAGAGAGGATCATATTATTTCTTTGCCCTCATATGTCCACACCACAATGAATCAGGAATACTATGGATCCCCAAAAACAACATGTACACAACAAGGGAAGCCAAACCAAGAACACAAATCCCTATCCCTACGTGGCAATCAAATCTTGTCCACTGCAAGTTACACCATGTACTCGTTCTCCAGCACGGGTTGAGTTCGAGTCGCAGTGGCTGCTGGTGCTCTCGTCTCCCCAACCGAAACCATGTTCAGAGCCTCTCCTGCCTCAGCAGCCATCTCTATTCTCTCCATTTCCTTCCTCTGCTTGCACTTCTGCGCACACAGAGCCAGCAGTGACAATATCCCCATCACAGCTAATCCCACCACCACCGATCCCACCACTATCCACACCTTGGAATTAGTTTCCTTCTTTTTCCTATGACCAGGGGGTGCAATGGGTTTAGGAGGAGGAGCAGGAGATATTGACTCCACCACTATGGAGAAATGGCCCTGCTTTGTTGTGGAGCACCCCTTCCCTGATGAAACGCTGCTGAAGTTGATCTGACCCTCCTCACCAAGCCACACACACTTAGCCGCAAACCCATCTGGTGCAGGTCTCACCTCTGAAAATAAAATGGATATGGGGTCTCCAGATGCCCTGATATCCAATTCAGGCAAGCCCGTAGCCGATAAGTTTCCAGCGTCATAAGCAACAAGCCCTATCACTGGAGCCAGATAAGAATAACCATCCAATGGATAATAGAATTCTGACCAGTTTCCTAAGTTGTGATACACCAGAACAAGCCTCTCCACATAAGGCCTCACAATGACTCCTTTGGGAATCGTAAACTCCTTGTAATTTGTAAAGCCTTTCCTTCTTAGACTCCCGCTTCTAAGCCTTAGAGCCGCCACCTCAATCCCAGTCATATCAGAGGGAACTGGCCCATCATACGGAGTGCCCGTCTTCGGACGCTTACCAAACCCCCTGAAAGAATAATCTTGAAGAAGAGAATCTAGGGAGTGTTTGGCGGTGGATTGAGCAACAACATCCGGTAACCATGAACAGCACATCAGAAGAATAAGCATCGCAAGACTTCGAAGAAGAAGCCCCATAGATGCTTTCTGAATCTATAGCCGAGTAACACCGAAAATATTATAAACCGAGGCTCAATTTCAAACGGGTAGATCCGCTACAGTAATTACAGATAATAGCGGTAGTAAATTCTGATCCTTGATTCGCGTCAACTGTCTAAATGCTTGTTAATGTGACTAACGGGCACGGAATAAAGCGACAGAGATTCCCAGAAGAACTCTTTCTTGCTAGGTTTGTGTGCGTAAAAGCAGCTTTAGAGGGTTCGACTGGATCGTTGCCAGAGAGGGAAAAAATCTCTTTTTTTTTTTAATCCTCTTCCTGAATCCTTGAGACAGAAGCTACCGAATAAAGCGGATAACACGCGAATCCTTGTAGAACTCAGTCAGAACTTTCTCAATTACTGACAACTAGTGATTAAAGTTATGCGCAAAATCAGTAAAATCCAGTGATCGAGAGACCAAGAACACACTGCAAGGAAATTGTTTACCTCGCGAAGAAAGGGGGGCGATTCTCAAAAGCGGGAGTCTTGGGCCAAATCATGGGAAGGGTTGTCCTAAAGGAGCGGCATTTTGGGGTCGCTGACCATGCAATGGAGAATGCCACAAGATTCGTTTGCACAATGCAGAAACCCTAACAGGTTGAGGAACACCGACACGAGCGGTAGAGAGAAGAAGAAGGTTGTAAAAAAAAAGGAGAGTTGGAATGAGGACGAAGATGGGGAGAAAAGCAAGAAAATGAAATGGGGAGTAGGAAAAGGAAAAGAATTGTGAGATGAGAATCTGGTGGGGGAGGAGGAGAGAAAAGGAACAGAGAAACAGTCAGCAGGTATAAAGACTCTCAGTAGTGAGGAGGGTGCTACCAGAGAGAAATCTGCAGACGCCATTGGGGTAGAGGGGAGAGGTGGAGAGAGAAATCGAAAGACACACAGCTCAGCGAATGAGGAGACGACACTCGTACCCTCCGTCGCTTCGGCCCAACTGTAGATCTCAAGGCCTCCGAATATTTGTTAGTTTTTCAGGAGACCCCTTCCGAGTTTCTTAATTTATTTTTTAACCATTATTATTATTGCATTTAGGGTTTGTATTGTGTATGCAGCCAAACTAGTGGGTTCCAACTTCCAGTCACAAAGAATAAACGGAGGTGAACTGTTTTATGGACTCACACAGTCACTTTTCCAGTTGTTTCTAATTTTATAAAGTCATACATTTAAATCCCAACTAAAAAAACATAATTTGTCTTTTTGAAAGAAAGACCATGTCCGTGATTAGAAAAACTCAACCATGACTTATATAACGTGAAGGAATCATCCGGAAAAAACCATCTAAAATAATTGTATTCCTATTTTCGCCCAAAATAATTAACATATTTTAATTAAAAAAAATATGCTCTGGAGGATAACGGAAAACAATAATTAGTGAACAAAGATTGGAGGGTTGGGTTCGGAGCCCAATTTGATAAAATACAACTGTCGGCTGCATCTCCACTGAATGTCGGGAAGTGGGAAAAGGGGAATGGAAGCTCGACGTTGAATCCTCCAATTCACGACTGTTGATCCCTCCTTTTAGCTTTCAATTATGCGTTTCCATCAACTGGTACCGGGGGTGTAAAATTTGAGATCAGAGAGATTCAGAGGGAAAATCTCATCCTTTTCCGGGAGGATTTGAGTTTATTTAAAGGGTTTGGGGGTTACCGTCGAACATGGATACCACCGGTGACTCCCGCAGGCACCTGTCCGTCGAACATGGATACCACCTTTGTCTGCGCTGTTGGAGTATTCGGGTCTGCTACGTACGAGCTCTGCTCATGGTCCCGAGGCCGACAGCCTCGTACCGGCAGTCTCCGCTTCTCCGGCTCCTGTTCCCGGCTGCACCTCCGAAGGGGAAGTCTCCATAAGTATAATGGGTCCTGGGGGGGAGAGAACTTCTAACCCTGACGTCGCCCCTGCTGAGATCATCGGGGAGACCGACAATGTCATGATATCCTTAAGGTATTTGTTTCCATTTTATCTATCGTCAGGCCCTTCCTCTGTTTATCGATCGCCATAAAACAATGTGTTCCTTCTGTGACGGGAAGACATCTGTTCTGGTTCTGGTCTCCGTTGCTTTCTTTCTTCACGTGGTTGGAGTTTATTGGTGGTTTCGCAATGAAAATCTGTTCTATTCCTTGATCTTGCTTCCTCCTGAATCCATTCCGCCCTTTTGGCATGCGGTCTTCTTCATAATAGCAAACGGTGCGTTCTCGGTCCCATCAGTGACTTGCTTTTACCGCTTTCACAGACCTTAGTTTGTAACCCTGACCTGGAACCACTAATGCCTTTTTTCTGAATTAGAGACTGTCAAGTATAAATATTTATGTTGACTTCTAGTATGGAGGTATGATTTTGGTATAAACTCAAACGTTACTTTTAATATTCCCAAAAGTGATTCCGAGTGGGTTTCTCCCAGATATTCTGGTCAGGCAAGCAGCGATGGTCTTGAAGTGTCTTCTTTTAATCTATTACAAGAACAGTAGAGGACGAAGCTATCGTACACAGGTAAGTCATAGTGAGATTCAACTTACCTACCTTCTCTCTCGAATGGTTTTCTTTGGTCATCATAACCTTGGAGACGATGGAGAGTTATTCCTTGTCCAATTTCATGCCCTACCCTTTTTACTGTACGTCTCATTTCTTTGCAGGGCCAATTGCTAAGTGCAGTTGAATATCTGATGCTGCTTTACCGTGCCTTGTTGCCAACTCCAGTATGGTACCGTTTCTTCTTGAATAAAGAGTATGGAAGCCTTTTCTCATCGCTGATGACTGGGTTGAACCTCACTTTCAAGCTGACTTCTGTTGTTGAGAAGGTCACATGCTCTAACTTTTGATCATTTATGCGCTTCAGTTTTATCCAGTTTTCTTTACCCTTCTCTTGATTCAGGGAGCTTAATGCTTGCTAATTTTTCAGATGCAATCCTTTTTTGCTGCTTTGAAGGCACTATATCGCAGGGATGTGCACTATGGAGTTTACGCCACCTCTGAGCAGGTCCGTTTCATTTAATCTCTGTTCTGGTGCTTGACGTTCTTACATAAAATGGAAGCTGGTGCGAGAGTGTGAAGTTTGTCAGCCATGATATGCATGTCTGATATAAAAAAAATATGGATTTCAGCTGGCAATGACAAATAGGTTTGAACCGTCTTTTCAATAGTCGTAGGGTTCGTTCATTATGGAACATCACTACAACTTTTGGCCTAAAGACTCAGGAAGGGTTTCTCTCTTTAGTAACACTACAGATTGAACTGAATGGTGACTGTTTTATAAACAATGATTTAACCTGCTGGTTAGGATTTTTAAAAAAAAGCATGTTAGATGTTTGTTACGTGGACATGAAAGGTGTTACGAATGCAATGGTTGTGATATATGCAGGTTAACGCAGTAGGAGACTTATGTGCCATCTGCCAGGAGAGGATGCACGCTCCAGTTCTCCTGAGTTGTAAACACGTTTTTTTTTTGTGAAGATTGCGTATCAGAATGGTTAGGCTCTGAAATTCTGTAGCATATATTCATTTGATTTGAGGTTGAGATTTTCTGAATGGATCAATGGGGTTTCAGGTTTGAGAGGGAGAGAACATGCCCCCTGTGCAGGGCTTTGGTCAAGCCTGCAGACATACGGTCGTTCAATGACGGATCAACAAGCCTGTTTTTCCTGATTTTCTGAAACAGACTTCAATCAGAGGGCATTCTTTTGGAACCCTTCATACAGTTTAGAATCTGGAGGAGGGAAAGGGGTATAATGCGGCTGAGACAACCAGATAGTCCAGAGAGAAGTAGCATAGCTGTTTATATGTTTGTTATTAAATGGATGCTTGTGGTGGTGAATGGGATCACACAAAGCGTACATAAAGAGTCAACTGAACTTGAGACATACTGTATAAACTGTTAATGGATACGAGTCCCGTCTGAGTCACTGGTGAAATTTGTGTTTGACACGAATTATGCTCCTTTTCAACATTGTAAGAAAAACAAGAAAAGAAAGAAGTAACATTGAAATATGTTTGTTTATTGAGACAAAATCTTCTTTGAAAACTGATTTACATTCGGATGTGGAAGCAGATTGATGAATGTGGAGCGTCTACTGCACAGAAATAAGGAATATTGGGGATGAAAGCAATCAGATTGATTACTCGGCCAAAACAAGGGAACAAAGAAAAAAAAGAGTGGATGTAATTTCTAAGCAGAAGAGTGGGAGGGTGGTGGTCTCTTGACGTCAACTGGATGAGGCACTGAAGGAGGTGGAATCGGTTGCAGATTCTCTTCATCATTGGCAGGTGGATAAATGTCGGAAAGGCGAGGAGGTGAGGATAGAGAGGACGGAGATGACAAGATGGAGTGCGAGTCAGAGGCTGCAAATGAGGCCAGAGATAGCGTCCTTGTTATGGAAGGGTTCACCTCTGCAACTTCCTCAATGCCGTCGTCTATGTAAACCACATCCTGCATAGTTAACTGATGGTACTCCACAATCTCCCGCAAGAACCTGTTCTCCCTCGCATATATGGAATTCTCATGAGCTAATCGAGCTTTCTCTGCCAGCAGAGTTTCCAGCTGAAGCCTTATCTGTTGGAGCACCACCGCCATGTTTATGTGTTATTGCTCTAAATTCCTAATAAACAAATAATCGAGTAAAGCTGATCCCTTCCCTACCAGATCGTCATCTGCAGGGTTGTTGCCTTTCTCGCGACTATCTCTAAGGCGTCTGTTCTCTTCTTCGAGCTGGGCACACCTCTCCTTGGCGAAAGCTAAGTCTGCTTTCAGGGTTTTCAGCTCCCGAAGAAGCAGTTTTGCTTTGGCTGCTGTAGCCATTGCCACCTGTCAACAGAAACATTTTCCATCAGCTGCTACAACGCAGTCCAGAGGATTGTAAAGGGAAAAAGGATCGTACATCGCGGGATGCCTTGAGTTGGGACTCGTGGATTGTGGGGTTGAGTACCAGAGGCTGCCAAGGGCTGTTCCCTCCAGAGGATTGATTTTCTGTGTCAGCATCAGATCCCTTTCGCCTGATTTGAAGTCTTCGCGTTTCTTGGATGATATCTGCTGCCTTGTTTTCGACGAGAGTGCGTCCTTCCTGGTAACAAGACCACATGTGATATATAACTGGTAATTCCTGAAGAAGGAAGGTGTGAGAGCTGACCTCGAAGGCCTTCTCGAAAGACTCTCCCATCTGGTTGAGAGAGAAGGTGAGTTTGTCAAGGCTTTTGCGGATCTTTGGATTGTCAACTTTCCTATCGTTTAATGGGGATGACTCATTGGACTGAATCAAGCAGAAGGAGGAGGAGGATGAGATGAATAACCGTGTGGCAATGGGCGTAGACAATGATGAGACGATCTTACCGGATGCAGATGCAGTTGGGGAATCACGTCATCATCCTCGAGGATGGCTTTGGCTTTCTGAGCCAGGATTCCCCAGAAACCACGATTTTCGTTCTTAGATGGATCTTCATAGGCGTTGAATCCTCGCACCTACAAAATAATATGCAGGAGGACATTTGAAGATTGTTTTCTTATATATATATAATGAGATGGAGTGAAACCTGAGAAAGAGGAGGAGGAGAATCGCGGAATGCAGAGGAAGCACGGATGGCCTGAGCGGCGAGGGATGAATTGGAAGAAGAGAAGGATTTGCTGCCCTTCGCATCTTCCTTTGGCGGTTGCTTGTAAATCTCTTCCTTGAACGTTGTCGCCCTCGTTATCCCCTGCCTCCTCCTGTATGCCATCCCTTTCTTCTTCTTCTTCTTGTTTGGAATCTGAAATCTGGGAAATGTTTGAGAAATAGACCCCCCCAAAAAAAAAGGAAATGCCTTTGTGTTGAGGGGTTGCAATGCAACGCAAAAACATTGATCCATCTGTTTTGACGATCATTTTTCCTCATATAACCGACCCTCGATGCATTTTATCATCATCATCATGCCATCCATATAAAATTAATTAATTAATTAATCCTTTATTTGGTCGGAGAGACGACCCACATATATATACAACTACTCCCTCAAAATGATTTTTTTATGGACGAAGAGACTATTTATTCACTCTTTTTTTTAATTTCTTTTGGTGGTTGACTAATTACAGAATACAATACACCTGAAAATAAGTTTCTAAATGTCTCGGGGTACACAAACATCTTGATAATGTTTACAGACAAATATACACTCGCTTTTCTACGTATGATCTTTTGGGAAGAAATCAACTTGTTAAACATTTCATGTCGATCCGGAGAAAAACATGAACCAAAAGGACATCCGACACAACATGGTTAATTACCAAACGCCACATGGACAGCGTGACAGTATCGTTGGAAGCGGGTTTTTGGACAAAATCTTGTGAGTTGCTTTGGGTTTGGTTGTGGAGGATGGTCGACAGAGGAGAGCCGTTGGATTAGAATCTATTCTGAGTGGGCCCCACACGAGGTCATTCTCATCCCCAACTATAAATATCGAAACCCCTAAAATTGGGCGCAAACGAAACTCGTCAGTCACCCCCTCCCTCCATTGGAGTTGGCGTCCCTAAGGTATTTCTTCCCCCTTTCTTCTCTCTCCCCGATTGTGTGACTTCTGGGTTTAGTCTGGATTCCTTTTCGCATTTTTCAATTTTACATTTTCCTATTCGTTGCTTGCGGGATCGCTTTTGAGATTTCGAATTTTGTGATTCTTCGAGGCTTAGAACTGCGATTGTGTTCTCCCAGATCTGTTGTCGGCATGGATTGTGGAGATTTCTGTCAAATTGAGGCAGCTCCTCTGGAGCCTCAATCTCCTGTCGCTTATGGGCTCTGTCCCTCATTGTCTTTGGGTTCTGATTCTCCTCTATCCCAACCAGAAAACCAGTTAACTCCTTCTCCTGATGCCATCGCCTTGTCTTCCCTTTGTCGTCACTATACTGATAAGATGAGAATCAGCCCTCCAGGTTCTTTTTCTACGGATTCTTCCAACGAAGTTGGACTTGGTTCTGTTTCGGATGAAGATATACTTGAGTCTATTTATCAGAGTATACTGGAAGCCATTGTATCCCTGCAATTCGACCCCAATCTGACTGACTTGTGGTCTTTTGATGGTTGCAAGACGCCTCTTTCTGTGCACTGCTCTAACCACATCCCAGAAACCTGTCCTGGAGCTCCCATGAAGCTTACCAGGATTTCGAGGAACATCGATTCTGGGTTGCGTAGAAAACTCTTCTGATATTGTAGCTACAGCTGTTGCAGATAGCCTAGGATCTAATTTTACTTCTATTCTGCCATGTAATGTAACTATTGGCCGCCAAGACAAAGTTTGCAGTGGCGCTGTACAGTGGTCGTGGGCACTGAAGGTCATGACCCGGTGGTTGTTCCAGTTTCTCACCTAATAAAAAAGATAGAAAGATCAATGCTTTGTTTCCAGTTGTTGTCTTCGTTCACTGGTGCTTTGTTTAGATAGATTAGTTGCATAATTCAACAGTGACTTGTCTGGAATAAAGTTTCACTCTTTGCCATTCCAATTGGAAACGTACACGTTATTATATGTGCAGTAAGGGTGACACACAGGCGTATATAACTTCAGGGGAGCAGCAGCGAAAGTAAATGCATTTATTTATACGGCTTAAGAATTTGCCCTACACCAGTCTACAGCATATCGGCAAGATCAATTCACAACTTAGTGCTGCTTCTACCTGATCCAGCACCTTCATCGAAGGGAAGCCTACGTAGATTTGGCAATCTAAAGTCGCAAGAACGTGTTTGAAGATCCCCAGGAAGTTAATCTTGCCAGGGATCCTGCGTCTCCAATGCAATCTGCCCGGCCAATATATCGCGCACAATAGCACCAACATCTGAAGCAAATTTATCAATCTGGAGAGTAAGGAGGGTGGGTAGAGTGGTGGAATCCCGGGCGGGGAGATAGGCTTCTCCGACCAGCTTGTCCCTGTAAAGAAGCAGGGTCTTGCCATGCCCATCATGTTTGAAACTGAAACGGCTGAGTGTGACATTGAGCTGCAAGTGGATGGGAGGGAAGGAGATACGAGGGGCAACTCCCTGCACGGTGGCGGAGAGTATCTGCGTTCTGGGCTGTTTTGGATTGAACACAGTCAGTGGTAATGCTAGGATAACAAACGTAATGACCAACAGTTGGAGAAAGCAGCAGAGAGCTACGATGCAAGTGCCGCGTTTAAGTTTATGCACAATTGCTTGTCTTCTTTCATGACTGGCCTTTCCGGTTTTTTGTCGGGTTGGCTTAATATAATAGAGTGAGCTCACATCCAGTAAATGAAAATGCCATGGATGGCCGAATTTCTCGCCTCATTCAATGTGTTTAGATTTGTCAAAACTCTCTCTCTCTCTCTGGCTTGTTGTGCACCCAGCAAGATTCTCTCCTTGATGCACCTACCTTTTTTTTTTACTTACCGATTTGCCATATCCCTGATTTAATTGCATGGATTTGGAATCCTAGAAGATTTGAGTCAACGAGGGAACTGTAACGTAAACGAGTCCACGAAAGTTTATGCTTCGGTCTGCAGCGATCCTTGAAAGCATTTCCGACGCTCATCGAATTGAAAAGGGGTTGCCTTTCTCGAGAGGCATCCCCAGGAGCGGAAAGTATGCCTTCTGTTCTGAGCTTATTTCCGATCTGACGGAAACGGAGAGATGGGAGGAGGAAGAAGAAAGAACAAACAAGTTGAAGAGGTTGGTCAGGATCCGAGGCAGATGCAGATGTTGCGGCCGCCCCTTCCCCCGACCCCCGCGTTTGTCTTTTACTGTTCAGGAGCATATTGTATCTTTGGTTAAAAAATTGTAAAGGCAACCGGGTATTATAGGCAATTGTCTAATTCATGTAATTAAGTGAATAAATGGCCGGTTCAGACTCTCCCGTCATCAGCTTTTGCCAATTTCGTACCGACCGACTGGGCTCGCTTATTTATTTTCAATACTTTATTAGGTTATGGCCCATGAAACGTAATCCGGCCCATGCCCATATTTTTCCGAGCTCGTCTTCCGATTTTCAATTTTTTTTTTAAATTATAAATAATGAAAATTTTGAGCGATTGGTGTCCCCGATCGGAGATTCGGAGGAGGTGGGTCTACGGAGGAGGTGGGTATACTGTTCGGGGTTTTAACCCTAATAACCCAGTTGGGTCGCAGCTATTTCAGGGTACACCACCAAATTTTTTTTTTTTTTTCAATTTTAACCCAGTTTTCGGTTGAAAAAGTCCAAAATTACCCTTTTCATTTTATTTTTTGCGATCTTATTACGACTAACATATAACTGATATACAACTAAAAAAAGACAGATGATTTTTTTGCCACTTTTTTAGAATCGATTGTAACTATATTTAGAATTAATTACGAAGTCGTAATAAAGAAGTTGTTTTCGAACGGATAAATATCGTGTATTTATTAAGAGTAATTTTGTCTTTTCAAAGGAAAAAAATGTGTTATGTTTTTTTAAGTGTACAAGTGAAATAGATGACCAAGTGGTGGGTTATTTGAGTGATTTTCCCCTCAGCCTTTCAAGTTTCATCCGAATCTGTGCTTCCTACCTCAGCATCAGCAGCTTCGTTGCTCTCACTTATCTGACTCTCTGCGCTCCTTAGGGTTTCATTGAGTTTTCCCGGCGTATCTTCCACTTCTTCTTCCTTCCTCGTTAGGGTTTCTGTGTCAAAGATCGAGTCGCTGCTCTGATTTTGGGAACTCGGTGGAAGCAAATGGAGGGAAGAAGGATTACAGCAAGCCCTAGACCCTGCAGCGGAAGAAAGGTTGTTGCCAAGAAGAGGTCTCGCCCCGATGGCTTCGTCAACAGCGTCAAAAAGCTCCAACGCCAAGAAATCTCTTTCCCCAAGGACCGAACTTTCTCCATTAGCACCGCCCAGGAGAGGTTCCGCAACCTGCGCCTCGTCGTACGCCCTCTCTTTTCCTTTTTTTTTTCCCTTCTAATTTCTAGGATTTTCTGTGTGTGCAAACTTTGCAATTGTCCATCCCTAAACTCTTTATCGGCTCAACTAGTTGACCTCTCAAGTCGGTGCTGCTTAATATTTGCATCAGGAGCAATATGATCCAAAGGGGCACTGTTTAGTCGCGCTACCCTTTTTAATGAAAAGAAGTAAGGTTATCGAGATAGTTGCCGCGCGTGACATTGTCTTTGCTCTTGCCCATTCTGGCGTTTGCGCAGCGTTCAGCAGAGGTACTTGGCATCATCCCTATCTACTTTTGATGCAGACACTTATCCCTGGCCTGTCTTACTATAATTGCAGATGACAAACAGAAGGGTATGTTTCTTGAATGTTAGTCCAGATGAAGTTATCCTCTAATAAGAGAATTCCTCTTAGAAAACCAAATTTCAATGAATGCTTTCACGATCTTATGACGTGGGTCATTAGGAACTACAGAACACATTTGATGAGCCAATAATCAATGTGTATATATATGCACATGGAAAAGGGGAACTGAGGGAGGGAGTCGAGTGTATAGGTAATGACAACTTTTCGGCGAGGACTTAAGAAAGGCAATCAGCTTTCCATTCCAAATTTTGAGCACTGTGTATGCTTTTTGATCGTAAGATATTATGAGATACAAAAGTATTTATAGAAAGAAAAAAGCATCGTAAAGGGCGTGGTTGGGTTGGATAGGGTTCGCTGCCATGCTACAAATGTTGTCAGTCAAAAAAGTCCAAAACTTTCCATTTCAAAAAGTCTGTACATATTGAAAAAGAGGGAGACTGTTTCTTTTGGGCCCAAAAAGCAGTATTCGAGGAGTAAGAAAAAAACGGACAAATGAGAAAAGGATGAGTAACGCAGTAGACGCAACTTTCGGGGTTTGACAGTTGGATGCATCTGCCATCTGTTTTACTAAATGTTGTTTTTATTTATTTATCTTAACTTTGTGTGTAGAAGCGGTAAATGTTTGTCCAATTGAAAAGACGTAAAATGCCGATGCAGTTTTTCCTTCTTTGTGGGACTAGAATGGAGAAATATGAGAAGAAAAGACAAACAAAAAGGGACAGGAGGAAGAGAGAGGCGAAGATGCAATTACATGAACACCGCTACCTACCTAATCCCCTCTCTCTATCTTCTCCCTCTTTTTGTTTAATAAAAAAGAGCATCAAACTTATGAGTGTAGAGATCCAACCACTACAATTCTAGTGCAAAGCGCCATTCTTTGTCCGTCCATTTAGCTGTGTAACGAGAATCATCTCCAACCCACTTCATGCCAAACGCATTACTGTTTTTCCAACATCAAAGCCAACCAGGAGAGAGTCATCCGAGGTCGTGCTTTTGAGTTTGAGAGTTTCTTTTCTTTCGCATTCTATTTAACCGTGAAAACCCAGAAGAAGGATATGTGTCATCCCCATGGCGGAATCCGGCGAGGTCAACGGCGGAATTCAGACTCCAACTTCCGTGAGAAGCACTTCAAGTGGTGAGAAAGCGTATGGCCTCGGAGATCAACAACCCCGACTGCGACCACTCTTCCAGGATTCACCGCCGGACTTCCCATCTCCCTGAACCCAACACCAGCATCATGTCTTCGAATACTCAGCCCCCGCTGTCGGTTTGCGGCTTCTCGGGTCTTCCTTTGTTCCCGTCGGCCATGGATCCAGACGCTTCGGCCACCGCGTGGATCGACGCAGTCATCAGAGACCTTATCCACACCTCCACCACCGTCTCTATCCCTCAGCTCATCCAAAATGTCAGAGACATCATCTTCCCTTGTAATCCCAATCTCGGCGCTCTTCTTGAGTACAGGCTCTGCTCTCTCATGCTCCTCGACCCTCCCGAACCTCCGCCGCCGCAGCCTCTTGATCACCCCTCCTCCTATACTCACCTCCATCAGATCTCCGTCAATCCTCCCCCCTCGCAACCTCAGCCTCAGCAAGAGAAGCAAACACTTGAAGAACGAGAGAACTCTTCCTCTGATGCAGCCGAGGCAGTGAGCAGCACACCGTCCACGACGGCCGCGGTTGTTGCTGCCATGAGAGAGAAGAAGGAAGACATGAAGAGATGTAAACAAGACGAGGAAGGGTTGCATCTCCTCACTTTGCTGCTGCAGTGCGCGGAGGCAGTCTCCGCTGATAATCTAGAGGAAGCCAACAAGCTCTTGCTTGAGATCTCACAGCTCTCCACTCCCTACGGCACCTCCGCTCAGAGAGTAGCTGCTTACTTCTCGGAAGCCATGTCGGCAAGGATGCTCAACTCATGCCTGGGGACTTACGCGGCGTTGCCTTCTCACAGTCTGAAGATGGTTTCAGCCTTCCAGGTTTTCAACGGCATTAGCCCACTCGTAAAGTTCTCCCATTTCACGGCCAATCAGGCGATTCAGGAGGCGTTCGAGAGTGAGAAGAGTGTGCACATCATCGACTTGGACATCATGCAAGGACTCCAGTGGCCGGGTCTTTTCCACATCCTGGCTTCTCGACCTGGAGGCCCACCTCACGTTCGCCTCACGGGGCTTGGTACCTCCATGGAAGCTCTCCAGGCCACTAGGAAGCGTCTCTCCGATTTTGCCGAGAAGCTCGGTCTTCCCTTCGAGTTCTGCCCGCTTGCTGAGAAAGTCGGCAACTTGGACCCCGAGGGACTCAATATAAGCAAGAGGGAGGCTGTAGCTGTCCATTGGCTTCAGCATTCTCTTTATGATGTCACTGGTTCTGATACCCACACGCTCTGGCTGCTACAAAGGTATCTTTTCATTTCCACTATCGTGGGAATAAGAACTTACTAACATGAAATTATATAGGTACAAAAAAAGTAATCCGTGTGGATGGAACAGATTGGCGCCTAAAGTGGTAACGATAGTGGAACAAGACATGAGCCAGGCAGGATCTTTCTTGGGAAGGTTTGTGGAGGCGATACACTACTACTCGGCGCTGTTCGACTCACTGGGAGCGAGCTATGGAGAGGAGAGCGAGCAGAGGCATGTGGTGGAGCAGCATCTGCTGTCGAAAGAGATACGCAACATACTGGCAGTAGGAGGGCCGTGTAGGAGTGGGGAGGTTAAATTCCAGAGTTGGAGGGAGAAGCTTCAGCAGTGCGGCTTCAAAGGCATCTCTTTGTCGGGCAAGGCAGCCACTCAGGCCACTCTTCTCTTGGGGATGTTCCCTTCCGATGGTTACACTTTGGTCGATGACAACGGCACTCTCAAGCTCGGTTGGAAGGACCTTTCCTTGCTCACCGCCTCCGCCTGGACACCTCCTTTCTCTCCTCTTTGTTGACATATTTTCTTCTCACAACCTGCTTCTGCATCCTCTTTTTTAATTATAGTCGAGATCTTTGTTACCTTGTTCATTTGCTTCTCTGTGTATTTATAAAGGCCAAACGACGAGAATTAGTATAAAGACGAATTGGAGGCTAGTTCTCCATACTTTGTAAACATTTCAAAACCTTTTCTTTATTTTTATTCTCTAAACTTTCATCCCCTTACGCTTAAAAAAACATACATAGTTTTCATCTTTCTAAAATGTCACAAACACTAAATATCACTAAGAAAGGCACCTACTCTTCCCTTTATTCACGATTCGCGAATATTACATGTGCGGAGATGCTTGATGCCGGGGGTCTATCAGTCTCTCCTTATCTCTATATTCTATGTCAAGTAAGCTCTAGAACATTCGGTATAAAAATGTGAAACTGAACTGGTTATATGTGAAAGGACAAAGCGGAACGGAAACAGGTTTGATTTTATGCCAAACAACCAAATAAAAGATGAAGTATTTGATTCAAACAAAACTATACCAGGGTACTGCGGTTGGCTTCTACTTCACCGCGGAATCAGGAAAATAGGAGGTCATGCTTTGTGTCACGCACTTTTCGTTATGCATCACAGAATAGAACACTAATTTTCTTTTTTCACACTATTTTGGCCGAGGCAAAGTATAATTTCTTTCTTTTTCCCCAAGGCTGAATTAAGGGGCAAACCGTAAATATCCAAGAGGTCGATTGCGTTCTCGGCCTCTTTGTTTTCTGATTTTTAACGCATTCCGAGGAAAGAGGAAAGGCGCAACAGAGAGAAGGAGAAGCCGGATCTGGAAATGTGAAAGAAGAATAAGAGAAGGGAATCAGAGAGAGACAGAGAGAGAGAGAGAGACAGAGAGAGAATGGTGTCGGAACAGGAAAAGATAGTTGGAAGCTGTTTGTTTGGAGCTGCGACGGCTGTCATAGGAGCCTCGTTGCTCCATCTCTACTGGAAAGGAGAACCGCTTCCATTAGGATTAGGGCTAGGTTTGGGATTACCATGGCGCAGGTTCAGACAGCAGCGGAAGCCTGTTCGTGTCTACATGGATGGTTGCTTCGACATGATGCACTATGGCCATTGCAACGCCCTCCGTCAAGCCCGTGCTCTCGGTGATCAATTGGTAGTCGGCGTTGTCAGCGACGAGGAAATCATCGCCAACAAGGGCCCTCCTGTCACGCCCCTCCACGAGAGGTCTCTCTCTCTCTCTCTCTCTCTCTCCGTTTCTAGATCCGATTGCGTATGTTTCTGGTTCAATCGTGTGTTTCTGTGGCAGAATGATAATGGTGAAGGCTGTGAAGTGGGTCGATGAGGTCATCCCCGATGCTCCTTACGCCATCACCGAAGATTTCATGAAGAGATTATTCGTCGAGTATCAGATCGATTATATCATACATGGGGACGATCCCTGCGTTCTTCCCGATGGAACCGATGCGTATGCCCTCGCTAAGAAAGCTGGTCGCTACAAGCAGATCAAGCGCACCGAAGGCGTCTCTAGCACCGATATAGTTGGTATTCATATCATGTGTCTGCACTTCCTTTTTATAACTATTACAATCGTGCAAGTACTTGGTTGTTAATGCATCAGTTATGGCCAGGTCGTATGCTTCTCTGCGTAAGAGAAAGATCCATTAATGACAGTCACAATCATTCCTCTTTGCAAAGACAGTTTAGCCATGGTCACAGCCCAAAATTTGAGGATGGAGGTTATGCTGCTGCAACCCGTGTCACACATTTTCTTCCTACTTCTCGGAGGATTGTTCAGTTCTCCAATGGCAAGGTGAGCTCTGCAAAATCTGTGCTGCTTATGTTAAATCACACCCTATCGATCCTATTATTTGTTGTTGTGCACATTACTTGGATTCGGCGGAAGAGGGTATATATAAATGTATTAATTCTGTTACTTGATGATCTTGTAAATAGGGTATAGAACTAGAAGATTCTTGGTATTATATTGAACGTTGCCTGATATACTTGACATGTTAGCAACTGTAGTATTTTTCTCATCTTTTATTGGCTCAAAATTTCATTCTCTCGATAGTATGGCTTCCCTTCTGTTATTTGCAAGTTACTGGTTCAACTTTTTTCTCTATTTATCTGAGGCAGAGGTAAAATGTAGTTTCTTTTCTTGTTTTTCTTCATCATTTTTCTCTTTGCTTCTTGCTATTATAACTTTGGTGTGGATGTAAATTACATGCTTGTGGGACAGGGGCCAGGGCCTGATCAACGGATAATATATATAGATGGTGCTTTCGATCTTTTCCATGCTGGCCATGTGGAGGTATAATGTTTTATACCCGTCTGCAGTTAGCTGAGTATCAAATATTATCAGTTCTTTGATGGATGGGATTGTAAATTGATCCTTGCTGCTTGGGCTTTTCTTCTTGTGAGAAAATATACAAGAAAGATATGGCAATGTGTAATACATTTACGCTTAGCTTTTGTTGAATAAAGTAAATAGTTTATTGCATGAATGTCGGTCGTAGAAGGACCTGTTGAGGATTCTGAACTAGCTAGTGTCTGAGCTTTTGCTTGTGATATCCTTACTTCAAAGGGAAAGCTACGAATCTGTGATATGATTTCTGTCTGCTATATTAAATATTTATTTCGTGTCTTCTCAACCTGTACAGATTCTCAGGGTTGCTCGAGAGCTTGGTGACTTCCTACTCGTTGGAATACATAATGACCAGACAATCAGGTTCAAGAGTTCATCTGAGTTCTCTGGAGAATTATGTTTGTACATAACATTGTTAGACCTTTTCGTTTTTCCTTTTTTTTGTATGTGCTGCTGTGAGATCAGTTTGTAGTTTTAGTTAGGAGATAATAAACATTTTCTTCAGTGTATATATCAGAATTCTTGGGTGCCAGTAGCAGTTAGATGGATAACTTTGTGTTCTTTATATGTGGTTATGCAGTGCTAAAAGAGGAGCACATCGACCCATCATGAATCTTCATGAAAGAAGCCTAAGTGTTCTGGCTTGTCGTTACGTAGATGAGGTGATAATTGGTGCTCCTTGGGAAGTGTCAAAAGACATGGTGAGTTTTTATGAGTTATGCATTGTCATTTAGTCTATAAACCTGGGGTACACATGGGTCAGGTACCCGAGTTTTCCAGTTTACCCAATCTCAGCCTCGCCCCCTCTGCTTCTTGGCCGGATTACCGGACCTCAGTCTCATGAGGGAACGGTACCCGAGTGGGATGCAGCAAGGTTTCGAATATCCAGCCGACAAGGGCGGGGGGCGACTAGAAAAGAGGTGAGGAACAGCCAGAAAAGAGGCAAGGTCGCAACACTGTCCACGAAAGGCCAAGGTCACAAAAAAGGTAAGAAAGATGCATCTGAAAAGGGCGAGGGTTGAGGCAAGGCGCGCGAGGTCGACCGTTTCAGCTGCTACAATAGTGTATTCCAATGCCCCTTTCCTGTAAAGCAGTCACAACCCCACAAGATGAACCCTTTCTCTCCTCTCTCTCTCTCTCAACTAGCAGCCACTACGAGGAGTGAAGGATCAGTTTTTACCTAATGTGATCCATATATAGCTGTACTTTTATAAACTTATTATTGTTTTTACAGATCACAACTTTTAACATTTCTCTGGTCGTCCATGGAACAGTGGCGGAAAGTAGTGATTTTTTGAAGGTAATGCAATGTTTGAATCTGATTATTAAGTTAAGTTCTATCAACAAGCAATTCCACTTTGAATACATTTCCACTGTTTTCAGGAGAAAGATAACCCGTATGCTGTACCAATCAGTATGGGCATATTCACAATTCTAGAAAGCCCTTTGGATCTCACAACATCCACAATAATAAAGAGGATTGTTGCAAACCATGAAGCTTACCAAGTAAGTAGCGTTGTTTTTAGCTGTTTGTTTTCCATGGTGGATCAGTGCACTGCCTAGGCCCGAGTGAGTGTGTTATGATACGAGGTTCTTTTGTTCTTGCATATGGCATTGTAAATCAGTTTGGTGTTGAGGATGGACATAGGTATAACCTAATTTGAATCTTGATTGATTCCGCTCAGTGAACCAGAAAAGCAAGCTGCTGGGTATTGCTAACGGGGGTTTAAGTTAGGTCGCTAAGCAAGAGTTGATCATGTTCACTTTTGTTAGCTCAGGATAAATTCTTCCCCTTTTAGGCTCGCTACTAACATGACATCGTTATTCTGTGTTATGCAGAAACGTAACATGAAAAAAGAAGCTAGCGAGAAAAGGTACTATGAGGAGAAGACTTATGTTACTGGGGATTGATGTATGGGCATTGGGTGGTGACTAGGATCGCAATATTTAGGCTCTCAAACACCTTATACACTCTTAGAGGAGTTTTTTGGTGGCATGCTGCTGCCATCTTTTGGTTTGCAATGAAGCAGTGGCTGGTCTTAGGTTTTCCGTCTGTGTTGTTTTAAGCATATCGTGGATTTTCTTTCCCAAGGATCCCTGTATGATGAGAGAAGATGATTTAGAGAGAGCAGGAATTTCCAGCCACGTGTTGGCGACTTCAGTTGCTTTCTAGACAAATTTGTGTTCTCCAGTTTTAATTAATCTAATTTCTCATTTTTTAATTACTAAAATTAAGCTCTTGATAGATATTACGTAGTCAGTATTTAGTATTTAGCTTTTCATTATCTTAGTTCTTCCATGCTTGTTCCCAGCATGTACTTTCGTTAGAAGTATTTAGGACAACGGGAATTCAAGAATATGGATTTTGACCCTTTTTCTATTAACTTGGGTCGAGAGATCACGGGTCCACGGGACGGCCAACTCAAGATCAGCTTCACGGTCGCTAGGATTTGTTGTTAAATTAAGTCGGATAATGCCAATTGGTGGGATTGATCTCACGTATTTTATTTCCAAAAATATATTTCGATGGACACATATCTAAGTGTTAAACATTTATATTTTAATTGATTTTCGTTTTGTTATTTCTTTATTATTTTATAATCTTAACCATACAAATATATGTTTATTAAAAGTTTGGTTCGGACCGTTTGAACATTTCAATCATAATTATTTTTTGTTTTTATTTAAAAATCTATTTTTTCAATGTTTCATTTTAAAAATTATTTTTTTTATAATCTGAAAATGATCAGATTTTTTATTTAAATATATCTTTTAAAATATCGGAGAAGTTCATATAAATAAACATTTTTAAATGGTGATTCGAATCTGTAATGGTAGAACTAGCAATCTTGGGTACCAACTTCACAGTGAGCAGGTTCATCAAGGTGTTGATTGGTGGAATTGCAATTGCAATTGCGGTGATTGCGGACGTTTACGATGCATTTCCTGGCGATCGAACCTGATTGGTAGAAAAACTGTTGATAGCGATTGCGAGTAATTGCGATTTAGAATGACTGTTTGACAACGATTGCGATTTCGATTGCGATTTGGTTTAAATTACAAAAAAGACAATCATTTTATTATATACAATAATAACTGTTTTTAAAATATTTTTAATTAGTTTTTTACTATTATTTAATATCAAATAATTATTAAATTTATAAATAATTAATTATAAAATTGAAAATATTATTTTGTTATCAATTTAATTTATTTTCAAAGATAATTTTAATATTAAAAATATTTAAGATCGGAACATAATATATACCAAACAAAATTATCAATATATATTTTTAAATTTATGTACGTATATATGTATTATATATATAAATATATGTATATATATGTGTGTATGTATATATATGTATATATATATGTATGTGTGTATATATGTATGTATGTATATGTATGTGTGTGTATGTATGTGTATATATGTATGTGTGTGTATGTATGTGTTTATATATGCATGTGTGTATATATGTATGTATGTGTACGTGTATATAGATGTATGTATGTGTACGTGTATATAGATGTATGTATGTATATATGATTGTTTGTGTATATATATGTATATGTGTATATATGTATGTATGTATGTATATATGATTGTTTGTGTATATATATGTATATGTGTATATATATATGTATGTATATATGTACGTATGTGTATATGTATGCATGTGTGTATATGTGTATATATGTATGCATGTGTGTATATATGTATGTTTATATATGTACGTGTGTATATATGTATGTATGTGTATATGTATATGTATATGTATGTATGTGTACGTATATATAGATATATATATATATGTATATATGATTGTTTGTGTAATGATAACATGTATTTTATATGATGTTTTGATATACGACGCCTAGTGTATTTCACTCGGTTTTACATATTTGTAGGCATTTTAGGGCACATTTGCTTTCGATATTAAGTGGTTGTGTTATTTGGTGTTTAAATAGGTTTTCACGTATAAAAAAAGTAAAAAGAGTAGAAAACATGGACTACGAAAAATCATGGACGAAACGGGAACATTTGAAGTGTTTTCAGGAAAAAACGTGAAGTTAAAAAATGTCAGATATTGCAAGTTCAATAACTTTCACTCTACATGTCCAAATCTTCTGCTCTCTACAGCATTGGAAAGTTCTTCTCAATATCTACGTATAGACACTAAGAACACCCAAATCTGATATCGGAGTAGGAAGTTATGAGCGAATTTGTGAAGTCCACCAAAACTGATAAGAGACATGAAAGTATGAAACGATCGTTTTGGATTTGGTGAAACGATCGGTTTAGCTCCGCAAAATTGGAAAATTGCTTAGAAAGTGGAAACGATCGATTTGGCTTGATCCGAAACGATCGATTTGGCTTGATCCGAAACGATCGATTCGACCCCCAGATTCGGGAATACTTCCAATTTTGCACAAACCGAAGAGAAATAAGAGGGGAAAGCTCCTAGGTCGAAATCATTCCGAATTTTGGCAGAAAGTACACCTAAGAGCAGAAGAAAAGGGGAAGATTATCAGGAAGCAAGAGATCGAAGTAGAAGACGAAGATCACGATCGAAACCGAGAAATCGACTAAGAGTTTCTTCCTTGTTCTATTTTACGTTGTTTTGTTGTATTGATATGAACCATGTCGTCTCGATGTTTAGCGAGTAGTTCCATAGTTGTAGGTTAGAGATTTGCTATGTAAAGAACTTTGGTTTTTAATTCTAGACTTTTTGGATTTATTTATTCTATTCAGTCTATTGAGTTGGTCTTAATGCTTTTGATCTTGCTGACCACTTGGTTGAATGAACTTAGGGTTTTAATTCGCATAGAGATATGAAATTCTAACCTGGAAATAATTCAATAAATAGAACAAGTATTGCATCGAGAGATGGATATTTGCCTAGGAATTATGATATCGTTCATTCATACATTTAGAGTTTTAGACTATTGTATCGAGAGATTAGTAGGATAAAGCCTGGATATTGAGGTTAGACCCGAGAGGGTTAATCTCTACTTTAGAGTTTGAATTCTCTGAATTGGATAGATAAACCACAGAGTTTGCATCTTTTGAAAGATCTTTGCATGTAAAGCAATCCCGAAGCCTACCGTGTTTATCATTCATAGTTTACAATCGCTTTTCGTTATTTGCTTTGTTACGTTTCATCACATTCTCATATTTTTTTTAGATCTAGATTTGGATTTGAATTTGATTCAGTTGTTTACTTGTCCTTGTGTTCGACCCTAGTTGCTATGCATGATCCTCCGTACACTTGCGGAATCTGTTGAGTCTGGGATATTATTACTTGGTTGAATCTTATACACCTAGATTTGTGACATCACGTTTTTGGCGCCATTGCCGGGGACAATTTAGGCAATATGATTAGATTCTATCTAATCTCAATCTTTTTTGTTTTTCTTTTTCTTGTGTATTTTCTCACATTTTTTTCGTTTGTTTGTTGTCTTTCGTTTGTGCGTAGAGTTTCTTAGTGCATGACTTGAAGTGTTGGGACATCAGATCTAGTGCCTTTTGATCCTGAACTTGAAAGGACCATTACACGCATCCGTCGACAGTAGAGACAGATGGAGAACGATCGAGATCTTGCTTTTCCCGGCGGTGCTGAAGGCAATTTTTACTCAACTTTTGCTCAATACAACATGCCAAAGCACACCGAGCTTATGGCCGGTATACGACTGTCGACTATCGACATGACTCGTTTTGAGTCCAGCCCGGCTACCATTCAGATGCTCAGCAATAATTCTTCCTGGGGTATGCCAAATGAAGACCTGTACGCATATCTTCGATCAAAAGAGAGACTAGGTGACGGGCGATGACTCTGTCTACTTGCTTTCCCTTGAACTCTCATATATGCTGTATTGGAATGGTTATATGATTTAGCACTTGACTCCATCCATATTTGGGATCAAGTGGAAGTTCAGTTCATGTCCAAATTCTTTCCAACCCACCGCACTCAAGCAGCTCTCTCAGACATACACTCATTTAAGCAGGATCAAAGGGAGAGTCTCTACGACGCTTGGAGAAGGTACAAGGGATATTAGAAGTCGTGTCCTCACCATAGGCTCAACAAGAACTACCTGGTCAATACCTTCTTTCGAAGACTACGAAATGATACTAAGACTCTGATTCGAACTTCTTGCGGTGGAAGCATCCAGAACAAATCATTCGTGGAGCTTGAACAACACATTGAAATGATGGCTCAAGAAGAGGATGCTCCGAATGAATATTCTCGAGATCTACCAAGGAAATACGTCAATTCTAGCCTTCAGTTGGTTCTTGATCAGTTGGCAGTACTAAATGCTAAGTTTGCAAGTGCCAATTTGATTTCTACTACGGATGCTCCGACACTTTCACAAGGGGATCTTGGCATGTATGCAGTCGAAGAGCGAACTGAGGATCTGAACTACATGGCCAACAATAACTACACGAATTCATATAATTCAGGTTGGAAGAATCATCCTAATCTTTTCTACAAGTCGAACAATGTTGAGAAGCCTGTGCCGAACAACTTCAGAGTATCCAACGACTCGAATCAGAGGACTCCTCCCACTTTTTCTTCCCAATCCAGAGGTCCAAATCAGAACTACAACTACAGAGCTCCAGGATAATCCTACAACAATGTTGCACCTCCAGGTAATCTTGAATCTAACCCTGATACGTACGGTTTCCTTATACAGTTTCTGCAGAGTTAAGAGAAGATGAATCAGGAATTTCTAACTCAGTTTGCAAGCATCGAGACTCACTTCAAGCTCATAAACAACCAGATTGCTCAGCTAGTATCACCCTCTCAAAGACCATCTGGATCTCTTCCAGGTAAATTTGAGACCAACCCCCACGAATATGTCAATGCTATTACCTTGAGAAGTGGTAAGCAGGTAGATACCGGAAACCCACCGATGGTTGAGCAAGGTGAAAGCTCTAAGACCACAATTTCAGCAACTCCTGATGATACGCCTGAGCCACTGTACGTGCCTCCTCCTCTTAGGCCACCACCAGTACCGTTTCTATCTCGCCTAAGGAAGCACAACGAAGACAACTAATTCGCGAAGTTCGTTGAGATGCTGAAGAACTCGAGGTCTCTACGACGCTTGGAGAAGGTACAAGGGATATTAGAAGTCGTGTCCTCACCATAGGCTCAACAAGAACTACCTGGTCAATACCTTCTTTCGAAGACTACGAAATGATACTAAGACTCTGATTCGAACTTCTTGCGGTGGAAGCATCCAGAACAAATCATTCGTGGAGCTTGAACAACACATTGAAATGATGGCTCAAGAAGAGGATGCTCCGAATGAATATTCTCGAGATCTACCAAGGAAATACGTCAATTCTAGCCTTCAGTTGGTTCTTGATCAGTTGGCAGTACTAAATGCTAAGTTTGCAAGTGCCAATTTGATTTCTACTACGGATGCTCCGACACTTTCACAAGGGGATCTTGGCATGTATGCAGTCGAAGAGCGAACTGAGGATCTGAACTACATGGCCAACAATAACTACACGAATTCATATAATTCAGGTTGGAAGAATCATCCTAATCTTTTCTACAAGTCGAACAATGTTGAGAAGCCTGTGCCGAACAACTTCAGAGTATCCAACGACTCGAATCAGAGGACTCCTCCCACTTTTTCTTCCCAATCCAGAGGTCCAAATCAGAACTACAACTACAGAGCTCCAGGATAATCCTACAACAATGTTGCACCTCCAGGTAATCTTGAATCTAACCCTGATACGTACGGTTTCCTTATACAGTTTCTGCAGAGTTAAGAGAAGATGAATCAGGAATTTCTAACTCAGTTTGCAAGCATCGAGACTCACTTCAAGCTCATAAACAACCAGATTGCTCAGCTAGTATCACCCTCTCAAAGACCATCTGGATCTCTTCCAGGTAAATTTGAGACCAACCCCCACGAATATGTCAATGCTATTACCTTGAGAAGTGGTAAGCAGGTAGATACCGGAAACCCACCGATGGTTGAGCAAGGTGAAAGCTCTAAGACCACAATTTCAGCAACTCCTGATGATACGCCTGAGCCACTGTACGTGCCTCCTCCTCTTAGGCCACCACCAGTACCGTTTCTATCTCGCCTAAGGAAGCACAACGAAGACAACTAATTCGCGAAGTTCGTTGAGATGCTGAAGAACTCGAGGTAACCATGTCATTCACTAAAGCTATTTTGCAGATTCCCTCGTACACAAAATTTCTGAAGGACATTCTGACCAAGAAGATGGTTGTTGAGAAAGAAACCGTTGCACTTACTGCCGAATGCAGCGCGTTGATCCAACATGAGCTTCCGCTTAACCGGTTCGATCCAGTTAGTTTCTCAATCCCTTGTAAATTGGGTAATATTTCCATCGTGCACTTTATGATCTAGGAACCGGCGTCAGTCTTCTTCCATTATCGATCTTCAAAAATTTGAATGTGGGTGAGCTAAAACCTACTAGAATGACTCACCAACTTGCCGATCGTTCTGTTAAATACCCCACTGGGATACTTGAGGATGTGCCGCTGAAAGTCTGGAACTTTTATATCCCGATTGACTTCGTGGTTCTCGACATAGACGAAGACTCTAAGGTACCTATCATCCTTCGTCGTCCATTCCTTAACACTGCAGATGCAGTTATCCATGTTAGAGCAGGTAGGCTGACAATGAAGATTGGAGATGAAATGGTGGAATTCACTTTGGATAAAAATCTCAAGCAACCGTCGTCGACCGAATCTACATGCTTCATCGATATCTTTGAACAAATTCTAGAGTAAGAACAACCCAATGATGTTCAGAATGTCAAACCGATCGTTTTAGGTCATGGAACCGATCGGTTTGAACATGATCTCAATGTCGAAATTCTACAGAAAGTCTAACCGATCGGTTCACGACCTTCAACCGATCGTTTCGAAAACAGAGTTCGAAGCACAAAATTATAGAAACTTAAACCGATCGGTTTATCATTTCCCTTTGTGAAACCGATCGGTTCGAGCACCCCTTTCGAGCTTCGGAGTTACAGAACTTGGAACCAATCGTTTGTACATTTTCAAACCAATCGGTTCAGACCCCAGCACGACACGACGCCTCGTTTTTATCTCACATGGGCGTTCACGACCTCCCTCAGTTAGTTGAATAGGTAACTAGCCTATCAGATCACTATGCTCTTACACTTCATGACCTAAGTTGGCGAAAGATCGATAATCTTCGTCTCTTAGACCCGTATGGTGGTTTAGAAGGTTCAGTCAAGCTAAAGACCTTAAACAAACGCTTTTGGGAGGCAACCCGAAGTCTTAGGTTAGTTTTTCTTTCCTTTCTTTTTTCTTTTTGCATCGAATATTGGTTTGTGTCTCTTATCACCAGGTTGAGTTCTAATGAGGAGCTATTGAGGAGGCAAGGAAGCTACCTATGCGATAGACGTAGGCAGACTTAAGTGCGAGTGAACGAACGTCGCGAGCTAAGTATTCTTTTCCCTTTTTGATTTGTTTTTCTCTTGACTCATCTTATTGGTTGCCTCTACTTGACGAGAATTGACACCGAGGACAATGTCTAGTTCAAGTTTGGGGGAGGATTCGTCTAACGCCAAACCATATCTATTTAGAGTAGTGTAGCATACATTTTTCCCTTTTTCTTTTCACTTTTTAGTTGCATGTGCATATAGAGTGTTTTAGGATCATATAGTTTGTTGTTAGGATTATGCATATACATATAGTGTTTAGGACATATAAAATCACGTGCATAAAACCGTTTTGAGCATTGATGTGATGATCTATGGCATGAGAGAGTAGAATCGATAATTCACAACCAACAAACAACAATGATATCCATGTATAACCACATCACATCAGTCACAAATATGTCAAACACAATCATACCCATATGACATCGCGTCATAGGGTTAGCAAAGATCCTAGTCATATCAACATGATCAGAAGCGTCTCACACACGCCCGTCACTCGCGTGACGTTGGCCATCGCATCGCATGCGACTACGCGCGTCTCCTGCGCATGTCACTCGCGTGACCTCCGATGTCAAGTCCATGACACAACGGAAATACGAACATACCCGTATGGAGTCCACCATAGGGTCCAGCCATAACCCTAGTCAAGTCCATGACTAGGGCGTCTCACACGCCCGTCAAGTCCATGACGTTGGCCGTGTCAAGTCCATGACACAATAAACACAACACCCGTATGGAGTCCACCATAGGGTTCTGCCATGGCCCTAGTCAAGTCCATGACTAGGTGCGTCTCGCACGCCCGTCAAGTCCATGACGTTGGCCGTCGTGTCGCACACGACTATATCACAACACAATCACACTGCACTCGTCGCACGAGTGAGCTACAAACATGGCAATCAACGTGCATATCTTCCCAATACAATCACGCGTATCGCGGTATTCGGCCCTGATCGAGATACCGGTTAACGCCATGAAAACTACCCAGAATAATCACACAACGAGTCACTCTCATCGTTAGATCACACATCTCACAGCGCGTAACTAATCAAAGATTTGCCGAAGGGTGGGCTTGTATCCTGGGTCGGTCAATCCTTGCGTCTCTATACCTTTTCCGGGGTCATTCGGTCCATTTTCATCGTAATTCGGTCTAAATCGGTCGGTCCACGTCTTCTGGTTCATCCCGAGTTATTTTCCTCTTATTCTGGCCTAGACCGGTCGGTCCAGGGCCTGGACCGGTCGGTCTAGGTGTTCCGTGCCACTCCGGGACCTCTCGGTCTGATTTTTGGTCTGGACCGGTCGATCTAGAGGCTGGGCGAAGAACAAATCACGATTTCCAGATTTTTTGCCCAACTTCAATCGACCATATCTCATTCGTTTCTTAACCAAATTTAGTACCGTTTGTTGCTAAATGTTCGTTCAAACGTCCTCTATATAATCCAATCAACAAATCATCGAAATAACACAATAGCACGCTCAGAACGAGCTCACACAGATGAAACTCGAGCCACTCATTTCTGTTTCGGCTCAGATCTAGTTTTGGCCGAATTTTGAAGTGTTTTCCGATCTATTTCTTACCGGAAATCTCTTCTAGACAATCTAGGGATGTCCCCCTTCGTGTTCCTGAGCTTCCCTTGCGTCGATTCTCCCTGGTTTTCGCCCCTTTCTCTCTGTTTCTCCTCTCCGTCTCTTTTCTCTGATTTTGTCCGAAAATGGTGCAAGGCTGAGCTTCTGCTCAGTTTACAGAGCGAGAGAAAATCCGTTTGGGCTCAAGACCAGGCCCATCTTCAAGCCTGCAACATTCTGACGGAGTTGGGCGGCGATTGGATGCCGGTGGGTCCCGAAATCGCAGAAAACAGACGGCTAGAAAGGGGCAAGTTGGCCACTTGCGTCCTCTGTTCGTCGGTCTCCCAGACCGGTCGGTCTGGCTCTGGGTTGGTCAGTCTGCGACCTTTTCTTCAGTTTTTCTTCGCGTTTCTTGGTCTGTTCGGTCCGACCCTCGGTCCGTCTCTGGACCGGTCGGTCCACACCCTAGACCGGTCGGTCTAGGCAAATTTTTCAACATTTTTCCGTCTTTTTCTCGTCTCTTCGTACGTGGTATTTTCTCGTTCCTTTTTCCCGTTATTGTATATTTCCGTTTTGATGATAACACGATATTTCTATTTAATTATTTATTTCTAAAAATAATTAAATATTTGAATCGGGTTTCAGGGTATTACAAATCCTCCCCCCTTAAAAAGAATTCGTCCTCGAATTCTAAATCGCGCAATATTATCAAAACTTCCCGACAATCAGTATCATCACCAAAATATATCCATCTCATCACATCATCTTAATAACAAGTCTGACACAAATCACAACGTCATACATAAGGGTTCGTACAACGCTCAAGTAAACAGATGAAGATAAGTACTACGCATCTCTGCCTCGGGTTCCCAGATCATGTCTGAGACCCCTTGGCTCCGCCACAAGACCTTCACGAGTGGCACCTCCTTCGTCCGTAGCTTCTTGACCTTCCGGTCCACTATCTGCAGTGGCTCGTCTCGAAAGCGCGTAGCCTCCGTAAACTCCAACTCCTGTGGCTGTAGTACATGAGAAGGGTCCGCTACGTATCTCCGCAGCATCGACACGTGGAACACGTCATGGACGTTGCCCAACTCCGGCGGCAATCCAAGACGGTATGCAACAGCTCCCACTCTCGCGATCACGGGATAAGGTCCGATGTATCGCGGCTTCAGCTTCCCGCTCTGCCCGAACCTCGCATGACCCCGCATCGCATGTACTCGGAGAAAGGCATAATCTCCGACCTCAAGCGCGAAGTCTCGTCTCCGCTGATCGACATACGACTTCTGCCGATCCTGCGTTGTCTTCAGATGGGCGCGAATCTTCCGGTATCACCTCGATGGTCTCCTCCATGATCTCCGGCCCGAACTCTCGGCGCTCGCCGATCTTCGTCCAGCATAACGGTGTCTTGCACGGTCGCCCGTACAAGGCCTCGTATGGAGATACTCTGATACTCGTGTGATGACTGTTGTTGTACGCAAACTCGCATAACGTCATGTACTGGTCCCACGGAGCTCCCCACTCCAGGATACAAGCTCTGAGCATGTACTCCAAAGTCTGTATAGTCCGCTCCGACTGACCATCTGTCTGAGGAGGATATGCCGTACTCATCTTGAGCTTCGTCTCCAGTGCCTCCTGAATCGCCTTCCACAAGCGGGATGTAAATCGAGCGTCTCTATCCGATATGATCTCGTTCGGAACTCCATGAAGACGTACGATCTCATCGATGTAAATCTGCGCCAACCGCCCGATCAGATACTCCTGCCGGATAGGAATGAAATGAACGGATTTGGTTAGTCGATCCACGACTACCCAAATGGCGTTCTTCTTACTCGGCGTGAGTGGTAATCCGACCACGAAATCCATGACAATCGAATCCCACTTCCACTCTGGAATCTCCAACGGCTGTAGCTTGCCCCCCGGCATCTGTCGCTCTGCCTATACTTGCTGACAAGTGAGGCACCTCGCTACGTAATCCGCTACATCTCTCTTGACCCTCAGCCAAGTATACCACTGGCGTAGACCCTGATACATCTTGCTCGCCCCCGGATGTATCGCCAATCTCGACTGGTGTGCCTCAGATAGAATCTCCTGTCTCAGCTCTGCGTCGTCAGGCACACATAGTCGGTTCCCCAGCCGTAGCGCTCCCTGCTCATCGATACGATAGCCCTTGAGGCTATATTCCTCGATATGATCCATGTATCGGGCGAGTAAAGGATTGCCGCGCTGTCCCATAACCATGCGCTCTATCAGAGTCGGTGTCGACTCCTCGGGTGTCAGCGAGAGATGCCCCAACATCGCAGTCAACTCAGCGGCGTTGCTGCGAGATGAGGTCACAACGCGTATGGCCGCTAAGATCTTCTTCCAACTAAGGGCGCACTACGTTAGCTTTTTCCGGATGGTAGGCTATCTCCAGATCATAATATGCAATCAACTCCAACCACCTCCGCTGTCTCAAATTCAGATCCTTCTGAGATATCATGTAGGTCAAGCTCTTATGGTCCGTGTTGAGCTTAACCTTCTCCCCGTATAGATACGATCTCCAAATATCTTCAGCGCGTGAACTACCGCTGCTAACTCCATATCATGAGTCGGGTAGTTCTCCTCATGCTTCTTCAGCTGCCTCGATGCATAAGCGATTACGTGTCCCTCCTGCATCAACACGCAACCGAGTCCGTGTTTGGACGCGTCAGTGTATACCTCATAGAGCATACCCGGTTGTGGCAATGCCAGGATCGGAGCTGATGTCAACCTCTG